AAATTATAAAAATGAAAAATTCTTTCCTTGTGTTTTTTGTCAAAATATCCTGTACTATAGTACAGGGTCTAATTGGCCCAATTTTTAAGCAAATTTATAATCCGCTGACTAGAAGCTGTATAAACATGCTCTATGTGGGAGAGCTTCCATGTATTGTACCTAAAGTTAAGTCTGGTTGCTTTCCTAGCAGCTTTACACATTAACTGCAAGTGATGATGACCAGCTACAACCTCGAGTGGAGAGGACTCCCTGTTATTAGCAGCAACCTATTGTACATGTAAAAGGCAGTCAAGTAAAGGATATGTACATGAATGATGTATGTACTTTTTCTTCCACAGTTAGTGACTGTCCATCTAATACTCTCAGTGTGGTAAGCTGTGTCATAACAGTTTGTCTGTAGTCAGCTAAAGTCTACAGTAGCAAAATAATGAGACATACATGTACATGTACATGTACATGTTCAATTACCTGTAAAGGGTTCTTTCTGAGGTCAAGTGTCTCAAGTGATTGTATGTCTTTTAAATGAAGAACTTCATCTAATCCAACTATCTACATGTACATGTAAATGTACATACAAGATAACACACATGTACATGTACATGTACATAATAATTAAGATCTGGTAATATTGCTACATGTACAGTATGTGTGCAATTAAGGAGTAAATGTACCTGGTTTTCAGCCATATTGATTACACTTAAATAGCTGTGGTGAGAGAGTCCTTTTAAACTATGGATCTGGTTGCCAGAGAAATTTACAACCTACATGTACATGTATACATGCATACAGTAATCAGTATATGCCTGTACTATAGATTCAACAATGACATCTGATACCTCTCCCGCCCCCATAGTCACACACTTCACATAAATCATACAGTCTAGAGGGTACATGTACCTTACATGTAGCAATTAGTTGATGCAGAGTAAAGTACAGATGTACATTAGTACCTGTAGTAGCTTCAGTAGGTCCAAATTAGTCACTGAAACTATAGAATTGCTACTCTACAGGAAATAAATGGCATATTTCAATATACTATCAACAACAACAGCAGTTGCAGGCTATACCAAATCAAGGTTCTCAATGGGAAGGTTATCTAAGCCTTGAATCCTCTCGATTCTGTTGTCAGATACAATAAGAGTTGAGAGAGATGTGAGACCAGACAGACCGGTTAGCTCAGTGATCTGGTTGCCTGAAAATTGGATCAAGTTACTTAGAATAAATGACCTACATGTACATGTATTTACTGTTCGAAGTGCACTTTCTGATTACTCTCTCTCTTTCTTTCTCTCTCTCTTTCTCCCTTTCTCCCTTTCTCTCTCTTTCTCTCTCTGAGCTCTTTTTCTTCCGACCATTACCTCCTAAATTGAGTACTTTAATGGAACTGAAAGGGGTCAAGTCAGGTATCTCTTCAATTTCATTATAAGAATAATCTACAAACTACAACAAAATACACACACATACATCTATATGTACACGTCATAAAATGTTCCCAGAAAACATGCTATGTACACACATTCAAAATGTACCCGTGTACCTTTACTGAGTAACAAGAAACAAACAAATGAGTCTACATGTACATGTACGTCATCCATGAATATGCACATGTACATTGTATACATGTATGTACACATGTAGCCCTCTCTATAGTACATGTGTGTACAATGTATATGTACTTAGTATATCAATGAGAGAATATATGTACATTCACATGTACATGTACATGTACATATACATGTACATGTACATGTGGATGCATGCTGTAATTGTACTGTACCAGTAAGCTGTGAGGTGGATCAAAGTCCAGCAAGCGGGTTAGTTTGTTGTGGGAAGCATTAATCGAATTAAGGTTAGGCAAACAGCTGAGTGGAGCAAGATCTGTAGAAAGAGAGAGAGAGAGGAGGGAGGACATCTTATTTTTGTAAAAAAAACTGCCACATGTTGACTAATTATAAAATTTGTTGCCAATTACACGGACATGCACTGTAGAAATTTTCAATAAAAACTTTAAAAATAACTTGCATCAATATTTTTAGCTGTACAGGTACATACTGATAGTCTCTTTACCTCTGAGTACATTGTAAGAGACGTCTAATGACTGAAGATGAGGGAATGAAGTCAACATATTAATGTCACCAAGGTTATGAGCCTAAAAGAGGACAAAACATGCAACACCATCTGACATTACATAAAATGTACTACATTCCCATCCTTTACAAATATAATAACTTTACACAGATAATTACGTTTACATGAAGAGCACGCGTAAGCTGTGTCAATATGGACGCATGATTGCAGCAGATCTGGTGCTTTCCCCTTATGACACAACGAGGGCTTCATCAGCAAAAATCTTTGTAAACACAATGGGGATACAGGTATGTACATGTACATGCATAAGGAGTGATGATATTGTTGGGGTACTTCCTTTTATTGTTAAATCATAACAACAAAACAATATGCTTAATCCTAGCCTGCTAGTGACGTAAGGATCGTGAATATCATTATTAAGTGTTAGAATTCAATTAGGGGTACAGTAATAAAACAATATTACTTCTTATGCATATGCAGCATTAGATCTATGCATGTATAAAAAACTTACTGAGATGTTCAGGTCAAGGTACACAAGTTTAATGCTGTCTGGTGTGTACCCTAGTTTTGAAAGGCCTCCCTTTGCTACTTCTACAGTTAGAGTCCTCCCTCTTGAGACCTAGAGTTTATGTATACATGCACGTACATGTACATACATGTATAAATACATGTTATTGTAGATCATACTTCTTTTAAAGATTCATTCGTAGTTCCAGCACCAGGAGTGGATGCAAAGGACTGAGAGAGAGCCACGTCTAACGTCCCCACAACAAAAGGAAGGGTCTCAGCATCAGATGCAACACCTTGACTAGCAGCGGCCATTTTGAAGGTCTCCATGGAAACAAACAAATTTCATGGGTGCACCCATTTCATGGAACATTATTCATACCTGCGGACCGGTATATAAACTATACCTGATCCGCAGTAGATAAGTAACACACAAGACCCCTTCTCTTCAGTTAGACTGATAGTGTCTGTGCGAGAGAAAGAGACATTTCATACAAACTTGAAGAGAAAGCAATGACTAGTCCTAAAGTAGCCGACAAGGCTTATGTCAATTCTCCTCCACCCTCGAGGAGCTGGAGCTTTTACAGCAGCGAGGAGGAAGAGATGACAGGCGCCAACAGCTCCTCGTCAATGGAGGACAATGACCAAGACGAGCTCAATACGGTTGAGGTCGTGTTCAATAAAATCTACCTAGACCCACTCCAAGAGGTGATGGATTCCGTTGATGCAGAGGCGGCGGGTATATTACGAACAGGGAAGCTAACAATACATGGAGAAGCAGGAGGTAAAGTATATCATAGCAATACTGTTGTATGACTGCTTCTGTAATGAGTATTTCATGAAATCATACTTACAACTTCTCTCTTTCTAGATATGAACTTGTTGCAGCCATTGCTCTTCAGCTTACAGCCAAAAGAGGAAGACCTCCACGTCCTTCTCCCCCAGCTACTCCAGAATCCTTTCTTCACTCCGAAAGAGGAGAACTTCACTGCAGCAGTTGCTGACAACTTCCTGCAATTTGGGTGCATAAGACTAGGAGTGATGGTCGACCAAGTCATTTACAAGCTGTTATCAACACATTGCTGCAAAGGCCCAGGGGCAAGGCAAGCAGACATGTTGATAGAAACAGCTCTAAAAACACTCTACACCCTGCCCTCTGCCATGGAGCGATTCATAGCCAATTCTAAAAACCCACCCCCTCTCCTCTTTGGAAACTACAATATACCAGAAGAGCCTGATATTTCAGATGAAGATGATGAATCCCATGCTGCTGCTGTGTTTGAGAATAGCTTGACATATAATCTTCAAGTACCGACTACTAACAGAGATCAGTCCAAGTACTCTCATTCGTCTGGTGTCTTTAGCAACACAACCAGTAGCACCTCTAATTTGGGTGATGCCGTATCTGAAGACGGGGATACCACTCAACCACTGCCAGTCCAGACTCGACCACGTCAGCTCTCAGGAGGACAGACTGATCATATCCAAACCAGAGGAAGAGCAGAGTCTTTGAAGCACGGTGCAGGGAGACGAAAAGACAGCATATTCCAAGGACCTCCATTTGGAGCTTTTGATTTCTCAAGACGGACCTCATCAGATGCAAGCATAACGTCATCCACAGCCTCACTAAAGGTCCTTCAAGACAGCAGTGTATGGCACGCCTCATTACCCTCACCAGGCGACATGATAATTGGATCGTATGGTGATGACAGCACCTACCCCATACTAATGTGGAATCCTGGCCTCAACGTCATGTTCAAGGTTGGTGGTCGCTCTGGGTTCTCCTCAGGGACGCTGATAGTCGACAATCCAAAGGAGCTACTCAAACTCAAAGTGGTCAACACCACCACTCAGAAGATTGCTTTCTCTATTCGCTCATACCGCCAATCACTTATGTTTCGCTCTCATGTGATCTTCCCTAAGGCTGGCTTGCAACTATTGGAGCCGCAGCAGGAATGGTCCATTGATGTAGAGCTGATGGGGGTAGCAGGAGAGGGTGAGACAGATGAATACATTTGCATTGACTTGTTGGTCTGTCAGCTCAACTGCACCCCATCATGGAATGTCCACAGACGCTATGCTGTACTGAAAAGAAGGTATATTATGGTTATGTACATGCATAAGTACTAAAAATTCCCCGTATTTTTTTACAGACAAGACCAGCACAAATTTATAAAGAAGATATCCCGAAATGAGCATGTGCTACTGCCAGGGTCTATTGTTACTCAAAAGGTAAGTTAAGTGTTAGCAGTTATCATAGACACAGCATGTGTAGCATTCCAATGCAACCCACTTTAGCACTTGTGTAATTTATGATAAGTAAACTATTGTCACACTCCCTGACTGCTATTATTACTTATAGGAGCTTGAGAATTCTCTCAAACAAGTCATACTACATGGGCTCCAGTGTGTTGTCAAGAACAAGCTCGATCAAGCAGAGATCATCTTCACTCAAGCACTTCATCTTCCTCTCTTTCAGAGGGCACCTCTCAAAGCTTTTGCCTATATCTGTCTTGCTGTGACAGCCAACAAGAGGAGAAAGAAAGGCCCTCATATGTAAGCACTCGCTTTCATTGTACACAATTTATCTTTTTCCACTTTCTGTTTTTGTTGATGCACCATCACACGCCATTACTAGTACAGCCAGTGTATTGTGTGAATTCTGCTTCATAGTTTACTGTTTGTGTTCCTCCTTCCCTTTCTTTTAGGAATAGAGTGGGCTATGTACTGAAACTGGTCAACAGTATGGATAAACTTATTGAGGCATGTGAATCCTCACCAAACATGAGAATGCCCAAGGTCATAGCTCTAAATAAGCAGCTGAAGAAGGAGCTCAATCCAGCCAAAGTTATAAAAGACCAGAGAGAAAGGCGACAAACTCGTAAGTTGAAATATTAAGTAATAACGATAATTTTATTTTAATATTCTCTTATAGCTAATGCCCAGTTACCGAACATAAGGAGTGAAACAACCAAAGAGGTCCACATTGCTGGAGAGTCTCTTGATCTGTTCAATACGAGTCTCACGATACCAGGAGGAGCTCTACCACAGCCGGTCAATGTGACACTCTCTCATTTGAACCAAGAGCAGATACACCAGTCACTCCAATCCTCCCCTTGGTCCTCAATGCTTGACATCATAAGTGCAGTTTCCATTCACTGCAGTCCACCTGTTGATAGATTTGCTAGGCCGGTTAGACTAACAATAATACTACCGGCAGACAATGTACCGACAAGCTCAACACCACTCCGCCTCTTGCAAAGTGCATACATGAACACATGGATTGACATTACTGACGATCCAAAGACGAGCATCAAGCTTGACACCGAATCAGGTCGTCTCAATATAACGACTGATCAAACCGGCTGGTTGATAATCGCCTCGCTGAACATAGACTTGAGTAAGATACTACCGATTGCAGTCAAGTCTGCCTTCACCGAGGAGCTGGTCACCATGGATATCAATGCTTATGGCTATATATTCCCTGATGGCACGCATGCTCAGATCTCAGTCTTCATAGCACCTCATAAAGAGAATGAGCAGCTTGAGACTCCGCCTCCTGGCCACAGACAGATAGCGTTCCCCCACACCTTCAAAGCTTATAAAGGACAGAAAGTCCGTCTTGAGCTCCAGGGCCAATTCCAGCCAGATAAAGAAGCCGGTCAAGTGAGTCTGACCTCTGATATAAAAGTTGATGGATTCATGCGAGACATTTACGAAAAGATTGTCAAGTTATCGGAAAATTCAAAAGGACTTTATGGTAAACTAAATCTAAGCACGTACTGTGCTTCACATCAGACCTGGGAATCAATTTTAGAACTGAACTTGTCTTCACCGACAACTGCTCACCAAAACAATAAAATAGAATAAGAATAATAATAATAAACTACTATTATTGCTGTTGATATTTGGCTGTTTATGTATTATGATGTACGTTTTATAAGAACATGTATGTACATGTATTTGTTTGTTTATTCGTATAATTTTTCTAATTTTTATTATTATTATTATTATTATTTATATTAATGATAAATTGACTTTCTTCTAAAATAAAGAATTGTCAAAAACCATCTTAGGGCAAGAACTGATTGAAAATAGAGCACAAAAGCAATTTTAAATAACATTAGTAATTAGTCATGTTTGATCATGATTTTCTCTAAACATGCAACTATAATTTACCTCAAAATTACTTATTATGCTATTATTCTATTGTTATAATTTTAAAATGTATTATTATTATTATTATTATTATTATTATAAAATTTTATTATCATTATTATAATATTTTGACGTCGCTTAATGTTATTCAATGGGGCATTAACTTGATATGTTACACAATGGGAAGTTTTATACAAGCATTGCTGGAATTCCATCAAAATTAAAAAATAAATAATAAAAATAATATAATAATAATAATAATATTATTATTATAAAAACTAGCACATTAAAGAATTAAATATTTACAAAAGTACGTCATGCCATTGAGTTTCTTTGAAGAGGAAAGAGAGTCATCATTCGATTGCGTCAATACTATAATTCAAAGAATTCAAAAATAGTTAACTTTACTCATCGAATTTAAACATAATACATAGACCAGGTGCATGTACATTCTACACACACAAATATTCAGAGGACATATCAATTATAAATATATAAGTATCTAATACTCTAGCACAGAATAGTGATACATCTTAAAGAAAACAATAACTGGTGGTAAGGGACTACTGTATCTCATAGTTTTCAAAATTATGCTCACAGAAGGATGAAACACCAATGGAATGAGTAACAAGCATTATAAAGATTGTTACTAGTATGCTGTAGAGTGTTTGTCATCGCTGAGTACATGCATGTATAATTTAGAGAGAGAAAGTGGGGAAAAATCGAATAGACTAACAAAAACAAATGCTAAGCAGGAAAAGGATGTAGTCAACTTGTGTTAAGAGGATACCTAACACTAGTCAACAGGACAAGTAATTTGTTCTATCAGTATAATCATAGGATGAATAAAGGCAAGGAATTTCATTAATAAGAGTATTCATGAGCAGTGTATTCGACTACAAACTGATTTAGACGCAATATGTGAATGATCTCTAAAAAAGCAGTGAATGTGACTAATGTGGCCTACAAGGTAGCAACTGCATAGCTTCCTAAGGAGGAAATCATATTCACTATTGATGATTAGCGTCATCTGTCAGGTACAGAGAATCGTTGCCTTGGATAGAACACAATTGGAGCAGTAAACAGTATGATAAACAATATGATAAACAATATGATAAGCAATATGATAAACAATATGATGCCTGTAGGTTGATCTATTTACAGTAGTGTCTATTATTAAATGTAGAGGTACAACTGTAACTATCTATTACTAGTAAAGTTGTACCTGTAGAATTGTGATTTTACCTTTTTTATGAAAGTCCTTGTACAAATGAACTGGAGGAAGACGAGCGAGAGCTTGGAGTGACGGACACAAATTCATCAAGAACACCTACAAATTTTACTAATCAATAATCCACATCATGGCAATGTAACACTAAGATATCATTATTGGGATATAAAGTAGTACTACTTGAAGCTAAAATTCAATATATTCACTATGAATGATACAGCATTCCTGCTAAATAAATTATAGTAAAGTTCAGTTAGCATAATTATACTGTTTAACATGTCAAACCAATGGAGTCACTGCAGCGTATGCAAACTAGACTACTAGCAGCCAAGCAATTAAAATGTACCAAGCTACAGGTAATAAGGAGTGATATTCATTTAGACATCAATCACACACATACAAATCTATATCTACAAGTGTGCAAGTGATAGTAAAAATATTATCAGAAAGAAACAGGTGTATATATATAGAGGAGTAAGAAGACATGGTCACACTTGTAATAAACAATAGGCTTCCTCCTCTTTACCTGCTACTGGGTAAGCCCAGAGTGATTGGCTGTGAATTTTAGATCCAATTGAAGCATCCGTGAACTTGAAATCTACCGGTAGGAAATGACCTCTTTTTCCAGCCTCAGCAGATTCTCTTATCTGTCAAATGAACCACACACAGATTAGCTGTCAAGCACGGCAGTGCTTATAATGACTGTTACCAACACATCAATGGAGTAACCATTGATGTATACTCCCTCATATTGTGAATGTGTTCCCTTTAAAGGTGTGTACAAATTAATGACAACTGCCACAAAGAGGAAACCAGTATTGGAGCATTATACATACAGACACTGTTCTTATACTCATTGACACATACCATTAGCATTTAGAAATGCATGATAGTAAACTCTCTCTCTCTTAAATAATATTCAGCAAATAAAGACACTGCATAAGAAGCATTAGCCCATTAGACTGAAACTAAAACCATTTTTACTACTACTACTACTACTAATGATAATAAAGCATAATAATAAATAAGAATAATAACAATGCTTATTATTAAAGTGCTTTTAGGCTTGTACTATTACATTAGGCATTGTTTTGTTATTACAAGTTGTTCTTATTTGTAGATCATGTATTCCAATGTTCTAATGATAATCCACACACTCTCATTCCGGAAGCATTAAGGCATCACAAACAGAACAATGCCAGAAATAAACACGTTACATAAATACATATAGATGTACATAAATACATTTACATAGTCCATAAATACATTTTTTTGTTATTATACTTTAAGGAATGTGTTATCTTTTTTACTTCCCATTGCTGTACCTGTTTTATAAAGTCTCTTTTTGTAGTCCCATATCCATTAAACCCTGTATAACCCCCCAGTAACTGCTGACCCATGTATATCTGTTAGAAGAGAGAGAGAGAGAGAGCAATAAGTGTGGGTGAGCTAATTCAAGTATTAGACAGACAATAGGTGGGAGATGACAAGCAGACGCCAACTCAACATGCACTCAAAAGTTAATAACACAATAAGTACCAAAAGATTGTATGTGAACAAACTCAGGATATGCACATATAAACAAAGCGTAGTAATTATAAGCTCATGAAGTGATAATACTCACCAGAAACATTCCAACCTTAATACCATGCCTCTTAGCCAGTAATCCTTCACCAGTGATGTTAAGGTCATCAATTGATTTGGAGAGGTCATATTTGAAAATCCTAAACAAGTCCCCAGAGCTCTAAACAAGGAAACAGCAATGACATTCACAATCATGAATGCCATTACACACGACTGTATAACTAATGCACGCGACGCTTTGCCACAGTAGAACGCATGTGCATGTACATGCACATGATGGTGGTCTAATGTCTAATGGTTAATTGACACACACACAGAGTTACTATAGAAAGGGATGAGGGGTCACAGTACACAGAAGAATAAAGGGAAGGATTTGTGTGGCTTATGCACCAATCAGTAGTAACATATGTACATATACATGTAGAAGGCTGTGATGAGATTGAAAGGAAAGGGGAAATGTGTGTTTGTGTGTGATAACAAATAATTACCATATCATTCTAATAAAATATACTAAGCAATATTCCCCCTAATAATAATAATAATAATAATGCTGTTGTTGTTATTATTGAGTAGCTCCATGCATCAATGAATTGATGATAGCAATTAATAAATATTATTGATTATTCATACCTGATGGCAGGGAGAGCTACGATTTCTATTACAGGTATAATTGATACTTTCCAGAAGTGGCTCACATATCACTGACCTCCTATAAATACAGTAAAGGCATGATAAACGTAGGCCACCCACACCATGAGCTATCTCACACTATCTCACACTATGTTTCCTGACTTTACATTTATCGTGTTACATCTTTTATTTCAATGCCGTGGCATTAGTTTACTTTGTTTTCTTTCAATATCCTTAAGCATTATTTCATATCATTCAATCCCTCATTGTCACCAAGTACATGTAATACAAATAAAGTATTGCTACGTCATGCAAATATTGATATATTATCCTTAGAACATCACCAGAGATACTATAAATATACAATAAAAAGGATATTGCTAATTTGTATGACTATATATAATTCTTTCATGTAGACTACACACATGCACATGTATAGTAAATGTCTGCCTTTTGGCAGGTTGATAGGCTACACTTGATGTAGTAAAAGATTCCTTTTCAAAGTAAAAATGTACCAATAGTGTATTTCCTCGTTAAACATTACTCACTTGGAATGAGTGATGACCACTACAATGATTTGCTCGTCTGGTACATGACTACTCATGAACACATCAAACTCTACGTCACGAATAAGGGGGAGACGCCGCCTGTCACATCTACGAGTACATTAATGCATATTATAGTCAGAAAATGTAATAAAAAATTGGGGTCATTTTGGGGCCAATTTTTGGAAAAACCATGGGCTATAGCCTTGGGTATTTTTCCAAAATTGGCTGGTTTTTAAAATGGCCATAACTCAAAAAATTGAAGTTGGAATCAGTTCAAACTAGCTACACAGCATAAGGACATCAATATGTATTAGAAAATGTAATAAAAATTTGGGGTCATTTCGGAGCCATTTTTTGGAAAAACCATGGGCTATAGTACATGCAGCCTTTGGCCCAGTTTTTGAGCAACTTTAAAAATTCATAAAAAATCCAAATTTGATCAGAATCAACCCAAATTTTCTACACGACATAAAAACATGTACATGCATCAGAAAAAATTATAAAAATGGAGAATTCTCTCCTAGTCATTTTTGGGAAAATAGCCCATGGTTTTTGACTCAATTCTGAGCAACTTTAATATCTAAGTGAGCACTGTGCCAAAATCCTGTGAAATTTAAGCCCTGATATTAAAGGTTACATATTAAATTATAGTATACAATTGTTGTAGTATGATCCTAAGTCTTACTTGCATTGTGGTGGTTCTGTTAATTTCCTAACAATCATCTCATGTAGTGCACTGATACAGGAATTGGTTAAGGAAACCAGCACATGAAATACAAAGGATTCTCACATATTATTACATCTTTATGAACTACTACTGGCAATAATACAAATTGTACATGTAAATAAAAGTAGCTAAAGATACACAGGACATCCACATTTATTCGAATGAGGTGGGCGTGGCTTCGGTTTAGCCCGTCCTACTTTGAAAGGCTGGACCTGATCCTGTGACTTTGGTCGCTCAATTATACTAAAAACACAAAAAAGAATTTTTTACTAAAGTTCCTTTCTGCAATAAAGTAAAGTACTGCATGGTGATCCTTACAGGTCATTGAACGGTGACATTGGTAGGTTTGGTGTTGGTGAGGTTCCCACTACTGGTGCTGGTGATTGTGAGAGTGGAGCAGGTGCAGGTGTCGCACTTCTGCTCTCAATAACGTGAAGAGGCAGAGAAGAGGAGCAAGGTAGCAGTGTCAAGGACGAGGACTGGAGGTTCAAGAGATGGTGAGTGGATCTACGAGTTGAGAGACGAGTCTGTGGACGTGATCCAGGATGAGATCTCAAGTTAAGCGATGACCACAACTGATGAGTTGATCCTAACAATAGATAACAATAATAATGAGTTATTAAATTCCTATGCTTCCTGTATCATAATAATAATAATAATAATAATAATAATAATAATAAGTACCTGATAGTGACTGTAGACCATTGATGCTGTTATTACGAGCTTTAATACCTAACAACTGACGATAATGACCCAACCAGTCATTAACTATCGTACTGAGAGAAAGAAAGAGCAAACGGTAGAGAGAGAGAGAGAGAGAGAGAGAGAGGATGTTCAAGATATGTCTGTTAATATCACAACATACGAGACTTTAGTACGATAATCCTCCAGTTCTTTTCCACTCCCTATCCTATCCCACTCGGACTGACTATGAGACTCCATAAGCTCCTCCCCTTTCTTACTAGCTCCGCCCAAAGACCTCCTGCTCTCTTGAGTGGCGAGGCCTCTACTGCGAGGTTTAGCGCTAGAAGCAGTCATTGGTAAAGTGACAGGAATAGACTCAGTATCAGACAGAGAGGCAGACTTTGAAGAATAAGTGGAATTGATCCATAATTGTTGTGTATATACAGTATATGGGAGGGTATATCAGTGATAATGAAACTTATAATATTATCGATTACTTTGGCTGCTTGAGATTGAAAGGTTAACGATGTTTGTAAAGTATCGGAAATAATGTGAGATTTTTTCATCTGCGAGAGAAATTAAGAGCAAACTTTTTAATACTTGTACATGTGTAGTAGTAGTAGTTGAAAATTATTTATTTGTGGAATGTGGACTAAGTTTGCTAGTACAAGTGAACATACATATACATGTACATGTACGTCTCAATATTCCATACCCAAAAAGATTCATTCCTAGTTTCCTGATCCAAAGCCTCCGGTATCAATCCAACAGGAAAACGTAACATTTGCCCGTGACAGGAAAACTTTAGAGTCATTTGTGTCCTGCCAGTAATCTGGACAGCAATGTGAGTATTGAGCTGTGGGCAGAGCATTAGTCATGTGACAGTCATGTGAGTCTACCTGTAGTAATATTGACTGGGACATTCTCTGAGGCAGAACTGGCCACTCCCAATCACGAATCAAGTGCCCGTCCTAAAAGTAGAAGAGAGAGTAAAATATATTCAATAATCATAATATGTGAAAAATTTCAAGGGATTAAACTTTCTGAAAATAAATCCCGTGGATTTAACTTTTGCAAATCATTCTTATCCTTCTTATTCAAATCAAAACAAAATCATGAAATTGGCAAAGTCTAGGTCCCTGAAAGTGACCAGTTATACGGTATGTGTTTTATAAAATACCTCGTCTAATAGCTTTCCTCCCTTAGCATCAGTAAGCATGTATATTAATCCATTTCTGTAATAGCAGGCAGCACGTCCATCAGGCATGAAGTAAGCAAGAAGGTTGTGTGAGTCATTATTATCAAACACTAGAGTGTATAGACCTCTTGAACCATCTCCCTTTCTGCTCATGCTTACAGCTATGTTACCAGAATAATAACTATAATAATAATTATGATAAAATAAGAATAATAATTATGATAAAATTAGAATACAATTATGACAGAATAAGAATATTAGTGTGATAAAATAAGAATTAAAATAGGAATATTAGTGTGACAATGGGGCCAATTAAAATCATAGTCATTCCATGCCACACAGAGCAACTTGCTAATGGCTATAGTGATTGTATTGCTAAGTACATACCGATCAGTTAATGGGCTAATGGAGTAGTTAACATAACAAAGTAAGTCATTCCCAAAATTGTGACGCAGCGAGTATTAATGCAATAACAACAGAAACAATAATAACACAATTAATAATAATAATAATAATAATAATAATAATAATAATAATAATAATAATAAATAAATAATTTTTTTTGAGTTACAGCCATCTTTGAAAAAGTAGCAAAATTTTCGGAAAAAGCAAAGGCTATTATAGCCCATGGTTTTTTTTCCAAAAAATGGCTCTAAAATCACCCCAAATTTTTATTACATTCTCTGATACATATTGATGTCCTTATGCCATGTAGAAAGTTTGAGCTGATTTAGACTAAAATTTTTCAAGTTATGGCCATTTAAAATAATTACATATACTAATTTCTTAAATCCTCATAATAATCAGTTTCTTTAATGTTTCAGTTTTCATCACTACATGATGCATATGTCTACATGCATGTATACATACTCTGATGCAAGTAAATCAACTACCCAGTGGGGGGATTTTTCTTTAATGCTTGTGTGCTTAATGAGAAATGCTAATATCCTGTTGGCTGCCACACAAGCAATGCTCTCTAAAAACTAATAATAATAATGATGACACAATTATTACAAAAATATGAATCCTGTTTTTGACTAATCAGGCGTTTAGACTAACGATGTAATTAAAACATGATGTGTTTGGAATTTGCACATTATTTGTAAGTGTACATGTACATGTACTGTGATGTGGTGACAGCTAAAAGTAAACACAAATGGAATGGAGGAAAAGATAAGGAAAAAATACATGAAGGCACTCAAGGCAGTCCATTGGGGCTTTCTTATTAACATAATATTACACACTAAGAGTTAATCGCCTGTAGAAGTTTTATTTTCTATTCAGAAATATTAAATTAGCTCCTGTTACACTATTTTATGTCTAATCTATAAATCTATTAAGTATAAATATTGTCATTATTTTAACAGCAAAATTATCATTTCTTAATCTAATAATGAACGTTTGTAATCAAATGACGCAATGTTCACACATTCCCCAATACACTAAGTAAAACCTTAAAACAACTGCAGTACGCATAATGTTCAAGCAATGTGCATACCATCCAGTTACAATACATACATTCGTTCTTCTCCTTAAATGTCTCCATTAAAAGCTTGGGGCTACAAGCATGGAAACATAAGTCTACATGTACACTCTATATTATAAATATAGGAGAACTCTCAAATACATGTAGAAGAAGCCTGGGTCCAAGACTGCAAGTTAAAGATTAACAAAATAGAAGCTAGCCCAGACCTCTATTTAGTAATACAAAATTGTCACAAATATCCTATGCCAGCATTTGCTCACACATACTTGCACAATCCTGATCCATCTGGTAACTGTAAGAGAGCCAATGGAGCATCCGAGGACATAAAGACAGGAGAAGGATGAGTCTCAGAAGAGACTGCACTGCCTAGCAAGCTAGGGGGCAGTTTACTAAGGACGGACGGTAATGGTAGACTGGTCGTACGGTGATGGTGTCTTGGACCTCTGAAGGAGCGAGAGTGACTGTCACTATAATAGGATACTAGAAGAGGACCATCCTCTCCTCTCAGTTTGGCGGTTAGTTTAGCTTCTTCTCGCTGTCTCATTGCCTCCTTTAGCTTAGCAGTGGCCCACTGGTTGAGGGTGTAACCTTCAGGGTCTTGGGACTGACTGGGGTGAACTATCCAACCTGAAGATGAAATGTAATATTCATTATTTAACTATTTGATGCATACCTTGATCAGCACAGAGTTTTGAACCGAGAGAGAATTTAATGAGTGATGACTGTATGCTGGAAACTGGAAGATATAAGTATAAATAAATAAATAAATAAATAAATAATAAGGTTAGGGATGGCCCTGGGATTAACCCATTACACTTTTAATGACATTTTTTTCTTTTGATGGCACAGAGTTAGTTAACAATGATATAATCTAATTCTTATTCTTGTTCTTATAAAAATAATAAAATGTACAGTGTAGCTTACTATCAATTTCTTTTTCTTCATTTTTCTCAAGTTCTTTCAATCCTAAATTAGCTCTTGACTTCCCTAAAAGCACCATACCACCACACACATATCATGCATACCACATAAGCCACTAAACCATTACCTTTCTTTAACATTTTTTCTTTCTCAGCTTTCTTCTTCATTGACTGAAACTTCTCCAGTCTCGTCTTAGGCCCCAGGATCTTACGAGAAGGTGCTTGAGACTCTCGCCTATACCTTAAGATCTGAGGCCCGTGAGCTGGTCCTCTTAATTCAGGCGGGAGTTTATCATACTCTGCAGCTGCTTCATGAGAGCTGTCACGTGATACATCAGATTTGATAGAGACACCAGAAGCAGTGCTCTTGGCAGTGAGTGGTCTCTCTATATCGCCTTGGGACATCTTTGCAATACCTTTAGCCAGTCTAATGTCCTTTGTACTACTTTCCTTCTCTTCCTTTGGTTTATAATCTAAGTAAGCGTCTGTCTGCCACTCCCTCTTGTCAACGATAGTGTCTATCACTAGCTGGTAGAAGGTGAATGTCACTAGTTGTGCAATGGAGACTGGGACGTTGATTTCTTCTGGTATTGCTTTGAATCGCTGCGTTAAGTTTGATAGGATCCCGGCCGAGATGATCTTAAGTTCGTCAAATTTGTAACGAGGTTGATTGGACCGTATCACCTCAAGCTCCTCCTCCTCTTGTTGTTCCTGTTCCTCTTTCTCCTCCTCTTTGATGACTTGGGAGCGACGACGCTTCCTTTGATCCTATTTTATAAATGAAATATAAAAAATAACTTTATAATAATAATAATAATAATAATACTGTAATAGTGTTTTTATAACTCATTAAATAAGAAGCTGACCCCAATTAGTTAACTCAATTATCCAATTGATTAACCAAAATACCCGATTTCATCCGAAAAATTAAAATTGAATTCACACAATAAAAAGAATATAAAGTAACTATGTAATACTACCACACATGTACATTGCACTTATATGCACATCCAATTGATATTTTAAGATCAAATCAATGATTTATATCACACACATACACATGTACATGTACATGTACATGTACATGTATGCATGTAGTACATGTACACAAACAGTATACTCTATCTTACTTGTGTTGCAGTGTTATTATTGGTAGTCAGATGAGGTCCAGTAGCATCCACCGGAGGCAGCTGAACACTGTGCCTAGAGACAGCAGAGGCTGGTCTTTTAGGATAAGACTTTTGCTTCCCTTCGTCTCCTTCTTTGATGGCCTTTGGTCTAAAGCTAAGTACAGGCTCCTTCTTGTCTCCGAAGACAGAGAGAGAGTCTAAGTGTTTGCGGGTCCGACGTACAAGAACTCTCCTCCTTTGACTAAAGAAGTATGATTGCTTTGGCTGGTGAGACATACATGTATACCTTCACTATAAAGAGTGAGGGAGAGAGAGAGAGAGGTGATAGAAAAGTATTAATTCGGTGGACATGTGAGCCTGTGTAGTGTGTACTTACCTAATGGAGACAAGAAAAGGGAGAGACTTGTGATCCCATTGCTATAGCAACAGGATAGGGTGTGGCACCGCTATGAATGTTATCAGCGTATTCACATGTACATGTGCACATGTAGATGTATTAGTAAACATGAATATTAATGAGGTTGAAATTACACAAAAAAATGCATTTTAAAACAGATCAAGTTACGTGTATATGTACATTCTAGTCAATTTCCATAAAGCTGCTACACACAAAAACACAATTAAAAAAGAAATAAATTCTGATATAATGAAAGTACGGGGGACATAAAAGCAATGGACTGGAACAGAATCCAAAAAGGAGACGATAATACTTACGTTAGCAAACCATGGAGACAAATAATAGCTACATGTGCAGTGATGTAACCTACTACATGTATGTGTGTGTGCATTGTGATGAACTCTTAGTGTGAAGTGTAACCAAAAACAATGAAAGGACAATCAAGATTTATAAATAATCCAAGGTAAAACAATAAGCCAATCATGTTGCGGTGAGAATGAGGCATCAATTACTACGCCATACCATCACACCAGTGATGGAATCATGCATATAAAATACTACTATTATTCAAATTAGGATCAAGGGAAAGAAATGCAATAAAAATGTGAAGAGAGAGTAGGAGACGTAGGGATTTAGTAGAAAGAATGAATGGGAGTGAAATACTGAAAGTACAACTCAAGCTTGTAACTATGCAACATATGTTAGGAGGAGTAAATGGGGAATGCCTCTACTCATTCCTCATAGTAGTAATAGCTGATGCTACATTCAGTTATATCTTATACTAACAATCAATTTATGCAAGCACTGCTAACATACACAATTCCAGGAATCACCCACACACACACACATCAAACAAAAAACAAAGTCCACATTATGTATAGAAAACTGACTGTGCTCCCCATATACCAATTATGTACACAGACATCCTCATTGTGCAGTGTTTAGCTAGCACTACGGGTACACTCCTCAACTCAAATAAAGTTCAACAAGTTTAAAACAACTCACATGGCCATAATAGCATTAATTATAACATAACAATTCAGAAATGATATAATAACGTAATATTCACTGCCACACACAAGCTGTCAGCCAAGTAGAACAAAAAGGAAGAAGAACAAACTGCTACCGCATTCCACAAACACATGCTCATACAATACATGTACACATGTTGCTGCATCCTATAGTCAGATGGACGAGCTTCCTCTATGGTACATGTACATGTGTCAGAAAATGTTTTAAATGCTTAAGGCTTGATTGTAAGGTCTGTTGGCTATCAGAAATGCAATGAAAATTGGAGTTGTGCCAATATACATGGTATCTTTTTTTCAGTATGGAATACAAGAACAACAACAATAATAATAATAATAATAATGATAATAATAATAATAAAGTTTCTCTTATTTCTTGTTTTGTCCTTAGTGTATTTTATTGTGTATGTCTGTGTGTTGTATTGTATAATAATAATAATAATAATAATAATAATAATGATAATAATAATAATAATAATAATAATAATAATGATAATAAATATAACTGGATTAATGGTGCCCATCAAAATAACAATAATTGGATTTTTGAGTCATAGAGAGAGTAGCATGTACATGTAAATGCATGTAAGAATTAAATAATAAGTCACAATTAATATCAGCCATTATCAGCTATAATAATAATAATAATTGTAAATATTATAATTATAATGTATTGCTATCATATTAGACTGTCATTTTGTGCTAGTATAAGACAGCTTATGGCAAAGTAAAAGAGAAGTACTGGATATATTACAAGAGCTTTCCTGTTGGCTGGAAGGTACTCCGACAAGAAACCAAGAGATCCTAATAGATGAGAGAGAGAGAGAATGGAAACAGTATAATTATTATGTTGAAATTTTTAATTTGTAGCATTTCAAATTACAACATGTATGCATTCAAAAATACAATAAAAATGGAAAAAATTTCTCTTAGCCTACCAAACATTATTAAATTAATTAATTAATTAACATACCCCAAACAGACCAAAACAAAGCCACGCCCACAATAACAAGTCTAATTATAAAAATGGCGGAAGGCGGAACAGGAAGTGTTAACAGAAGACGAGAGAGCAAGACAGCAAGAGTCAGTGGGAGGAGACAGTATCCTAATGTACAGACACTCTGGAAGAATGAACTAAAAAAAAGAAGGAATGTGACTTGATTTTAATATTTGTAAAATATACTTAATATTTTTAATATATATTTTATAATATTTCATAATATTCTTGTATTTCAGCACATTTGGAGCAACTTTAAAAATTTGTAAAAGATCCAAATTTGATCGGAATCAACTCAAACTTGCTACACAATATAAGAACATGTACATGTATCAGAAAATATTATAAAAATCAAGAATTCTTCCCTTTTCAATTTTGGCAAAATTTGGCCTGGGACCATGTACTATAGTACAGGGACTTTTACTCAATTTTGGAGCAACTTTTAAAAATTCGTAAAAAATCCAAACTTGATTGGAATCAACTCAAACTTTCTACACAACATAAGTACATGTATATGCATCAGAAAATGTAATAAAAATCGAGAATTCTCTCCTTGTCAATTTTGTCAAAATTTGGCCCGTGACCATGTACTATAGTACAGGGACTTTTACCCGATTTTAGAGCAACTTAAAAAATTCGTAAAAAATTCAGTTTTGATCAGAATCAGCTCAAACTTTCTATACAACATAAGTACATGTATATGCATCAGAAAATGTAATAAAAATGGAGAATTCTCTTCTTGTCAATTTTGCCGAAATTTGGCTCGTAACCATGTGCTATAGTACAGGGACTTTTACCCGATTTTGGAGCAACTTTAAAAATTCGTAAAAAATCCAAATTTAATTGGAATCAGCTCAAACTTTCAATGCAACATAAAAACATGTATATGTATCAGAAAATATTATAAAAATGAAGAATTTTTTCCTTTTAAATTTTGGCAAAATTTGGCCTGAGACCATGTACTATAGTACAGGGACTTTGGCCCAGTTTTTGAGCAAATTTAAAAAAAATCAAATTTGACCAAAATGAGCTCAAGTTCTAATTTTGTAGTGGTAACCTGTAATAATGGATGTGGTCATAATTCTCTGATTTATTAGCAAATTTTTTTACACAACTCAAAATATTTAAATTCTCAAAATATATAAAGTAGTACTAGCAACCCAAAATAATTACATGTACATGTCATGTAGCCTATTTAATTAAAGGGGCACTTACACTTTTCCCCTCAGCAACTGAGCATTGATGGTTACGACTGCAGCCCCGCCCCAAACCATGACAAACACATGTACAAAATGTATAGTGGGCTCCTCGTTACTTCCATGCCCCGCCCCATGCAGTAATCTAAAAATAAATAGAAAATTAAATTTATCAAAAAATTAGGTGAAGTTAACAAATGAAGTTAGATATATTCATCTTGTTTTATATTAATGTTAATAATATTAATTGATTTTTAAAAAATAATATTATTAATTATTATGATTGATATTTAAACTAATTTTAACCCTTTAGCAACTTACAATCCAAGTAGAAGGCACAGCAATAAAGGGCCCCATAAGTCCCCTGTCAAATAAAACCAGTGTATAAGTGTATTGTAAGCATAAATAGTATCTTACAATCGTGGAGCAGTGCCTTGTTGCGGCCTGGTAGGAGTACATACCAACATTTGGTAAGGATGGCCTTTAAATCTCTTTTCTAAATTATATAATAACGAGTGGATTTATAATGGCACTTACTATTGTCACGTATACAGGTTCATCTAACGTCCCAATGTCATTCTCTCGTCCACGAGACTGAGTATCAACAATATTTCCACTGACTTCTTCGGCAGCCATAATTAACCAGTTAATTATTAAGTAATAAAATATTTAATTAGTTAGCTCGTTAATATTCATTAGGAAGGTCACGTGGCTATGCCCAATCGGTTTAAACGTTGCTTAGCAACTATTGACGTTAAGCGGGAAAAGAAGGAGAACAAGAAGAAGGAGAACAAGAAGAAGAAGCACGAGGCAGCCATTCTCTCTCTTCTCAGGTTTTATCCTTCTCCATCTATTTACCCTCTCTTTCTTTTAGTAGGTTTGCTGGACTAACTGTTGGAAAAAAGCAGACAGGTTACTGTGTTTTGTATGTACAAGCTTGTAACATTCTTTATGTAGGAAGGAGCCATGACTTGTTACTGTCTGGATAATTAATAAGATAAGTTAATGCACACACAGAGTGTTCTTGTATATGAATGTGTGATGAATAATGGAGGGAATAGTTTATCTAAGTGTCAGTTGGTAAAGACAATGAGCAAAGCAAGAGTGAGAAATACATGTAATGGGGAAAAACGAGTGGTTTTGCTCTTTGCCTTTCCACTGGCATTTTGGTAAAATTCTCACTTTATTCTTTTACATGCTCACTCATTATTTGTTATTATTTGGGTTTATTCTTTCACTAAAAGTGGTCTTATTGACATGAATTGTGTCTTTTGTATTATTTTCAGGTTGATGTGCATCATTACTAGTATCAACAGATTAAAGACAGTTTTCTATTGGTTAAAGAGTAATATCCACACACTATCGTGTACATGTACATCCTATTTAATAACATGTATTCTCTTTTCTTTCCCTTAAGATTAGTAGATTACTATACACAGATTCAAGCCAGCATGCAGTCTTCTTCATCATCAATTAAGTCCAAGACTTAGTGTATGGTAACAATGTATCTATTGCATGCTACAAATAACCTTGGTTACAGTGCTAATAATAAATGGCTCATTTTACCACTATTCACCCCATTACATGTAATAAAGCACTGTCCCTATTGATCTTTACTTATTCTAATGTTTAAACATTTTTCTACTTTATTTCTATACAGGACGATGTTCTCTGGAGTCAAGATTAAAGTTGGTTGAGTGTGAGGTAGTGTGAGAGTTAATAATGCATATTATGCATGTATAATTATAATCCACATATATATATTCTTGCGCCCCCCCCCACTCTAGTAGGCCTGACTGTTCTGGACTGGGCTCAGGATCAAGATTAAAGTTGGTTGAGTGTGAGGTAGTGTGAGAGTTAATAATGCATATTATGCATGTATTATAATATAATCCACATATATTCTTGCGCCCCCCCCCCCCACTCTAGTAGGCCTGACTGTTCTGGACCTGGACTCAGGATCAAGATTAAAGTTGGTTGAGTGTGAGGTAGTGCGAGAGTTAATAATGCATATTATGCATGTATTATAATATAATCCACATGCTCCTTAGCTATAGGTAGGCCTGTTTCCTGTCTCTGGACCAGCCCTGGATGGTAAGGATTGATTGCATATTTACACTAGCTGTTGTTACATGTAATGGGGTGAATAGTGGTAAAATGAGCCTATGGTTTTAAAATTTTGAATAATAAAAAATGGAAAAAAAGAAAAATAATAAAATAATAATAAATAATAATTTTTAATTAATTAATGAGTAGGTGGGGCTAGTGGAATTATAACCACACCCCCAAAGAGGTGAGTTAGTCACGCCCCCAATATGAAAATAATTATAAGTCACACCCTTTGCTAATGAAAATAGGCGTGGTTGTTGCATAATTAATAGGTGGAAAATAGCATCATTGTGATAGCATTAACAGAATTTGTGTTGTCAGGAATGAGAAAGAATAGCAGCTTTTTTATCTTTAAGAAAAAGAAAAGCACTTTGCACCAGATCTGCAGCTCTATAATCATAATAGCTATTATCTTTGACCATAGAACCAGGGATATTATTCATTAAAATTAATGGCAGCAATCAATGGCATCTTAGCAAAATAGCTGAATGTAAATTGTTATAACTAAAAAACCAGCAACAGGAAAAATTCAAAAACAACTTTAAACAATGTAAAAACATGTAAAGGGTCTCTTTATTGTAGTTTCATAGCAATAGAATGTAGTCTATTCTCCTGAGAGGTACGCAAAAGTCGTACCATGGCAAACTGGTTTTTCTTGAATATTTCCTGAAGAACACTCTGGAGAAACAAGAGAAGTTGCCTAAACAATGTAATAAAGTAAGTAGCAACACTTCATGACAAAAACACATTCATAGAAACAAATATTTGGGCTACAGAGGTACGCAAATGGAATTTTAGCCGTAAATTGAAGATTTAAACAATTTAAAACAAATATTAACTTACAATAACCTATCAGAACCTTGAAGCCGCCCTTATAACTTTGCAGTAGATGTTTCATAAAGCTAAATACATTTTTAAAAGAGAAAAGAGCAACTTCATACTCCAGACATTGACAGTCGCCATCTTGAAAATCATAACAGAGACTGCAAAAAGTTTTTATACACAAATGATGCGCTCACGTGATCCCGTTGCCAATCCCGGTTACGTTAGTCTATGGTCTATTATATATCCCTGATAGAACACACCTACTCAATTACTCCTAAAATAAACCACGTGGCCTTAAAACACAGTGAGGTCAGGTATCACGGTCAGTCTGTCACCATAGACATGGGACTGGAAGCCAGCCACGTCTCTTTAAGCCTGGAGCAAGGTGGAGACTTAAGAGTGTTTATCTCAGGACGGCTTAAAATTGAGGAACTGGGGAGTGGGAAGGTGTTAATTGAAGGTAGCTCTTTTGTCATTATTTCAGAATTTGACGATAGCTATCATGGCTATGAATCTGTTGCCATCAATGAGTCAAGGTGCATGCACAACGGCAATGATGGGGGAGAATTTTGCCATGGACGGCTTTCTCTTTTACTTCCAACCAGGAATGGATTTGCGAGACTATCTTTCTCATTGTTTATGTTATTATTTTGATCTTATAATTTGAGACCTTTTTCTTGTAGCTCATTACTTTTGATTTAGATTTAGCTCACTTTGTTTGGAAATAAAAATTGATGATAAATATTAATTAATAATGGCTACACCATAGATATTTACTCTAATATCTATGGCTACACCATAGATATTTACTCTATTATCTATGGCTACACCCATTGGATGGGTCACGCCTATAATAATGCAATCGTATGAGACCCCGCCCTCCTCGTAAGCTATCTCTGATGATTTTTTTAGACTTTGACTAGCAACACTCTTTCCTTCTTGTTGGTTGCTCTCTTCTTTGACCTGGTTGTTCGGTATCCCCAACTCTTCATCTCCTTCCCCCTCTCCTATCAGCGGGCCTGCCATGAGGGGGAGAAAAGAAGCTCTGATCCCGTCTATCTCCTTGTCTCACTCCCTCATCTTTGACCTTTCCTTCCTTCTCTTCTTGGCTGCTATTACAGCTGCTCTTGACAATAGTCAAATAAAAGATTGTGGCATCACGTCATCTCTGAAAGCTGATCCGGTGAGTTCCTAATCAAAGTGTCACAGTTACATGTACATGTATATATATTATATATATCTACAATTTTTGTATTGATGTGTTATTGCCTTCTGTGTCTCTTACCTTTTCTCTGCTTCTTTTCTTCTTCTTTAGCATCCTGAGTTTGCTGAGACGTCTAATAGTTTGCAGGCTCAGTGGGTCAGCCAAGATGTAAGCTTCACGATGTTATTTTTGACATTCATTCATGTGCGCTCGACTAATTTTCAAGTTTTTGTGTGACACTTGACTTTGTATACTTTAAACACTTATAGTTTTACTCCTCTTTCTCCCTACCTTTCTCTTTTTCTTTTTCCTCTCTCTCTCTCTCTCTCTCTCTCTCTCTCTCTCTCTCTCTCTCTCTCTCTCTCTCTCTCTCTCTCTCTCTCTCTCTCTCTCTCTCTCTTGATATGTAGGTTATTTTAGTAATTGGTAGCAGTTTATCTGGTCCTAATCCAACTAACGTTTGGTTGGGGTAAGTGAACTTTTATTGTACATGCTACAGTATTATAATGATAATGATAATTGTATTTTGACTTGAGCATTATTATACACAATGAACAATGTACTGTATTGTGTACAAGTATACAGTAGATGTAACTCATTGATGCATTATAGGCATGAATTGTGCCACTACAAGTACTGTATTAAGCCATGATTTTGTGAGGGATTTTATAAGAGGCCCATGGCCAATGATTTCCTTTGCCCTATACCAATTACATACTATAGTAGCATCAATTAATATCCTATTACCAGGGGAGGATTAGTGGCTGATAAGTTATGTCTCATATCCTCAGTACATGCATACATGCACTGTATGCATTCTTGTTTGTTATTTTGGCATTATATTTTTGTTGGTGAGCCGTTGTATTATCATTAGTCTATTGTTGTTATCTTTAGTGCTTTCATTATCACATTTTTTATTGCATGCAGCTGCATAACACATAACATTATCTAATAGCATGTGACAGCACAGCAGAGTACATGTACATTATGAATATTATTTACTGGTATTATTGCACATGGACATGAATGTGTAAGGGAGAAATGACATCCAATATATTGTGAGGAGTAAATTGCATGCCTAATTGATTGTACATGTACAATAGACATATTTATACATGTACATGTATGTTTACAATACATGTGTGTTTTAGAGTGAATTTGTTCATGAATGATGTTTATTTTGCCTACTTAAGCATATAATTTGATATTTTTTTCACTCCCTTTCCCCTCTTACCACTTCTCTCTCTCTCTTTCTTCTTTTTCTCTCCCTCCCTCTCTTTCTCTCTCCGTTAGTTCCCGCTCATCTAAAACTGGTCTGTATCACTTTGCTAAGCACAATGGTATTAATGAAGCAGTTAACACACAATCATTACAGATATCACGCAATGGGTTTAACACAGTAAGTATAATCAGTATAATCAGCTTGTACATTGAAAGCATAGTTTTTATATTATTATACACGCACAGGTACCTGATTTTGCATGTACATGTACATGTATATATGCATTGTAGACATAAAAGTAGAGAATATTTGTGATATGATTGCATTACTGAGTATGATAATAGTGAATGATGACTTACATTATCATGATATCAGCTACTCAATGGCTCCTTGGTGGCTAGACGTTACATCCACTATAAATGAATACATTGAAACTGGACAAATGAATGATAGTGCATCAATTGCTTTGTAACTTAATATGTACAATGTACATGTACAGTACATGTACTGTATTTGTGAATGGAAGGGCTTTTAATCAATGAATGTCCATTTACATGTATACATGTAAATGGACAATATTATTATACGTGTACATGTACATGTAATTTAAGGTTGAAATTTATAGTACATCAGCTACATGTACATGTATAAAGCTTGCTTCATGTGCTTAAAAGACAGGTTTTTTAATAATTTTAAAATGTAATTTTAAAATGTAAATTTTGATAGGAATCAGCTCAAACTTTAATTTATTAATGTGCATTCTTTCCTTATAGGCTGTCGTAGTAGCCGAGTCACAGAAGACCCTTTACGTTAGTACTAATGGAGGAATGGATTGGTCTAATCATAATCTTCCCGAGTCTTCCTTTAATCCTTTAACTGACCTCATGCTCAGTCCTGTTAATCCGTCCCACATGAGTCTGAGGACCAACAAAGGAAACGTCAGTATAGAACTACAAGTACAAGTACATGTAACACTGATCACTGTTGGATCAGTTTGAATCAAGCATTTGTTGAATCATAATACAATCACTGATCAGTTTGAATCTTAATATGATTTGTACATATGTATGAATCCTGTAATTGAGCTGCTTTATTAATACGTGTACTGTACATGTACATGTACATCTATATCTTTTCTTACTTCTGTTTTTATTTTGTTGTCTCTCCCTCTCTCTCAATCCATTTATTGTCAATAATAGCTATACTTCTCATACAATCATGGTAAATCATGGAATCGTATTGGTAAACACGTCCAGCAGGCCACGTTTGTCAACACGACCTCAGAAAACGAGTTCCTTTTCTTCTCCACTAGTTCTCTTATACCAAAAATATTTCCGCTTTATCGTTATGACGTGCGGACAAAGAAAAACAAAGGTACAATACTACATGCATGTACATGTATATGTACCAGTCATAGATAACAGTACATAATTTACACCTCACAAAATTGATAATTTTTTATCAATGCTTATAACAACACTTGACTCTGTTTATTTAGCTGATGGGTTAAGTGCTAGCTCAGCTGGCTCAAGAATAACTTGCTTTTATCATGAGTTTCAACTAGTACAAGCTTAACACTATTTTTATCAAAATTACTGTTTGTTTTAACAGTTATTTTTTCAAATTTGGTGTATGTGTGTCTTATTAAATTTATTTCCCTTGAATGCCAATGTAACCATGTGCTGTAGTGTTGCTGTACTATTAATACTAGTGTACTTTTCTTGCCCTTAAGGCTGTATTTATTAATGTTTTTTGAATCATTTAGAGATTGACCAGGCTGCCTATAGATATTCCGTTGATAACAATTACTTATATGTATCAAGACAGAATTACACTGGAAGTGCTGTACGTATTAATAACTTAATTTCTTTAATATTTCATTCTCTACTTTATACATGTACATGTACTTGTAGTCCGACAGCCGTACAAGACGGTTCTACGTGTCGACAGACTTTGACAGAGATCGTGTGACGTTTAGAGAAGTTCAGCTGCCTGCCGCTGAATGGGAAGATGTAAGGAGCAGATCATAATGCAGCAATTAATGTAGAGTATTATTGTATATGCATGTAGTTTGTGTCTGTAATGGCTACTCATGAGACTGGAGCCTTCATACATATATCAAAAGCAAAAGGTACAGTATATACCTGTACATGTATGTATGTATGTTATGTGACATACATTGTTTATTGTTTATTGTGATGTTGTCTGTTTAGATAAAGAAAAGGGCCAGTTGTTTGTTTCTGATAAAAGTGGAGCAATTTTTACTCTGTCACTTGACAATCACATGGTATGTAATGGAGTATTGATTCATCCACCCTCTTTAATGGACATGTACATGCATTCACATATACCCCTTTATTGTATATGTACATGCATTGACATACATGTACATGTATACCCTTTTTTATGTACATGTACATGTACATGTACACAATGTACATGCATTCACATGTACCCTCTTTAATGTACATGTACATGTACATGCATTAATTCACATATATCCTCTTTAATGTATAATGTGCTTGTATTTCTTTTACAGCTTCAACGTGTCTCAATAGCTTACGTTAGTATCCTTGCCTTTGATGACTTCTATGAAGTTAAGTCAATGAGGGGAGTCTACATATCAACTGTTGTTGAATCAGGTACTACTACATGTACTAGTCTAGGTTGCTATATTTCTTATGTGATTGTGTGAGTGACATTTTGTTAACATGGCCTCTCTCTCTGTCTATAGGGAATCATTATTCCGTCATAACGTTTAACAATGGAGCCAGCTGGCAGAGGATCAGTCCACCACCTGGCACTAATTGTGTATGTGGAGTAGTTGTGTCTAGTACTGATCTACAAAGCCAAGAATTTTCATGCCTGATCCAGGACTGTTGCCCAAAATTACTGGATCAGGCTTGATATCAGTATTGGTACAGCACTGATGACTATCATTGCTGAATCATGAAAGTTGGTCTGGCCTGATCCAGTGTTGATCCTTGTGCCTGTACCATGGCTGACTCCATGATTGTATCAGGACTGATTCAGACTGAATCAGTCCTGATCCACGTGCTAACTCTTGGCTGTGTACTTTGATTCTTATTTCTGTCTTAATCTTTTTATCACTGCATGTTATACATGTACATGTACGTGTACATTTATATGCATGATTTCTTTATTTTTATTACATGTATGTTATAAACTATTCCTTTTTTCTTTTGTTAGTTGTTGTCAAGTGGTTGCTCATTGCATCTTCACATGTCCTACTCACAGGCGGTTAATGCTAGTTTTAAAAATGGACCATTGTCAGTCTCCAGTGCTGTAGGAGTCATCATAGCTCAGGGTTGGTACTACATGTACATGTACACGTGCATTTATGCATTGACATGTACTGTACAATATCATGTTGCACATGACATTTTTCATTTCATAATTATTCTCATTATTTTTAGGATCTATTGGAAAAACAAGAAGTTACAATCCGTCTGATTCGAGAGTTTTTATATCAGACGATGGAGGGTATACATGGAAGGTAATGGCATTAATTGCTACAACATAATATGTATGGATGCTGTTAATTCCTCTTTGTAGATGCATAGCAATTTGACTGGTACCTATTCCTATGGGATTGCTAATCATGGAAACATCATTGCTGCAGTCCCTGATCACCAATTCTCCAGGACGATATGGTAACCATGGCTACGAGGCCACACCCCCAATTACTTTTGCAAATAGGTTTTCTCATGACAGAGGGGATTGTTTCAAACCCGAGGATATTGACACCACGGGGTCCTTTAAAGTTACCAAAGGACTCCTAATGGATCCACTGGGTCTGGGAATGTTTGCTTTCGCACTGGGTCTGGAAGGAACGGACATTAATGACATGTGGAGACTAATAGCTATTGACTTTCATTCCATACTGGATTCACCATGTTAGTTTATTAATACACAAATACTGTACATGTATTTTGGTGGAATGCAATGCACCTGAAGGTGTACCACAGGATTTTGGCATAGTGCATGTACATGTACATGTACATGTATATCGCACAATTTTTAATATCTCTCCCATCTTTCTATTCCTTAGGCCACAGTCAGGACTATATGCTGGTGACTGAGCACAATATATCATCAACCTGTATTCTCGGATACAAGAAACAATTTCACATCACTAAACCAACATCATTGTTAGCCCTCGTCAATAGCTATACTATTTATTATTATTATTATTATTATTGTTGTTGTTGTTGTTGTTGTTGTTGTTGTTATTACTGTTATACATGCTGTTTTTTGCTAGCTGTTACAATGATGCTGGTTATATTCCTGAGAGTAAAGTGATACGTTGTAACTGTACCTATACTGACATGGAATGGTAAGCATTATTATTATTTGTTAGACGTAATAATACTTTTCATTATTCTTCTAGTGATTATGGGTACATTATGAATCAAAGTACAAATAAATGTCTACCAATCAGTGGATTCAACTTATCATCAGTCTGTCCACCTGGTCACGATACGTATCAACAAAGTATCCACGGGTACATAATTTAAATTACATGTACATTGTACATGTATGCCTTTATTATTTTTGTCTCTCTCTTTCTCCATTTTTGCCCTCCTTCTTTTTAAAACAGGTACAGACTGATAGCAGGTGATAAGTGTCTACCAAACGACCAATCAAAGGAGCTGCTGAAGACCAAGTTAATCCAGTGTACTGGGCACGAAGCTCCTGGGGGATATGTCATTTCAACAGGATCTGTAAGTTTTGAAAAACCACCACCAAATGTGCTTGTGCAAGTGCAAAACTATGATTTATATAATCATACATGTACATGTATATTTAGCTAGAAGACTTAAGGATCACAAATTTGTGAATGTTCTGTATAACTTGCAAATATTTCAAATGTTTCTATAGTACTAGCTAGTACATGTACATGTAGATTCAAGAAAATGATAATTCTAAGTGCAGTTGTCACCCTTTTACTGTCTCTTGCTCTTTTCTTTTATCCTAATAGCCAGCAGCAATGAAAGTGGTTGGTGTGTTAATATTTGTCATTAGTGTTCTCTTAGCTGGTGCTTGTGCTATTTATTGTTATGTCCATTGCAAGTCAAAATCACGCAACAAATTGTAAGCTTCCCCTAAACTAACATTATGTCACATGTGATAATGATGTATGTGTTTAGTCATGATAGAGTCGTATATAAGAGAGTTCCCTTGAAGGAGCCTGGAGTGTCTTCAGGCGGTGAACCGAGTTCTTCGAGTGATGATGACTTACTTAATTAAGACTAATACAGTATTATTAATAATAATAATAATAATAATAATAATAGTAATCATGATTAATTATTTTTAATAGCTTTTAATAGCATTCTGTTGATAATAAAGTTACATTTGTTGTTTTCTGTGTAAAGCAGTCAATCTCTCTAGCCGATCTGTGATGATACATGTATAAAATGGTTAATTAATTGGTGGGTGTGGTGAAATTATGTACATGTACCTTCGAATGAAGGATGAGAAGTGAAACTAGTCGGGAACGATTTTGACCTTGAGCTAGTGTCACTAAAAATAATTATAAATTAATTTATGGCTAGTATTATTACTGCCATTTCAACTTTTCACTCTCTCCCTTACTCTAATGCTCTTAATCTTTTATCTAATTCAATCCTCTTCTTTGCGAATGTGATCCCACCCTCACTGTAGCTCCGCCCACATAGCCCCGCCCTGTTATCAGCTCTGTGTTCTTGCCAATGACCTAATGATGATGATAAAAATGTATCTTTTGTACATGTACAATGTACATGTATTTACTGGAGCCAAACTGTATTGTGACACAAAATGTACATATGTGTGTGTGAGGAACTACATGTACATGTACATGTATAAGTGTTTGAAAATCACAAAAACGACAGCCATCTTGAAAAACCAACCTCAATCCTACATTATAGGCTACCGTCCATATAATAGTATCACTGTACAATAATAATAAACAAACATGTACATGTACTTGGACTTCAAAATTATTTATAATCATTATACTTACATAAAGCATAGTAAATGTTGTTATAAATAAAATAGACTCCACCTATTGTAAACGGTAGCAGCTGTACCATTGGGTTCTTTATAGTAAAAACTATAATAATAGAAATGGAATTGAGAATGGGAACATTTAAATGAAAAGAAAAGGAGAGGAGATAGAGTGCAGGAGATAAGAAGACATAGATGGTGGTAGCATGGTAGTTACATTGAGGTAGGATTGAGGTTGCATGGTAGACTATAACTGGTGATACTGCGGCTAGCAAAGAGCGAGAAAGAAAGTCCAAATGTTGTATATGAGACAATTCGTGAGCTTTAGAGAAATAATTATAACAATTTTATTGATGTTTTAAATTTTGTTATATCGTACCGATTGCAAAGTCGACTTGCTCCCTGGTTGGTAAGAGTAACTCAGCAATCAGTTGACCATCCTTTGACCTCCAATCAATCTCTTCACCTAATACATATTCATATACATCAGTACAGGTGTAACTCATTATAATTAACCGCATAGCTCTAATCCCAGTTTCTCAATATCATTCGTAGTGTGACATAGCACAGTACTATAATGTGCAATGGTTACTATAGCAATGCAAACCACACCTACCTTGAAAGCCCAACAACAGCTCCGTAAGGAAATATCGAATTACCAGCACTATTACCTACAGCAGGTGATAATTAGTGGGTGTGGCTATACATTTAGCTATACATACTGCTTAATCCCTTGTTAATGTAGACTTTAATGCGATGCGGCATTCCTACATGCTGCCGAAATATCACATGATCATCACGTGATCAATCTTACCATTGAGGTAGCAATGGCCTCAACGCGTGCCTGGAGCTCTGGAGGTACATTGATTTTAAGTTCACTCCTATTAATAAATAAAATAATTAATTAATCTATGAATATAATTATAAAATGGACTTGAACACGCCCCCTAGCTCACTCTTGTTTGGTTATCGAGGGAAAGAGATGCTTTATGGAAGTGAGGCCTAGTAGTATACCGCTTGCTGTGTACATAATTCTCTTTAAACGAGTGAAAAACTCAGCAGACATTTTCCTGTTGGCTTCTAAATCTCGAGCTAAATCTTCCTGGTAAGTGGGCGGGACTGATTGGTGGTGGTGGGTTGTTAAAAAATGGCCGAGGTAACTTCGAATCTTACAGAAGGTGGTCCCGGGCCAGTAATGGCTAGCTCTCTCAGTTGTGACCTGACTGGACTCCCTAGCTTTATATTACAGTTCGTTCTAGGCTGTGTTGCTTTCAGTACACTGATAAGTGAGTGTTGGAATCCACTCGACAATGTGATCTGTCTTCCCTCCACTAGTTAAACGTTATAGAGAGAAAAAAGAAGTGAGACGACCTGTTTTAATATGGTAAGATGATATATATGGGTTCTATGTATGTGTATGCACATTTAGTGGCTTCTATGGTATCTTATTCAACGAATTTTATCATTACTTAATAAATGATTATTAGTCAGAATCAGCTCAGACTTTCTACATTATCATAAATGCATTAATACGTATCAGAAAATGTAATAGATATTTTTAAAAGCAGGAACTACATGTATAAATTATGCTATGAATTTTAATGATAGGATTGCCGATTCTTCTAAGCAAGCAATAGCAATGCTTGGTGCTCATTTTTGTAACTTGTTATTAGCCCAACTCTTACCACTAGAGGACACAGACCACTGCATCATGTAAGGATAGTACTCTACTACAACTACTCTGTACAATACATGTACATTCTCTGCACTATTTTTATGTTTTTTGTTTTGTTAATTGCAAAAATTAATTTAATTTTTTTATTTTTTATAGATATCTTCTAAATTTCCTTCTTGACTCAACCCTAGGCATCATCATTATATATGTTCTTTTAAAATTAGTTAAATGTATCGTCAACCATTTTAACTTTACTCCTCTCAAATCTGGGGAATACGGTTAGTGGATGGGGCCTTAATTGGCCGAACCACACCCACATTTCCTTATTAGGTGTTCCATTTCGTTGCAACTATTGGCTAGCTCAGTGTGGAGTTGTGTTACTGGTTATGCTAGTAATGAAACTAGTCATTGGGCCAATGGCTGTGTTTCACTTCTGGACAAAAGTAAAGATGAATCCGTTAGATTTTTAATTTTTTATGTACTTTTTTGTGGATTTAATGTACCAAAATTGAGATTTCTTAATGCGAATCACTGAAATGTACATTTATGTATTGTTTGGTTAATGTACTTTTGTAATTTCTTTTAGTGTGTTTTTGTCAATATCTATTCTACATGTACCTTCATTTTTGATTCTCATGCTTTAGGTGGGTCACGTCATACTGCCTTTCAAGAACAAAGAGCTGAGGACAGCAGTAGTAATTTTTATTGTTCCTTTTATAGTAAATGTAAGTTGGACGGACGATATTCTCAGTTGCATTTGGAGCAACTTTTAAAATTTTGTAAAAAAATTAAATTTTAATCTGAATCAGCTCAAACTTTCTACACAAAATAAGTACATGTATATGCATGAAAAAATATTGTTAAAATGAAAATTTTTTTCCTTTTTAATTTTGGCAAAATTTAGCCCAAGACAATGTACTACAGCACCAGGGACTTAGGCCTGATTTTGGAGCAACTTAAAAATTTATGAAATCAATTTATTTTGTCTTGTATATGTACATGCTTACAAATCATTAGCAGTGTCATCAGTATATGTTGTTTTTGCTAATAGGTCATGATGTTTTGGATTGTTGATAGCATCATTATGAGAAGCAATGACGATGTTATCCTTTACAAGAAAAACGACGAAAAACACCGTCATAGCAAAGAGCCTGTGAAATTTAGAAGAAAGCATCAGAACGTGTACCTCCCTCTATCTAATGGAGACACACAAGAGTTTGATGAAGAAGGAATGGACAGTACTCCTACTGGATCAATGGAAAATTTAACTGTTTAATTAACGGAAGATTTAAAATTATTCGTTATTATGTATATGTGTTTGTGTGTAATTAACGGTAACAGATTATTTTGAATCATAAAAGGTGTATCTTTCTGGGGTACCATAGATAAACACTGTTATTATTAATAGCTTTTTATAATAAATAAAAACAAGAGCTTGATATCATTTGTTGTGCAAAGAGGTGTGGTCACTTTATTACTAGTGACGTCATCGCTATAGAAACAAACAAGAGTACAAGACTTGCTCCAATTCATGTTTTCCAACCAAGTGAGTAAATCTATCCTCATATCTGTTAGCACTTCATTATTGCAGGGAGGAAAGACTCTAGAACTATTCACTGCTCATGGAAGAGATCCACTAGCAAAGTCTGTAACTACTTAAATCTTAAAATGAATTAATATTAATTTTTTTGCTTTTTTATATTATTTTAATAGGGTACAGTTGACCGGTGGAAGAACAGTAAAGAAAGAGTTTGATTCACTCATCAAAGGATACGTACTCTCACTCAATGGATCACCTGCTACCAGTCGGGTACACCTTCCTAAGTCTGACAAGAAGGGAAGTGAGTGATGATTGATGAATCAGTATAGACTTTGAAATGTTTGTTTATACATGTGTAGTGGGCCTGATTCATTCTTATTTACTGATGCAGTTCTTCATTCCGCAAGATTCAAGAGCCCTCATCGAGTTAATGTACGAGATTAATAATAATAATAATAATAATAATAATAATAATAATAATAATAATTAATAACAATAATGTATTGGCGAATATGTCAATACACGAGAATTATTATTATTATTATATGTATTCAGCAATTTACCTATAATACTTACAAGTGATAATAATAGTCTTCTACCTTACTCCAATAGAATTTTAGATACTACTAATTGCAAGAGGAAGCTACAGCTGCTGTCATGGCAGCAAGAAGTCTCTGTCAATCCTCTGTCTGTCAAGATTCCTCTACCTCTAATTCCTAATGAGGTTTGGCTATCTTTTAGTTTATTTTTTAAGTGGATTTAAATTTTGGTAAAGCATCGATCTATTTGCAAAAAATTTTAATAGGGCTCTGTAATAGCATACACCTAATCAAAATTTTACTAAAAGTTTTTAAATTTTTTAGACTTAATTTGCCAAAATTGTAACATGCTGCATTTTAGCTAAACAATATTCTTAATCATGCACGCTTCCTCTTGTAATTGAGGATGCCCCTTTAATTATGATCTCTAATTGTTTTCAGTGGCACTGGTTGCTGATTGATTTACCTGACTTGATGGCTAGCCTCATCTCTCAGTCTTACCAATCTCTTGAGTTTCTCTCGGTCTGTGGTTCTTGTAAGATAAGAAGCATCGCCACTGTACGTGACTTCATCACTTCTCCTGGGGACCTGCCTTCATCGTGGCAGCCACCTCCTTCTGTTCCTCCCTTGAATATTTATGTAAGTGAAATTTAGTATTTTAATAAAAATAAAATATATTTAATATTTTGTTGCTTTCTTTTTTCATTAGGTGGTCAATTCTAATCTCTTTTCATCATCTGTACCTCATGCTCCTCAAACTAAAAGTAAAAAACTTTAAAATTAATTATTATAATAATATGATGATGATAGGTGAAGCTGCTTCAATGCATATTGCTTTTGGTGAGAAGATTGCCATACCCAGTCATGTGGCACGGACTGTAAGCAAAAATAAAGTATCTGTTGTTGTTTATTATAATCAGAAATTTGGGTTGATTTTAGCAACCATGTAGTATAATATTGCACTTTTGTATTTGTAGCAACAAAGAAAAGTTGAGGCTTCTAAGCAACAGACACACTCACTACCCACAGGTTCTAAGGCTAACTCAAGAGCAGCTGCACTACGACCTGTTACCTTAAAACCAACAGACAATATTTGCATAGACTCAACCACAAAGGAAAAAGAACTTAATTCACAAGCTAGTCATTTTGCTTACATCTCACCACCTCATTCTACAGCATCATCAAATAAGACCCGCTCAAATTCTCAAGAGACTGATTCTCGGAAGACTCAGTCTCATTCTCGAGAGGCTCATTCTCATTCTGAAGAGGCTCATTCCCATTTTCAAGCACCTGAAAAAGTTTCACATATTCAAACTCAAACTGTTCATTCTGGTACCAGAGAGCGTAAATCTACAAATCTTGAAGAGGACTTCCTCTCACTTTCTGCCATCAACGGAGGCTCACCAAGAAGAGATCTTCTAGCTAATAACGAAGTAAGTCCTATACTATTATAGCATAAATGGTCATAATTATAAGAACAGTTGTTTACCACAAGATTCATGTATAAGTCTTGAGCCCCTTAAGGACATTTGCAGTGCATGTGTTAAATGGGGAAACATGCATGTACATGTGCTTGTGAATTACAATGGTTATTGTATGTTTTTAAAACACTATATCCTTTTTACTTCTTTAGGATGGGAGCTATCATTGGGAGAAGTATCATTCTGATGCTAGTAACAATACTGAAGATGATGATGAGAAGGCTATTGATACAGACAGCAATGATGATGGCTTAAAGACCAATGAAATGGTAAATGAATTAGTATAAGAATATAGAAGAATACATTTGGCAAAGTGCTCTGCATCTTGTCAGTGGATCCAATTTGAGCAAAGTCCCCTGTACTAGTGCAGGGTATTTTGTCAAAAATCGCTAGGAGATATTTTTTGAAAATAAATACTCTTCTCCTCTGTAGTCACCAGATAAAAGTAATGAAGAATCAATTCCTGTACACGCACCATTACATGCATCAATTGATGACAGTGGAATGGGTGGACCCAGTACACCAACAAGGCAGTCACTATCAGACAATAATGCATTACTAACACAGTCTGATCCTACTGACTCTAACAGTAATCAAGATGAGAATCTAGAGCTACTCTATGATCCTGATCTTAACTATTTCTATGATCCTAAGACAGGAAAGTGTTATGAATTAGCACACTAAATATTACATATTATTATTAATAGTATTAATAATAAGTGTCTAAATGTTTCTAGTATAGTATGTTCATGCCAGTCTTTCCCTATATCTTTTTTCTCTTCTCTAAAGTGCAGCAGCTCCAGAAATGATTTCAATCAATTCACGAGTGATGACGGCTTGTCTTGTTCTGTTGTAAGTCAGAGTAAGCTTATCAATCATTTCACCTGCAGAGAGAGGGAGAGAGAGAGAGAGGGAGAGAATATTATGATAGTAGCAGTTGCTTGTAGTTTCAATACATGCACAATTTAACAAATGTATTAAAGAAATTACTGGCATTCTTGCTGGCTGCATCCATAGCTGTCATCCTAGCGCTCTGCTCACTGCATGCTCCTTCCTTTAAGCCATAATATATCATATTAGCCAAAGTAATCTCATGATAGCATCTTAGGACCTCTTCATCAACATCATCATAGATGCTCATGTTCTCTTTAAAGGGAAAATAAGTCAGTGATATATATATAATAATAATAATAATAAGTATCAATATTTTATTTATTTACCTGATTCCACTAGTGTTGAGAGCGGCACAAAAGGCTGCAGAGTAACACGAAATGAAATAACGGACCTATTGAGAATCAGACAAGATGTGAATGTAATGTATGTGAATGTGATGCAAAATAAAATAAATAGAGTACATCTATGAATGCAAGTACATGTGAGTGTAATACAAAAAGTAAATGATTGTAGAAAGATAGGGTAATACATGTCGTCCAGGGGCCTCACCTAAACCTGTTGAATACTATTTCTCCGGACTCAAACTCATTCCCTGACGTCAGAACCTGCTCTGCAATGAAAGATGCTTCGGGGAACACAGGTGGGCGACGCCCAATTTCAGAGAAAGCCATTAGGATGTTAGAACTATGAGTCCTTTGAAGTATGGTCCTCAACTTATCACCAACTAGTACTAGCGCTGTTTCATTAGGTGGCCTTTCCTGAGATTCTTAAAATAATAATATATTGCTTTCATTACTTTTACCTTTAATAAGGCTCTGACGTTCTTTGCTATGCTGGAGTGGATCCCGCCACAGAGACCACGATCAGATGACATGCATATCATAATGTGCTTCGGCTTTGGCTGCTCCGGAACTATCTCTGCTTTCTCAAGAAGAGCTGCAAGGGAAAGTTTTAAATTAAAACAATAATAACTGCAGTACATGTATATTGCAAGTTAATAATTATACATCCATTTCATTGCCAGTGCCTATAATATTACTAGTCGTTATCTTGTAAAATTAAAATAGACGGTTTTAATAGTATTAAAGGTTATTAACAGTTATTAAAGACACTGCCTACCAGTAGATCCTTCTCCGTATGTTCTGGCTGGTTTGAGCTCTCTCTCTGCTCTGTTGTACTTTGCTGCTGCCACCATCTTCATTGACTTTGTAATCTTTTGTATGTTCTTTACAGCTTTGAGCCTCACAGAAACTAAAATAATAATAGTGGTCACGTGATCTCTTTCAATGTAATCTTACTGTCTTTAAGGGTAGCGAATCCCCTCACAGAGTGTCTATAATGAACACATAGAACTAATTCTAGGCTTAAATGAGCTTACCCAAAGCTAGAGAGTGGCTGCGGCCTTTGCAAACACACCCTTGCAAGAGACGCCATTTTGATTTTGGCCTGGACGGGTGTGACCAAAATAGAGCATGCATATACGGACTAAGTAAACGGATAAGGTTATGGTATACAGAGAAAGTAGGCGGAGAACTTGGAAAAAAGATGTCTGGAAGACAAGGTTTTTCATTATTTATTATTTTTATATTATAAATGTGTGTTCAATTAATAGGCGGAAAAAAGAAGCCCTTAAAACAGCCCAAAAAAGCTGACAAAGATTTAGACGACGTAAATCTACTCATATTTATTAATTATTATTTTTATAATTATATATACATATTATCACAAGTAATGTTTATTCAGAGGTGCCTGTTCTTTTTAGGATGATGTAACGTTGAAGGAAAAGTTACGAGAAGAGAAGAAGAAAATGGCTGAAGCTCAAGCAAGAGCAGCTCAGAAAGGACCCATGGGTAAGTATTAGCCACACCCTTTACTCATAATAATAATTTTGTAGTGTTATTAAAATTTATGTGGAAATCCACTCAAATTTAGTTAATACATTAAAATTTTTACGCATTATTAGGTGGGAGTGGTATTAAAAAAAGTAAAAAATGATTCGCAAGAAAGAAGATCACAAAACTAATTAATAATAATAATTATTATTAACATTGATATTAATTATTGTTTAATTTTGATTTTTGATGACCGCATTCTTCTCATGTGATTATACATAAATCCATTCTTTTCCTGTAATTCAACCATAGATTCTTTTAATTGTATCATGCACGTGAAAATTTAATAGGATTATATTATAATTGTTAATAGTATTCATGATGGTTGCCATGACAAATAATATGAGATGGCAATGAATATCGTTAAACCAGCCGCCCACACACAGCTCTTCCTAACGAATCCTATTACCACCAGCCCCACCCCATTTTTTTGTATATTGCATTCTGCAAACAACACACCATGTCTTCACTGAGACACATAACTGATGATTTAAAGAGGCCCCTAGCAGAAAATGAAGTATGGACGTTGCTTAATTTGTCACTGGAGTCACTCTCTGCTAGTTATAGAGGTGAAAAAGAATTATATGCTTACTCTGAAAATATAACTGTGCATTTTTGTTGTTGTTGTGTATGTAGGCTTTAAACCCAGTCGTCATTTAAACAAATCCTCCGTGGGTCCTTTCCTGATTATATCAGTAGATGGGTTACTTTTATATAGGAACAGTGTCCAATTTAATTCAGGCCTACAAAGTTAGTGTAGCATTGTTATAGCAGTCAGTCAGTTAGTTGTAATGTGTCGTTGGTTTTGTGTGGTGTTGTAGGTGAAGCAGCATCTGATGTTGCAGCCCCTGAGCTCCTGAAAGAAGATGGCGGTATCAATAGCATGGAGGCCTTACAGAAGGTACAGTATTATATAGTAGCTAGAGAATTAGTGAGCTTTTGTTTTATTTTTTTTAGACTCATATTTTCAGCCTTGGGTCAGTATTGATGATGGTGATGAGCACTGACGTCACGTCTTATAGTCAGAAGCTAATTGATACACTGCATTTGATGATACAGCTGGACCCAACCCGTAGACCTTCGCTTCAAAACATTATGCGGGTGACCATCAATTTAATGCATGATTATGCATCAAACTATTAAATTTTATTTTTCTTTAATTTTATGACTAGCATTTACCAGAAATCCTTTAAAATTTGTTATTATTTAATGTTACAAAAAACCTACAATAGTATAAGGCACACTCTCATTTTAATAATAAGAATTGTATTACTGTATTGTTATTATTATTATTATTTAGATTGCTCAAGAAGAATTAGATAACCATCAGAATGATGTGTCCTCTTTATTTGACTCCATCAATGAAATGGTGTGCTTGATACACTATTGTTTGATACAATATTATTATTATTATTATTATTATTATTATTTTAGTGGGAAGGCTCTAGTCATGGAGAGCCAAACTTAGCAGCAGAGGTAAGAGCATATGACTTGATATATGATGACACATTCACTTACTGTTTTTGTTATTGTAGATAGCTGAAATTGAACCAACTCACAGTGGAGGGAGTTCACTTAGCATTAACAGCCATGGTAGGCTTAAGTACATGTACATGTGCTTATGAAATTGACTTTAAAATTGACCATAACTTGAATATTTGAGCTTGAAATCGACTCAAACTTTTTATATAGCTTAAGGACGTCAATATGTATCAGAAAATGTAATAAAAATTTGGGGTGATTTTGGAGCCATTTTTTGGAAAAAAACCATGGGCTATAGCCTTGGGTATTTTTCAAAAATTGGCCCGTTTTTAAAAATGGCCATAACTTGAAAATTTGAGCTCGAAATCAACTCAAACTTTCTACATAGCATAAGGACAACAGTATGTATCAGAAAATGTAATAAAAATTAGGACTGATTTCGGAGCCATTTTTTGGAAAAAGCCATGGGCTATAGCCTTGGGTATTTTTCAAAAATTGGCCCATTTTAAAAAATGGCCATAACTCGAAAATTTGAGTTCGAAATCAACTCAAACTTTGTACACAGCATAAGTACATCAATATGTATCAGAAAATGTAATAAAAATTTGGGGTGATTTCGGAGCCATTTTTCGGAAAAAAACCATGGGCTATAGCCTTGGGTATTTTTCAAAAATTGGCCCGTTTTTAAAAATGACCATAACTTGAAAATTTGAGCTCGGAATCAACTCAAACTTTTTACGTAGCATAAGTACATCAATATTATATCAGAAAATGTAATTGGGGTGTTTTTGGAACCATTTTTGGAAGAAACCATGGGCTATAGTTCATGTAAAAAGGGAACGAAGCCCTCAAAAGTCCATGGTACTTTTCAGAAATTGACATATTTTTAATGGCAATTAGAATCAGCTAAACTTTGTGCATAGCATCAAGACAGCTAGAAAATCACAACTACAAGTTTAGTTGTAGTAATGTCCTACTTCATACTACTAGTGATGCTTTTTCTCTTATTATTTACACAGAAAGCACTGATCCTATGAGCCGTCCTCCAAGCGTTGGCAGCTACAAGCGCCCGTTCAGCTGGTCATCTCAGGAGAGACTCAAAATCAAAGATCAAGAGAAGTCCCAGTTTTACACTCCGGTCAGAAACAGGAGAAAAGAAGGCGATGATACCTTACCTCCTCTACCACCTAGCGTCAGTCGTAAGAAACCTCACAAGATCCCAGCAATGGATGGAGGGGATATACCAGTACTCCCGCCTCCTGTGGTTGCTCCTGGGTCTCCTTTAAAGGTCCCTCCCCCTAAGCCTCCTCGTAGTGACCTCATGCTCACTTCGACACCTAACGCTCCAGGGAAACGCTCCGTATTGGATTCTGTTAAGATGATTGAGAATATTCTTGAGAGCAATAGTGCCCCTGATCTACTGAGCAAAGTAATCGTCACTTTTATTTAAGTGTATTCTCTATTTTATTTTAGGATTTGTCTACGAGAGATTCAAGCAGTACTCCACCCCCACATTATAAAATACCCGTTGACTTATTCACAGATACAACAGCGGATGATGTTAATGATGATCCAACTCCACCTCCTCTTCCTACAGTTTCACCTCCAGCAACCATGTCTCCTCCTAAACCTTCTTCCTCTCCTGTCGTCTCTCCTGTCAACTATCACGAGTCGCTGCACGGATCTAAAGATACTTTCGAAGACAAGGATTTTCTCGTCCCTCCATTGTCTGCCCCTCCTGCCCTTCCTGATAGTACTTTTGACTACACTAGTAGCCTTAATTTCACTCAATCACTTACTGAGGAGTCGGTTGGTGCCAATGAGTTTAAGTTAGATCACGTTGATTCTGAGACGGCACAGAAATCAACTCTTGATGACGACTCTCAAAAAAATAAAGTACTCAATTACTTTTTAATTAGGTGAGGTACATGTACGTTTAATTCTTTTGTTTTCTCTAGGAAGAAGACTCTGATGAAGCTCCACCTCCTGTACCGCCCAAACGAACAGTATGCTATTTTTATGCTAACTTTGCATTAATTTTATTATTTGTAGCGTTCTGTAAAGGCAGATCCTTCTACAGCTACTGACACGGTAAGGCAAAATGAAGGCTTAAGTTTTGTAACTGCATGATGTATATAATAATAATTATAATTATGAACTGTAGAATCATGTGTAATGAAGTTCCGTCTATCATTGTTATAATTCTTTTCTTTATTAATATAACAGGCTCCTGTTAAAGTTGAAGCAGTACATCTACCAGTACTGACAGGTATCTCTCATTATTACATGCACTGTACATTATATCATGTGATGCAGTCAATGAAGACTCAACCTTACCATCAACCAATGACCAGAGGCTACTTTTAACTTCAATGGATGATGATAGTCCTGGCCCAGTATCTGAAGACACTGCTTTAATATCAACTGAGCGTCAGCAGTTCCCTGAGACACATTCATCAGTGGAGGAACCTCACAAGTCTTATGTATTGCCTCCTGGGGCATATCCAGGATCAGTGGAGGACATGATGTCTTATGGACAGGTTGAAGTTATTGAGTCTTCCCTCTCGCCATCTTTTTCAGACATCACTGATGCTCATAACTCTCCTACAAAGATAAATGTAAGCAAGAAACTTTTACATGTAGTACATGCATGAGTGCTAGTTTTGTGCTGCGTTAGTTGTTAATTATTATGTATAATTTTATTTTACGTACATGTAGAAAGTTTTAGGAAAAGATGATGAGTCTCCTCAAAGCTCTAAATTAAAACGAAGGAACTCGCAGAAGTTCCATCTCGAGAGTCACGTTGTCAAGATTGAAGCACTGGGAATGACTTCAACTCATTTACGGATCAAACCAAACGCCACTGGTCTGGAGCTTCTGTCTGAAGCAGCTAAGAAACTGTGCATAGCAGATCAAGCAGAAACGCTTGGGATCGCTATTGAAATTGGTACAATTTTAAAAGCTATTTTTTATTTTTTATTTTTATTAAACGGATTGTAGACGAAGAGTACATTTTTCTTGAGCCTGATAAAAAAATTCACAAGTATGCTCCAATCGGTTGGAAGAAGTGGAAGGTACATGTACATGTAGTTACAAATTTCTTTGAGAATTATTTCATTTTAATCTAATGTATAACTATAGCCCGGCTCTGGTAGAAATATGCCACGATTTGTAGTACACCTAAGAGTGATGTATTTCCCGTTGAACATCAGCATGCTGTCAATGAGAGAATCAAGACATCTTCACTACGAGCAGACGTTTCATGACATTCTTGACAGGTTGGTTCACGTAACTAAAGAAGAAGCCATCATGCTGGCCGGCCTAGCGCTTCAAGCTCAGTTTGGAGACTACAGAGGGCAAGTGAACTATTTCAAACCGATCCACTACCTCCCAAAGAATGTCAGTCATGGGTTCTTCCGTCCTCTTACCTTCTTACTTGGTTTTTTGTTAGGTTTTGAGGGAAATGAGGAATCAAAATGTTCATGAAACCCTCCGAGCGATCCACGAGCAAAGGAAAGGTCTAACAAGGCAAAAGGCTGAGCACCAGTATTTAAGAGTAAACACACACACACATGTCAGAAGTAAGCTTGTGTATGCTCTTCTCTTTGTAGGAGGCTGCAAAGCTGGCAGACTATGGCTACATATATTACAGAGTTTCATTGGTAATGCATGTACATGTGATCTATGTGAATATGATCTATGTGTATTGTGATCTATGTATATTGTGATCTATGTGTATTGTGATCTATGTGTATGTGATCTATGTGTATTGTGATCTATGTGTATTGTGATCTATGTGTATGTGATCTATGTATATGTGATCTATGTGTATGTGATCTATGTGAATGTATATGTGATCTATGTCTATGTATGTATGCATGTGCATTATAGACCAAAGACTGGAGTGATGATTGTGCCTTTCTGCTTGGATTCAGTACCAAAGGACTAAGACTCTGTCACGATGAATCTGATGGAACAAGAACAATCGATCTGCAATGCCCATGGAAAACAACAACTAAAATTGCCTTTAAAGTAAAGACACACAAAAAGACAACTTTTAATGATATTTTATATTTCAGAATAACATTTTATTGCTTGAGGTGGTTGGTCAAGATCCCATACAAGTATATGCTGATGATTATAAGAGGTTAGTAACCACCATACTGTTGGCCCATGTTGTTCCACTATCTATGCATTAGGGCTAGGTATTATGTCAGACTGTCTCAAATGTATCACTTTTTTGACCGCTCCTATCGCGATTGCTCATACCCTACTCCACTGGATGTGAGGGATGTCATTATTCACAGTAAGTGGTTGTTGCTTTTACCTTTCATGTCCTCTCATTCTCCTAATAGATGTGTTGGATTACAGAGGCAGTTTTATTGCTGTGAAGATAGTAAAGCATGATAGTAAAGGCTTAGGTAAAATCTCAGTTTTAAATTAAGTGGTATTATTTATTGTTTTTTTTAAAGGGATAACACTTACAGGACATATTGGAAAGTCTCAAAAATTTGCTGAAATCAAAGCTATCAAGGAAGGTACCCCAGCAGCTGTTGAAGGCACGCTGCAAATTGGTTAGTTTCTGGAAACAAAAGTATTAATGATATCTATTTGTTTTAACTCAAGGTGACTTACTGGTTGAAGCTAATCGACTTGCTTTAATAAACAAATCCCACAAAGAAGTGGGTAAGATTTTAGCAGAGCTACCACCCCGAATTGAGCTCAAAATATTTCGTCGAGCAAACTTCAGAATAGGTTAGCTTTTAAAAGAATAAGTGCAACAGTCTTTATTATCTGTGTATTTACATCAGAGGATAGTTTGTTACTCAATGTAACTGTTGAGAGAGCTGATAATCGTGAATTGAGTTTCAGTAACATTGAAATGGCAAGACTTCACAGCACAACAAAAGATGAGATTGATGGTATCAGAGAATCAAGCTTCATTGAACCAGAGCCACTACCAAACTCACTATCAGTAAGCAACTGTGTATTACATAACATATTAGAAACAGATGAGTATATTAATAGTTATAACTTGTATTATTATAATAATGATCATATGCTGTATTTAGGTAAAACTTAAGAGACTCAGCACTGGAAGTGCTTTTGGATTTTCTATTGAAGTAATGCCATCAATCATTATTAATGTGTTTCTATCAATACTACATATTTTATAGCATAAAGATGATTTGTTTCGTATTAGCAAGATAGTGCCAGGTGGAGCAGTAGAAAGAACTGGACAAATATCAATAGGAGATCAGTTACTGTCTATCAATGGAAACAGTGTTGATGGGAAGAGCAAACAAGATGTAAGAGAGAGAAAATGTCATTCATCTTGAGACCTTTACTTATTATGCATGTGTATGTGTATTTGTATTGTAGGTGTTTCAGATCCTTAAGGAATTTCCAGGGGAAGAGTTAGAGATAGAAATTGCACCAAGTAAAGTACCAGAAACTAAGAGAAATGAAGAAGATTCTGAGTGGTTGAGAACAGGAGAAGATACTGAAGAGAAGCAAGAAGAAGCTACTGATCGAGATGATGCTGTTTTCCAGCGTAAAGGGACACTAGTTACTGACTCAAGGATATTGGATGAAAGTGGAGCCGCTCGATCTTTATCTCTATCCTCTGTAATTATATAAATGTACCTGAAAATACGCTCATATATTTGTTACCAGCACAAACTCAAAACTGTGAAAATGACAAAGAAGAACAACAGCTTTGGGTTTGCTATTATGGTAAGGACTCATAATAGAAAGATGTATGTTGAGCTCTTTTAATACTACAGCGTAGCTCAAAGAATCCTTATTCAGCAGTTCAGGTTAATAAGATAACACCCGGAGGAGCGGCTGATGAAACAGGAGCTGTCTCACTGGGAGATCATATTGTATCTGTTAATGGAATCTGTGTTGATGGGAAAGGCTATCAAGAGGTAGATTAAATTATTGTAATACACATTAAAGTTAGGTATGTGCATGCATATGCATGAGTGATTTATTGCTGAGTTTTCAATACAAAGCATGCCAAGTGAAGTAAAAAGCATGAGCTTCATATGAGCTGACAAGCTTATGGCATATGGGGCAACTTTAAAAATTCATAAAAAATCCAATCTTGATCCGAATCAGCTCAAACTTTCTACACAACATAAGAAAATGTATCAGAATATAAAAACCAAGAATTCTTTCTTTTTCAATTTTGGCAAAATTTAGCCCTGGACGCAGTGTACTATAGCACAAAGACTTTTAACCAATTTTAGAGCAGCTTTAAAAATTTGTAAAAAAAGATTTTTGGAATCAGCTCAAACAGCACTGGATTTAAAATATAAAATTATTTTTTGTATACAGGTACGTGAGTTGCTCTGTAAAGCTGGAGCAGCACATGAAATGGAGCTTGAGCTTTGTCCTCAAGACGACGGAAGTCATGTGACCATTACACTTGATAAGAGTAAACCGCTCGGACTACGAATCAAAGAAGGCAATAATGGTATGATTGGGTTGACCTTTGCATAGGTATAAGTTTGAGCCTGCAAGTTTTTCAAATTTTTGAGTATTATGCCTATTTTAAAGCACACGGTAAATATTGTTATTATTTTTTTCAGGATCCATTGTAGTGAGTGATATCATTGAAGGATCACAAGCACAGAAAACCGGTCAAGTCCACAAAGGAGATGAATTGGTTGAAGTAAGTTACAAAGTACTGTACATGTACATGTATGCATAACCATCTACTACTATCTATGGTATAACTATATGACAGGTCAATGGCACTAGACTGCGTGGCCTGCCATTTAGAGAAGCAACTGAACTATTGCTTCGAAGTGATTCACCACTGTACATATACATAAAGAAATCTCCTGTGGTATGTTTATGATATGTTGTTGTTGGTATGATCTATTCTCTTTATTGAAGAATGTGTTTCATATGCTGTCGCAAATCAAGGAAGATCAGTCAGAGTTAGAATCAGAATCTAAACCAACAGATGATGATAAATATATTCATTTTACTGTTACATTGACCAAAGGAACCAGAGGGTTTGGATTTAAGATTAGGAAAGGCCTCTCAGATCAACGGGGTATGTAAATGATAAGTCACTATGTATGTATAAGTATTGTAAATATTCTTAGATGAAAGAGGACTTTTTATAGCATCAGTTGATTTTGACCCAGCTTTGAGTGATGGTCAGCTGCACAGTGGAGATGAAATTATAAAAGTAAATAAATAAATACAACTATCATGTACACAAGATCAAGGATCATGCATGAATTAAGTCCTCAGCTACATAGAGGCTATAAGTATTTAGTGTGTCTTTTTTTAGTTTAATGGTAATAATTTTATTGGGATACCTAACGATCGGGGAATTGACATAATGAAATATGCTGCTGATACTGGAGTAATGGTCATCAGAAGACGAAAGGATGTTGTATGTTTTTAAAATCTTATTGTTGTTATTATTATTATTACTATCATTATTATTATTGTGTAGCAATCGAGTATTCATGAATCTCAGGACACAGGAGCTAATGCTAGTGCATTGCTTACACAAGAGGTATCTCCTGAAGATGGCAATGCAGCTAGTAACAGTATCGAACTGAAGACATTGACTAAAGGAATAGAAGAATATAAGGAGCAAAAAGAGGAAGAGTCAACTGCAAATGATGTTGAAGAAACTTCAAAACCAGTTGAACCAGTATCAGAAGAGCTAGTTGAACCAGTAAAACCAGCTGAGCAAGAACGAGTAGAAGAATCAGTGGAAATGCAATCAGAAGAATCAGTGAGCCCAGGAGGACTGGCTGAAGCAATTGAAATCACTAAAGAAGAACCAGAAAAATTAATTGGGCATGTTGCATCAGGATTGGAACCAGTTGCTACTGAACTGATATCAAAAGAAGAACCAGACAAAGTGATTGAAGGAGAATCAGATGAACTTGCTGTCAATACAATGGAAGAACCAGAAGATGCAGCAAATGAAGGATCATCAGAAGTGACAGAACAAGAAGCAATTGCTACTTCTCCTGCACAATAAGTTTATCTACTTTTTAGAGTGTATTTTTGTATAAATTATTAATTTATTATAATTATATAGCATAATTCTACCTATCTAATAAAGCACAGCCATATACCACATAGTCAGGCCATGTCAGGCTGAGGGTCTGGCAAGCCAGACTACAGACCACAGTCATTCTAATCTTCTGCCCAAATGACTGGAGTGGTCTGGCTACCAGAGACTATGGTCTGGCTGGCAAGACTAAGCAACATGGCTATATAGTTTGATCTTGTAAGCCAAAATAAACAGCTTTTGGCTCATCAGATACACAGCCAAGAGTTCACAGCTATGATACAAGACACTGCCCAAAATCAATGAATCAAGCCTGATTACAGTATTGATACAGTCTGACAGGTATCATTGCTGAATCATACATGTTGCTCTGGCTGCACCAGTATCAATTCCAGCATGAATTCCAGCATGATTGTATCAAGGCTGATAGATTCAGCTATGCTCATTGCCATATTAGCTGCCCAACATCCATGATTCAGGATGCATTAGGCCGGATCAGGACTGACATCATTCATGAATCAATCACAAACTCTTGGCTGTGTAGATTAATTGCAGATTGGCCTTTAGCATAATCAAAATGGCAGCAACGTAAGAAAGACTTTTCTTTACTTCATTGTTAACTCCTACTAGTTTTACTTATTTTGCAGGCAGGGGACTGGGTGAAAGGATAAGATACATGCTCTGGGAGTGTGAAATTGACTACAAAGAGAGGATACTGACCAAAGAGCTCCTAGCAGAGCTGAGAGCCAAAGGTGACCTGTTATTTCAGCAAGTCCCTCTTCTCGAAATTGATGGATTGAAACTAGTACAGTCAAGCTCAATACTCCGCTATCTTGCTCGTAAGCACAACATGTATGGGAAGAACGATACAGAGGCTGTAGAATGTGACATGATAGCCGATGGATTGATCGATGCTATCATGTATTTCGGAAGATATGTATTTGCAAAGGATAAAGAATCTCACATCACAAATGAGATTATCCCTAAGCTACCACGTTACCTCAAACCAATGCAAGACAGGATAGAGAAAGGAGAGTTTCTTCTTGGAGGCCATATTTCTTATCCTGACCTTTTACTCTTTGAGCTACTTGAGTCCATCTCTGACATCATTCCAAATACGTTGGACGAATATCCTTCGTTGAAATTGTGGTATGGGAAAATGTGTAAGAGGCCGTCAATCAAAAGGTTTCATGAGTCGGGATCTCATTATCCTTTTCCTGGAGACGACTATGTTGCTCATGTTATTCAAGTATTGGATCGTAAGTGACACTGGCTTTTAACTATTAGTACTAATAATGTAGTCTGCATTATTTTTTGTAGTAAATAACAATGTCATAAATGATAAAGTTAATGTACTTTGTTCACATCATGTATAAAGTTGTATAAATACATGAACGTTAAATTTAAAAATAGATATAATAAATTATTTGCACCATTTAAAGAAATTACAGCTAGCATTAGGATCATGTTTGGAGCCATCGGGCCGCCCGCAAACGTAAAACTTTCTGTTGTGATTTGGTCCTGGTTTCTTTACCACTCTTAGTACAGCTGGTTCCTTGTGTCCACTACATAGTGGTGCTTTTGGTGGAGCCTTAAAGACTTTCTGCCAATCAGTTGAAAGTTTACTGCCACTGGAAAGTGTTTTAACATCACGTGACCTTGATAGCGAAACAGGTGCTGCTTCTTTCTCTTTCAACGTGCAAAGTTTCTTAGAACTGCTTTCTTTAACTGGCCCTGAATTCGATCTCTTTATCGGGCTGACACTAAAGAAGCTAGAGAGCTTGCTTTGCTTTCCTGCAAACTTTGAATAAAAAGATGAGCAAAGATGTGATAAGGTCGGCGAGGGCATAAGAGATATTGAAAACTGAGTCACAACAGGACAATGATCTGAACCCATCTCATCCTGCAATACATTACTGCTGACCACACTCTCAGCTAGTCCTCTTGAAGCTAGTATGTAATCGATTCTCTGTCCATAGTTCAGCTGTCTTGATCCAGTAGCCGTGCACCAGCAGGTGTACGAGCCTCTTTCCGTTGGGTGTAAGTATCGATACGTATCCAACAAGACCTCGTTGGTAATGGGAGGAGTTTTTGATATAAATGATAATAATAGTTCTTTGGTTTTTGGTTCTTTAGTAAAAGTCTATAGGAAATGGGATTGTAATTGTGTTTGCTTGTGGCTTTACAAAATAAACTTACTGGCATGTCTTCCATTGCAGCTGAGTCAATGATGTCAAGGACACAATTAAAATCTCCACAAATAAGAACATCTCTAAATCACAAAAGACAAACCATTAATGACTGAAACATTTCTTTATGACAAAAAACACAAAATTTTAAATTTTGTTTTATGTGCTCAAAATTATGTAGTTCAAAATTGAGATGTATATCAAAATATAATAAAATGGGATGTTTTGGTGCCAATTTTAAATCATAGCTTAAAACTTTTTAGCCGAAACGACCTCAAAAATTTTACATAATTCAAACTTACTTTCCACCTGCTTGTAGTCTCTTGGTTCTCTCGTGTAGTACACTCAAAAAATGAATTTTATACGGTAACCTATCCGGATTGTCTGGATCAACACGTGGACAATATACATTAATGATGACAAGACCACGCCCATTCTCCTGAAGATGCTCAGTCAATAGACCACGCCCTTCATTATTAAGTTGTTCAGTCTCTTCATCGTTCAGATCAAGGACAGGAAAACCTATAGAGTCCTTTAAGCCGACATGACAGCTGCCTGTGATACCTTCTTCTACTGCTACGGGCGTGACAGTGGTACGGCAAAATGTGGCCACACCTACAATAAAAACAAATTAATTACGAGGCTAATATTAGTAACGCATGCAGCTGTATGTAATTATTTTAATTACCTGAATATCCTTGGCGAGTCTTGCAAAACGAGAAATATGATGTATAACCTTCTGCAATTGCAATATTCTCTTCTATTTGATCTTCTAGCATGTGCAGAGAATATGTGCATGTGTTATTTACAATTTTTTTTAATTTGCTCAAAAATTGAGTCAAAGGCCAAATTTCAGCAAAATTTAAAAGGGGAGAATTTTCCATTTTTATATTTTTTCTGATACATATACATGTTCTTAAGTTGTGTAGAAAGTTTGAGCTGATTCCAATCAAATTTGGACTTTTTTGAATTTAACAATTTGCTTGAAAACATGAGGCTTTAACTTACTTGTTGTTTTAACTTCTTGCAGACAGATAATGTCGGCTGAGAGTGAGTCCAGGAAATCCTTGAGGTTAGTCTGACGGTTCTTAACTACTGCCTTCAAACCATTCACATTCCAAGTAAGAACTCTCATCTCGATCTCATTGCAAGGAGTAGGCGTGGTCTTTTGACATGAAGGGAGTGGCTGGCTAATGCTGCATGCATGCATGCAGCATCTAATATGGCTGACTTGGAGAAGCAAATAGAGCTGGTTTACAAGTGGTTACTAGGCAAATTCGACAACAATTATCAGTATATTACCGAGAAAGAAAGAGATGGTGATCCAACGCATGATCCAGTCTTTTCTAGATTCTTTGCTGTAGATGCTCCAAAATTTGGTGCCTACGTCCTAGTTGCCAGGCAAGGACTCCATGAAACTGATCAGGTTTATAGGCAAAGGATTTATGCCTTGCAAATCAACTCAGAAGAAGGCTGCGTCATGAACCAGATATACAGGCTAAAAGATGAATCTTGGTTTGACAAAATTGAAAAGGATCCCACCAGTGCAGTCCATCTTGATCCATTGGCTGATGCAGAGTGCATGGAGGGATGTGGCGTGTATTGGACATTCTTACCAGAAGAGAATCGTTTCCATGCTGCAACGAAGGAGGACACCTGTCGTTTTGAGAGTAAACTTAATCCTGGGAAGACCGTCATTGCCAATAGTGATATCTACTTGAGTTCAACTGAGCTGTGGACAAGAGATCGAATCGTAGACACTGATGGAAACAAGTTGTTTGGGTTTAAATCTGATGAACACCACAAGTATCGACGATGTGAAATGTACAAGGGGAAAGCAGAATATGATGGTGGATCCGAAGAAGTCTCTGTTCACAATCAAGGAGGAAAGGTCAATCTTGGAAACGGAGTTACGATAGTGCTTGAGGAAGCTTTTGATTTTGTAATGAATTGCAAAATCTTACGACTTTCATTTTTGAAAGCTGACAAGCAAATAGGAGTGGCATTTTTTAGTTGTGATGCAACCACAATTGGTGCTAAATTTGATAGTGTAAAGGTAATTTTGGATAAACTTGCAAAATCATAATTAATGATAGATCTAAATTTTAGGATTTTTTTATTTAAAAAAATATTAAAATTTTGTCTGCTGTGGAGGAGGGAGTGGCTGGCTAGCTAGTAGCATTGCAGCAACAAAAAAAAAGCCTTGAAAATGGCTGACTTGGAAAAGCAAATAGAGTTGGTTTACAAGTGGTTACAAGGCACATTCGACAACAATTATCAGTATATTACCGAGAAAGAAAGAGATGCTGGTCCAACGCATGATCCAGTCTTTTCTAGATTCTTTGCTGTAGATGCTCCAAAATTTAGTGCCCACGTCCTAGTTGCCAGGCAAGGCGTCCACGAAACCGACGGTGACAAGATTTATAGGCAAAGGATTTACGCCTTGCAAATCAACTTAGAAGAAGGCTGCATCATGAACCAGATATACAGGCTAAAAGATGAGTCCTGGTTTGACAAAATTGAAAAGGATCCCACCAGTGCAGTCCATCTTGATCCATTGGCTGATGCAGAGTGCATGGAGGGCTGTGGTACTTATTGGAAATTCCTACCAGAAGAGAATCGTTTCCATGCTGGGACAAAGGAGGACACATGTCATTTTGAGAGTAAACTTAATCCTGGGAAGACCGTCATTGTCAAGTGTGATATCTACTTGAGTTCAACTGAGCTGTGGACATGGGATCGAATCGTAGACACTGATGGAAACAAATTGTTTGGATTTAAAGCTGATGGACACCACAAGCATCGACGATGTGAAATGTACAAGGGGAAAGCAGAATATGATGGTGGATCTGAAGAAGTCTCTGTTCACAATCAAGGAGGAAAGGTCAATCTTGGGAATGGAGTTACAATAGTGCTTGAGGAAGCTTTTGATTTTGTAATGAATCGCAAAATCTTGCGACTTTCATTTTTAAAAGCTGACAAGCAAATAGGAGTGGCATTTTCTAGTTGTGATGTAGCCACAATTGGTGCTAAATTTGATAGTGTAAAGGTAATTTTGGATAAACTTGCAAAATCATAATTAATGATAGGTCTAAATTGTAGGATTTTTTATTTCAAAAAATATAAAATTTTGTTTGCTACATAAAAGTATACGGAAATTTTCTTTGTCAGTATACGGAGATGGGTGTGGCAAAATAATTCAAATTGTTTGGAGCGGTAGAATTGCATCTCTTTTCTTTTTCAATTCATTATGGTTTTCACTAATCCAGAGGCTCAGTCTAAAGATAAGCTCAAGGCCGAATTAAAGAAACATGGAGTTTCTTTCGCTCCCAATAAACCAAAGGATTACTACGTGCAACTATACAGGGAGAAAATACTCTTGGAAAGGCCAGCCCGCCACAGATCTGAGCTTTCTTCCGACGAGGAATTTGTTAGCCAGAAAATAGTAATAAACATGAGAAATGATATAAATTATGATAGTTTTGGGCTTGTTTAGGGCTCTAGGTCTCCCGGGAGGCATTATTCAAAGGTAGTGAGCGTGGAGCATTATACAAAGCAGTTGTCGGGCTACAGTGACTCAGAGCTGGCCAAGGAGCTCAAGAAACACGGTGTAAGCTCAGGGCCCATCACAGTCACAACTAGGAATCTCTATGAAAAGAAACTGGCCCGTGTACTCGTTGATAAGGCTAAAGGTAAAAGTGTGAAGGAAAGGTGATCATAATACAAGTTATTCTAATTAGAGCCTATCGTATCACAAAGCTCAAGTGGAGTAACTGTAGCTGCTGAAAGTGACGAGGATTTTTCAAGTGACAATGAGAAGGAAACCGTTGATGCTCCTCCTCCTCGAATGTACTCTCATCAGAAATCCAAGAAGGTATATGCACATGAACTCTTATACTCACTCTTGAATGCTTTTTTTCCTTATTTTTCCTAGCCACCAAGTCTTGTTGCTTCCACTCCAGCCCAAACATATAACCTTCGTCCAAGACCACAGCCATCTCAACCTACCCCACGTCCTCCCAGTGTAAGTGGCAATAGTAATACTTGCATTTTTATGTTATTGAAATAATTATGATTACTAAAGCATAATAATAATAGTATAATAATAATAATAATAATAATAATAATAATAATAATAGTATAATAATAATAATAATAATAATAATAATAATAATAGTATAATAATAATAATAATAATAATAATAATAATAATAATAATAATAATAATAGTATAATAATAATAATAATAATAATAATAATAATAATAGTATAATAATAATAATAATAATAATAATAATAATAATAATAATAATAATAATAGTATAATAATAATAATAATAATAATAATAATAATAATAGTATAATAATAATAATAATAATAATAATAATAATAATAATAATAATAATAATAATAATAATAATAATAATAATAATAATAATAATAATAATAATCAGCAAATGATGTACAATACATACATGTACATGTACTTGCATTATAAGTAAAATAATGCAAGGCTTTTGTTTTGCTGTAGAGTTACATGTACAATGATGATATCAAAACAATGGAAGTGAAAAGTTTATTTTACTTCAGTTTTCCAGTAAAACTATGAATTTGATTTAATAAGCCAGATGCATACATGTATACATAGCTTTACTGTCCTTTATGCGTACATTATTATTATTAGACCCAAGTGACTGATCCTAAGGCACCAGCAAAACCAACTGCTCCTCCACCTTCAGCTGCTCCTATTCGCCCGTACAGTGCCACGTGGTGTCACATTCGCCTCATACTCAACTTCCTTGTCCTAATAGTCGTGTTTCTAGTTGCTGTGATAGGACTTGACTATCTTCTTTATGACAAGAGTAGAGTAGTTGACTGGTTCGTACTCAAGTATCCATCACTAGCTCAATACATTAACTACCATTAGACTTCCTAGCAACTTCATACATTATACATCACTATTAGAGTACATACTATTACATTAAGTACTATGGTTTTAGGCTCTTCAAAATAAATAAATAAAAATTATTTTTATTTTTATGAAGCATCTGACACACACATGATGCACACAATTATAATAATAATTATAACATTAGTCTTATTAAAAATAATAATAATTATTAGTTAATATATAAAACTCAATTTACACAATTTTAACGTCACAGAGAAAAGATATAAAATAAAATGCTTTTAAAATCATGAATTTGTCTCAGTGACTAGGCGGAGCATTATGAAAAACTGTTTTTGCTTTACTCTTAACAGTAATCTCATCAAGTCTATGTAACATGTTAATAAACTCAACTCTTAAAGACCCAGGACTGACTAGCTCTTCACTTTTGGAAACTTTCACAGCTGCTTCTTCAGCTGCAACGTGATACAATGAGAGAGAATGGCCGCATGTCATGAGAGAGACATCTTCTCCCTTTCCTTTGACTGATCCTATAGTGGCTGCCATGATTCCAGCAGCACACTGGACAGTGCAGTGTAGTTTGTCCATGCCTAATTGGGTGTTGTTGATTTCATAGAAGAATTCGCCACACGTTACAACGTTGATTTCAAACAGGTGGATGCAACAAGCTAACTGTGCAGCTAGCTTCCTACCACTGTCAAGAGCTTTATCTGTTGAAACATCTTTAATAGATTGATGACGGAATTGCCCTGTGTTACATGAAACAAAAATTAATATTGCAATGATAATAATAATTATAACAATAATGATGAATGATTTCATTACTGATTGCAACTTGCATACAAGCTAACTTAAAGCTGCTTAATAAATAAATGACTGACCTTTTAGCACTATTTGAGGTATGGCTGTGTTCTGCCTTTGGAATATCTTCTACATTATGCAACATGATATCACTGCTGTCATGGCATTATAAATAACTAACATACCTCTTTCTTCCTTATAAAACGTGGTGACTTCTCAATGCTACATGTTGCATTAGGCGTTGATGGTCGCTCTTCATCACCGGCAGGCTTTAACGAGCACATGGCATTCGCATCATCTTCAGCATTAATAATACCCTTAGCTTAAGAGGAACACATAACAATGATAATTCATGCATGTTGTACATACCTCTGCTCATTATGTCCAAAGATATTGCACATATGTCTCCAAGACGGCCACTGATAACTGCAGGATTACACGTTGTCACTAGCTTTCTTGTCAAGTCCTTCCTGGCATCGTCTGTCCCTGACTCCCAGGCTACGACGACCAGTGGAATGCTACTAACACTATAATGCTCAATAACTGCTTCAACAATGTCTCTTTTTGATGATGTGTCCACTAGTAGTACCTGAGCAGTAGCTAACTGGGAGCTTACATCTTCTGCCTCTGAAAATAATTAATAATAATTTTTTACTTTTAAAAAATCTCATTTACCACTTTGTTTACCTCTTACGATGCTAATTTACAAATCAAGATGTAAACAAAGTGGCAAAAACAATTCCAAAATCAAATATGGCTTGTAGAAATAATAGTAATAATGGTAGGCCTACCTTCTGGTATTAGAGGGTAGGCTCCTATCGCAAGCAAGGCTGACGCCACAAAGTCCTTTGCAACTGAGGGCAAGATACACATAACGACTGGACAGGTGCTTTTGATGAGTGCTATCTCATGCCAGTTTCCCTCCTGTGCGCCTTCTTCTTCTACTTTCACCTCATGAATGTTGCCCAATGATTTGCTGCGAAGACCACCATCTCGAGGCACTGGGTCTGTCGTCCTCTTCTCATCAACCGAAACAGCCGTGGCTAGCGGCTTTTTGTTTTTAGGTTTAAATAAAGATCCTATGGATTTCTTGGACTTTGATGGAGTAGCCATTGCCTGAGCTTTTTCTTTCAGATTTACCCCTGGAAATTGGAAAGGCTCTGTATGCAATACTGTGTATTTAACCATGCAGTGTGACGTCAGTGCTCAAATTGAATGCCAAAAGTACCACAAAATGGCAGCTCCCTTGGATGTTGCAGCCCGAGCTGCCTCTTTTAACGTATTGCTACAGGTAATGGTATATATTCTCTCATTTACTGGTGCATATATGTGTAATAGGTGTCTCTCAGGGTAGCTTCTTTTGCACTCAACGGCTTTGTCCTCAGATACGTCCATGCTGATTTATTGGGTGTGGTCAATTTGAGGTGCTACTAACTTTTATTTACAAATAATACTTAGATGTTTTATTTATTCATTAGATTGACACTGCTTTATAATACGATATTATTTTTATCAAGGGAGCCATTCCGTAAGGCAGCCCTCTCAAAAACATCCACTACAAGACAATGGCAGTATACATTCAATTTGATGTGGCTACCGTAAGCTACCAGTATTACTATAAACAATTATATTATTATATCCTTGTTATCAATTTAACCGCCTTAATAAGAAGACAGTAACATTCCAACTAGTTAGATGCATATTTATTTTATTGTAAAAGGGAAAATAAATTAAAATACTCAAGATTAGTGGCTATCAGAATCATTACATGGCACTGATTTCTGCTTATGTGAGTGGTTATGTGTGGTATCTTATGCAGATAGAGATAGATATAGAGAATACTAATTACTCCACTCACTTTACAATTTTTTGTAATTTATATGAACTATATATAGTCTATACTTCATAGATGGATTGCATGTTTAAAGTTAAGCTATAATGTAACACCGAGTATGAGTATTGTTTAATGCCTGGTTGCTGTCTTTTAAGCAACAGTCCAATGTCAATGCTGTTCATTAAGAATATGTTTTATAGTTTTCTTGTTGGCATCGTCTGGTCTGCTCTTTTATCATTATTATGGATAAGTCCACTTTTACAGCAACCCGATATGCCTGGAGACTGGATTGGTGTTGCTTGTTTTGCAATCTCAGGACTCATTGAACTGTGTGTCGAGCCATTATGGGTACTAGCCCAACTGACACAGCATGTGTCAATAAAGGTTAGAAATACATGATTTCTTCTCTCTCTCTCTCCCTCCCTCCCTCTCTCTCTCTCTCTTTCTTTCTCTCTCTCTCCCTCCTTCTCTCTCCTCTTTATAACTTCAATCTTTCTACTAGTTTTAAAGTAGAACATTAATTTGCTTAGTTTGCGTCCTGCTAAATCTTATTTTGACTAGAGTACAAGATTGTTTGCCTTTGCTGTATTGCTTTGTTTATGTAAACTTTTTCCCATTGAGCAATTACCATGAAAAGTAACATGATTACTGGTTACATTTTCTTAATTTTTCTCATCATTAAGGTAATTGCTGAGGGGATTCCACAAGTTTTCCGTTGCTTGATAGTAGCAATCTGTATTGTCTTTTATCCACAGTATGGAATCTTGATATTTGGAATAGCTCAGGTTTGAATATTGTAATGCTGGCATTGATGTCATATTACTACTGTAGGTTTTATGCTCCATTGGCTACCTGTTAGTTTATTTCACTTATTTCTTTTCTGTTGGTGGCAATCAGTTACCAATTGATTCTATCTCTAAAATATTTCCTCAAAAATTCTTAGGGAAAGTAAGCCTAACCAATAGCTATCAGTAATAAATGTTACCAAAAAAAATTAATAGTATCAAGATCAGACCCTGGTTAATTTATCAAAAAGCTTCTTCAAGCAATCACTACTGAAGCAATTCTTAACTGATGGTATAGGGCCACGTTTACACAGCAACGAAAACGATGCAATCCGCCTAGTTTTGTGCTTGTTTTATGCTTCTGTTTACACAGAAATGAATGAAAACATGATAGAATCTTGAACTATATGGAAACGAAAACGGTTTTCAAAGTGGATACTTAAAAAACGATGCGTTTTCTGTTGCTGTGTAAACGTAGTCTAAATATATTATAAACATTGCATGCACTACATGCATAAATGCCTGCATGCATTCATTACATGTACACAGCGGTGCATATTATGCTTATACTTAACATTGTATGTAGGCGAGAGATACATCATGACTATACTGGGTCTATTGACATTCGCTGAACAAGGTGTGTCATTGAGTGATGTCACTGTAATCATTACTATTGCTACTACATTGTTATTCTTATTTTATCAGTATACAATTGGACTGTGAATCCCCCAAATACGCCCACTCTCTCATGCATATAGCCATTCCTCTGCATCACTGGATAATACTTTTAGTCTAATTACTTATTAGTAGTAGTTGTGATAAAGTTAATTCATTTTTGTTTCTCAAGGTGTGTATGACATTGTTAATAATCTTGGATCACTGGCTGCGAGGTTCATTTTTTTGCCGATTGAGGAAAGCTTTTACGTATACTTCTCATCAGTTTTGGTTCGAGGAGAGAGACCAGAAAAACAGACAAAGGTTTGCACCTCACTTATTGCTAGATAAAAGGGAGAGAGAGGCAAATGCAAATGGCGGGGCAGTTAGTAGTATCACTCTTATGTATTATTATTAATGAAGGAATTGAAGGAAAGAACACAGAAGCTCTTAATTGAGAAAATAAAACACGACGATGCTTTGTTCAAATTTAAAGTTTCTATACAATTAATTATACAGCGTATACACATTTCCTTATGTGTTATACCATATTAAGCCTCCTCTTCATCAGTTTTAATAATTGGTGTTCTGGTATACCAGCCAGTGAGGCACATAATTCACTTTTGATAAATGTCCTCCCACAGATGCCATAATACAACAGAGTAGGCTTCTGTTTTTGAGCCTATGCCCTGACACAATTAAATGCAAGTGGTAGTGAGAAGCATTTGAAATATTTCTATTATTAACAGCAAGTTGATATCAATAGGACTCCATTACATCATCAGCTAATGTCCTGTCTCTCCTCATCAAAACAGTGACACTCATTGCTTTGATGATAATAGCATTTGGAGTCAATTACTCTGACTTAGCTCTGGATATATATGGAGGTAGCATTCTCTCGCAAGGAATAGGTATACATGTATTTATTATTATTATTATTATTATTATTATTATTATTATTATTATTATTATTATTATTATTATTATTATACAGTGCTATCATTTAGCGAAATAATAATAATAATAATAATAATAATAATTTTTATCTATTATTATTTACTACCAGTGTGCAATGTATCAAGTTTCTTATACTTTGATCTAATTTCATTATTATATTATTTATTCTCTACACGTAGGCCCAGTGCTATTGAAGTGCTATTGTGTCTACGTGCTGTTCCTAGCTTTGAATGGCATCACAGAGTGCTTTATGTTTGCTGCACTCAGTCAAGATGAGGTTGACAGGTATACTGTTATTTTCTCTTAATATTTTGATCACATGATACCATACAACGTATACAAACATGTACTCTATGCCTTAAGGCATAATATCTTATGTAATTTATTGTTACTGCAAATGTATTTACAAATGTACTGCAATCATTTGTTACTCGGTCTCACAATCTTTGTATTGATGTTGACAGTATGCCTACAAGTGAAAGCATCATCCTGCTAAATCAACAACACTGAACTCACTTTCCTGTCATAATTAGCCACTGACCTTTATTGTTATCTGATGCCTGGTATACTAATCCAATCAATGGGCATACAAGGGGATTATGTAACGGACAGTTTGGATAATTGTTGGTGCATGATGCTGTTTATCAAATTGTTGATATCAATGTTGTGTATTATAAAGAATTATAATTATGTGTATATTTTGACTAGACTGATTATTAGTTATCATTATCATTATTATTATTATTATTATTATTATTATTTATTGTTATTATTATTATTTTATTTCCATTGTATTTTAGGTATAATAAGAATATGCTTGTGTTTTCACTCATATTTTTGAGTGCCGCTGTAGTCTTGATTAAATTGTTTGGCAGTCCAGGATTTATAATAGCAAATTGTATCAATATGTCGGCAAGAATCATTTACAGGTAAACAAAGTTTGGTAACAATGACAGCTGCTTGACAAGTGGCCTTCAGCTTGTTTAGTCAAAATTAATATATGACTATGATAAAGTAATGAATGTTTTGATATTATTTTCATATCTTTTTTTGTAGTGGAAAATTTATTACGAATTATTTCAGACAGTCTTCACATAATCCATTATCAAAAGCAGTACCATCATTACCAGTTTTTATCAGTTTGATAGTGTCTTGGATCATCACTGCAATATCAATGGTATGTAGATCAACTGATACTGTCAGCTAGTGCTGTATAAGAAGTACATCAATATGCGTCAGAATTCAGAAATGGCCATAACTTGAAAATTTGAGCTCAGAATTGACTCAAACTTTCTACATAGCATAAGGACATCAATATGTATCAAAAAATGTAATAAAAATTTGGGGTGATTTTGGAGCCATTTTTCAGAAAAAACCATGGGCTATAGCCTTGGGTATTTTTCAAAAATTGGCCCTTTTTTTAAAATGGCCATAACTCGAAAATTTGAGTTCGAAATCAACTCAAACTTTCTACACAGCATAAGGACAACAATATGTATCAGAAAATGTAATAAAAATTTGGGGTGATTTCGGAGCCATTTTTCGGAAAAAAACCATGGGCTATAGCCTTGGGCATTTTTCAAAAATTGGCTCGTTTTTAAAAATGGCCATAACTCGAAAATTTGAGTTCGGAATCAACTCAAACTTTCTACACAGCATAAGTACATCAATATGTATCAGAAAATGTAATAAAAATTTGGGGTGATTTCGGAGCCATTTTTCGGAAAAAACCATGGGCTATAGCTTTGGGTATTTTTCAAAAATTGGCTCGTTTTTAAAAATGGCCATAACTCAAAAATTTGAGTTCGGAATCAACTCAAACTTTCTACACAGCATAAGTACATCAATATGTATCAGAAAATGTAATAAAAATTTGGGGTGATTTTGGAGCCATTTTTTGAAAAAAACCATGGGCTATAGCCTTGGGTATTTTTCAAAAATTGGCCAATTTCTTAAAATGGCCATAACTCGAAAATTTGAGCTCAGAATTGACTCAAACTTTTTACATAGCATAAGGACATCAATATGTATCAGAAAATGTAATAAAAATTTGGGGTGATTTCGGAGCCATTTTTTGGAAAAAACCATGGGCTATAGCCTTGGGTATTTTTTAAAATAATTCCTGTCTATAGTTTATATTATACTTTTTTACACCACAGAGTACATTTTGCTGTTCATTTGGTGCAATTTATCGTCTTATTCATATAATTATTGGGAGTGGCTGTTTTCTGACTGTGGGTGTGGTCATAACTTTAGTGGAACGTGAATTAATGACATTTTTCATATCCCGTCTACCAAGTAGATTTCAGAAGTTACTAACACGTAATAAAACTGACTAATTGTAATACATTTAATAATTGTTAAAAATTGTTAACATATCATTATAATTTTCATTCAACTCCAAGAAGTACAAGTTTATGCTTAGTAACATTGGTATGTGGCAATACTTCCGATAACTTATTAATATCCTTCAACACTGATAGTGATAACTAGAGAGAGAGTGATAGGACTAAGTGAAGGATGAATTGACTCACCTGTGGATTGGGTAGTTTAACTTCTCTTTTACTAAATTCTCGTATCATGTGATCAGTTCCAGCCTATAATAATAATCACATGATAGTCACATGACTGTGTGTGCGTGTGGCACTTACTGCATGATATATCCTGGTATCATTTAAACGGACAATGACATCATCAACTCTTAGAAAAAACCTCAACAGAATAAAGAAACCACTGGCCATCACCCGCTGAAAAATAATAGATTAAAATAATAATAATAATAATAATAAATTAAAATAAAATCCCAAAATCTGACAGAACACATTAATGGTGGGGAGTTCTATAGCTACAGCAGCTGCTTTGTGTTTCTTACTATTTTGACTCTCAGTTCAGCAGTTCCGTTGTCTGCCAGTTCGTCTTCAAATAAAACAATATCATCAAAAAAATGAATCCTCTCTTGAACTTTTAATCTCTCATAATCAATCCCAACATCTGTCTCTGACACCTGCACCACATGAACCCATGAGATAAACAAACAGAGACATTTTACTTGTATTTTATCGTTATACGATCCATTGTATTCTGTAGTAAAGGTCCAATCAAACGATTTCACTTTGTCCTTAACTTTCTCGAGACCTTCTGACCTGTAAAATTCAATACATATAAATAAATATACAGTAAAATTATACACAAAAGATCAATACTACAGCACACACAGACACTCTACAATTACATGTACATGTATATACAGCTCCAATTGCACACTCCACAAAACAAGAAATACTAACTTAATAATTAATAATAGCAATTAATAATTAATTTAACTTAGACCTTGTTGCTCTCCATTCCTTAGCGGCTGCCACCTGAACGCTTTCATGATGAGCGTCCACCATTTTGAGTGCATCCAGAGGATTAAACTCAAAACCAGGGCCCCCGACATGCTCCATGATTAATCTGTTGTTAGGAAAAACCATCTCTGGTAGCCATGGTAGCTCAAGCTCACTAGAATACCTACAATTTTCGGAGTTTTACAGAAGTAAACGGAGTAGTGTATCTGTAATCCAGTACCTGCAAACGTTGCATTTACCACAAGACTCATCGCTATTGGGACTGCCTCCTTCACATTTTGATTTTAAGATATGGCTCTTGATCACACTGATTTTCCATGGTCCTACATCAAAAGACTCCATGTTAGCCTTGAGCCACACCTTCTTTTCCCCTTCACCACACCTCTCTTTCTTGTCACATGACTTCACGTGGCTATAAGATTTTGAGCTGGATGTTGAGAGACAAGGTATAAAGTCACTACTCAATGGCCTAGGGAGTAGACTAAAGACACAGCCCTGACAGTAGACAGTCCTAAAGGTACTCCATTGCATTGACTGAGTGTGGAAAGCACAGAGCAAATGGTGAATGTTGCAATTTGTAAACTCCTTTGATGGCTTTATTTGTTCTAGCATGTTCTTTTGAAAGTGTGAGTATGAAAAAATAGTCTCTCCATCAAGCAATGAGGAAATATATCTACTTGCACTTGAACTTAAACTTGGCTGTGCATGTCTGAGCTCCACCCACTTCTTGCTGGCATATAAATGTGATATTCATGCTTTATTGAATGAATGAGGTTAGCTCAGTGACATCATGTGATGCATAAATTAGCATTTGTTGATCTAGCTTGTATTCAGAAAGGTGAACTTGCGAGACTAAGTTTAAAACGATGGAGCTAAGTCTTTTTCTTCTTGTCAGTGCAGCAATAGTTTTGGTTTCTCAGGGACAGCCTCCACCACCACATCCTCCCCCAATTATATCAGAAACATTTAGTTCCGGAGTGAGTAGACCCTTGTTATGCACGCTACAATTTATAATGCTCTGCTTTGTAGTTTAGAACTAAAGAGCCAGAGTCATCAAGTGATGAAGAATTTTATTATACTGGTAAAGTGCAGCTGGAATGGTATTGCATGTTCTTGTTGTATAGGTGAGATTAAGACCAACTTTGAGGAACAGAAATACTTCTCACTGATAACAACTGTATTTGAGGATATGCCAAAGAGACATGAATGGAGACTAGAGCTGTATGAGAGGAAGGAGACTTACATCTTTGAATGGTATTTATATATTTATAAGAAGTGCATTATGCATAAGATGAGGGTTACCCAATGGATTTAAGCATAGTGCTTCTTGTCAGTGAATTTTGAAGTTGCAAAATTGAGCCAAAGTCCCTGTACAGAGACTTTGACCAAATTTTGCCAAAAATGAAAATTTAAGAATTCTTCATTTTTATTACATTTTCTCATGCATATACATGGTCTTATGTTCTGTAGAAAATTTGAGCGGATACCAATCAAAACTGGATTTTTTACGAATTTTTAAAGTTGCTCAAAAAGCCATGTATTAGCTCATGAAGCTTTCCGTTCATGAAGCATATTGTTTAGCTCACTTAGCATACTTTGTGGTAATGATTATAATTATTTTACAGGGAAGGCAACAGTACAAAGCCAAGTGGAATATGCAAAAAGCAGTCAAACTCTGGTGTCATGTCACCACGGTTTAGTTGGACTAAGAATGCGACCTATTCTGAAACTAAAATGTATGGTGATCGCAAAGTTGACATCTTCACTGGCTGGGTAAGTAAGCATTGTGCCATGGATGATATACTTTTGCATTTTAATCGTAGTTTAATACTACTAAGGATAACATTGGTGTAGATCAGGAAAAGAAAAACATCCCCTTTTTTGCTACAATGCATTTCGATTCTGAATTCTACATTACCTATTACTATCATGATTTTGATCCTACTCCTCCTCCATCAAACACATTCACTATCCCTGAGGAATGTCAAAGAAAGTTCTAATTTATTTATAAGGAACACTTTTTGCTACTTGTTGCTACTCTCATAGTGATTGCAAAGTTATTTTTTAAATAAAATTCTCATTTCTATTACACATTTTTATGGTCAAATTCAATCATGATTTATTTGCAGGCTGCAGCCCCGCCTCATTGTGGGTTGGGACTTTTATATAATTATTTTAGTAAAAATGTCCTTTCTTGTGACCTTGCTGTCTTCTCATTGGCTAGAGTTGCTGCTGGTTATATGCTCAGTTGTCTTTCTTGCTTCCATTCCTTACATAGTGTCTGTCTGCAAGCGGCAATGGAGACTCCAAAAGTGCTTAAAGGCTCTTCCTTCTTCAGACGAAACTGATTCGCATTGGTTGTTTGGGCAAGGTCCAATGGTAATGGCAGTAGTCCTGTGTGATTGTGTCATTTTCTTTTATTTTGTTGTTCTTGCAGTCAATCAAGATGATAAAGTCTGGCGAGTTTCTTGACTATTATGCGAAGTATTGGAAGTTTGGAAAGATAACAGTCGTGCCTCTGGGACCATTGTTTAATGTGATCTTCTGCAATCATCCTGATGCTCTCAAAATATCTCTGGCAAAAGGCAAGAAATAAAGTAATTACCTTATCATTTATGGTTTTTTTACAGATCCAAAAGCTGATTTTGTTTATTTTCCCTTAATGCCATGGCTAGGTAAGACTTTCTTCATTCATTTCATATTCTATTTTTTTGAAAGGTGACTCTCTTTTGACTGGTAATGGGCACAAATGGGCTAGAACACGTCGTCTTCTAACACCTGCATTTCACTTTGACATACTCAAGCCCTATGTTAGGGTATATCAAAGCTGTACCAAAGAACTTGTGGTCAGTTTATTTATGCACAATGAAGAGCATGCCTTTACAGCTTTATTGCAGCCCTTTTGACCTCATTTTGTATTGTGCACCCCTTTACTATAGTAATTTTAGACTTTTGTTTTTATAAAATGACCTTTTATAGCTGTCACTGTGACACTTGTGTACAGGATGCTGTTTAAACAATAAAATTTACCTTACTCTCTACTACATGTAGACTAATTGGAAGAAGCTAGCACTTTCCAAAGAGCCTTTTGATGTTTTTTCCAGCATCAGTTTATTAACACTTGACATAATGCTTAGGAGCACTTGCAGCTTTAAGAGCAACTGCCAAACAGAGAAGTAAGTGCAGGCAATGGTGAGATGATCCTTCACTATATTTTGTAACAAGGACTCACTCACCATATGTAGCTGCAGTTTATGAGCTCTCACATTTAGCAACAGAGAGGATGCTGTAAGTCTATCATATTGTACAATATTACCATTACTGTCTGTTATTTTAGTTTCTCTCCAGCTTATTTTGACTGGGTATATGCACTGATGCCGTCAAAATGGCGCTATGATAGAGCATGTAGACTTGTACACAAGTTCTCCATGGACGTCATTAAAGAAAGACGGAGTGCATTAGCAGATCTACATGTAATGGACCATTAATTTGTGTTTTATTTATGCTTTCAGGCAAAAGGAGAGACAGATGTCCTGAAAGGTGACAAAAAGAGGAAATACATTGACTTTATTGATATACTACTTGAAGCAAGAGTGAGTTCAACATTAATATTATATTACTTGTATTTCTTTTCTTTTAGGATGACGATGGTAGTGGATTAACTGATGAAGAGATAAGAGCTGAAGTGGACACGTTTATGTTTGAAGGTCACGACACTACAGCATCAGGGATTACCTGGACACTGTACAATCTTGCAAGATACCCTGAGCATCAGCAGAAATGTAGGGAAGAGGTTGATGCAGCATTTGAGGATGGAGATGAATTGTCATGGTAAGCAGCTCAAGCCTGCATTTGATTATGCATGCTGCATTGCAGGGAAACTGTGAAAGGTTTTACGTATCTCAAATACTGCATTAAGGAGAGCCTCCGTCTTTTCCCCCCAGTACCTATAATTGTTCGGACTCTTGCAGAAGACACGAAATTTGAGGATTATACTTTACCAAAAGGAGCATGGATATCCTCTAATATATACGGGGTTCATCACAGTCCAGAAATATGGGAAGATCCAGAAGTATGTTGGAATGAAATGAAAAGTTTCTATCATAATTTTTGTTTTTTATGAATTATTTTTCAGGCTTTTGATCCTCTTCGTTTTGCACCAGAAAATGCAAAAGACAGGCATACTCATGCCTTTGTGCCATTCTCTGCTGGACCAAGGTATATGCATGATGTGTGTACTCATGGTATAGCCATTGGGTTTGAAAAGAGGTTTTTAAAGTAGGGTGACTAACAGTTTGTGATGATGTATTAATTGTACTTTTACTAGACCTAGGCTATAGGGGTTCCCAAATCAGCTCTGTGCATTATAAATATTTGTTAAATATACATTTTTTGTTTTAATTGCAGGAACTGTATTGGTCAGGAGTTTGCTTTGAATGAAGAGAAGGTTGTGCTTGCTTATATTCTGAGGAATTTTGAGATATCTCTCCCAGACGATGAGAGGAAGAACGTCACCAAATTATTTGCTCTCATTCTTCGTCCTAAAGGCGGTCTTTATCTCCAACTGAAACCTAGAAATATTTGAGACATTTATGATTAATTTTGATTTATCTTTTTTATAATTTGCTACTAACTTTGGCAGACTAGATAACTACGCATGCGCGAGTTCTTGAGGTGGGGGTGGGGCTGTCACGTGTATGTGATTTTTTAGCTTTTGCTGATGGTGTTCAGAATCATGAAAAGAATTCTTCTACTTTTATTTTTGTGTTTCCTCGCTGCAGTAAGTCCTTTATAAACACTACATGACTCCCTACTCTTTCAATATAGGTAGGAGAAGAGACTAGTGTGGATAGGGCGAGTGTTGAAGCAGACAAATGCCCTGATGTAAGTATGAAACTGTTTTCTTGTTATGAGCTTGTTCTTTCTCCCTTCAGCATTGCAATCGTCATGGTGTGTGTATATCTAATGGCTCTAATCCTTATTGTGTCTGCGATGATGGGTGGGGAGGCGTGGCTTGTGCTGATGTACGCTATGACCTGTCAGCTGATGAACCTATTTCAATTACAATACGGGATAAACAAACAGGTGGGGATATTTATTAAAATATGATTTGAATGTAATAGCCCTCGCTCTCTTTTCCTCTTCTTCCTTCTTTCTTTCTCCTTTAGTATATTGTAATATTACAACACAGGTTCCTCCATTTAATAATTTAACTGTTTATCTTCAATCTTTTAGTAAATGTAAGTATGCTAATGCTTATCCCTTAAGTTGATTATTAGTGTGTATTCCCAATAGTACCTGCTGTTTCTACTCCCTCACTCTATGTTGGTAGAGATTATTATCCAGATTCAGATAACAACGAGGTTTGGGACTTTTTTAAAGTGCTTATTTTTTATTCTCACTCACTCTCACTCTCTCTCTCTCTCTCTCCAAAAAGTACAGTGACATAACGACTGCAAGGCAGAAATCAATCACTGTCCTTGACCCAAGTAACCCCATTTAATAACACTCCTCTTTCTCTCATTATTGTATTTTACTTGAGTCCTTTTCTCTAGAGGCTGGTAATTGGTACATAGCACTAGTTGGCCGTGACTCCCCATCTCTCATACTGACCATACAGGTCAACATGGATGACGTGTGTTTCAGTAATTGCTCTGCAAATGGAAAGTGTCAGCCTCCGGACGATAAAGGGTGATTATAATAATGACACCATTTCACACAATCAACAGCAGTTATTGTACACAATTGAATGTTATGATTATTACTGCACGTGTGTACATGTACCTTTTAAATGCACCTGTATGATTAATCATTTTATTATGATTTAATGCGTTCCATATTTTATGAAGCCCTTGTTCCAGAAATTAAGTGCGACCACAAATGAAAGAAAAATAATGTTTGACATCTCAATTTTTAATTATCATTTTTTAGTTATGTCAAGTGCCTGTGTAATTATGGCTATCAAGGAGAATATTGTGAAGAGTATATGCCAGTTATGCGTCAGTCAATTGATATTCTCCTGCTGTACTGTTATTATCATAATTTATAGGCAATGCCACTCCATACACCGGTCACGTTGATCATGGACTTTGGAATTATTGGCATTTCAATATAACTGTTGAACCAACTAAAGGAATGTTCTTATTACTTAGTGTGGGTGGGGCAGCAGATAAGCAGAATCTACCAGGTAAAGCATCATCATTAGTGCTATATCTGTTTTTTTTTAAATAAAAAAGAAATGGTAATATCAATGGTGGTTGCTACATTTAGTAGCATGTACTAATGATTTTAGCCAATGGCCCATTGCACAGTCTTCAGTTGCCATCATCATCTTCTTCACATCTTTGTCTCATCTAATGTAGAGTTGTATACTCAGATAAATGGTAGACCTACTGAGACACAGTATGTATGCCATCAGCCGAACACCAGCAGCAGTACTGTTAGTCTTATTGAGAACGATTCGTCTTATACTTGTGTTGTGAATGATACTACAATGTTAGGGAAGGGAAACGCTTGGTATATTGGTAAGGAGAGAGATAGAGAGATGTGTGGTGTTATTTTCTTCTTGTTCAGGAGTCCTTGGTACAAAGTTAAGTGAAGTATCAGGTAATTACACTGTTATGGCAACACTCCATTTGTCGGGAACTCCTCCACTGCTGCTGTCTTCACCTCTTCTTGAGGAAAATATTGTGGCAATGAAATGGAAATGGAAACAGAGGAGAGTTTTATAAATTCTATTGAGTGATCCTAAGGAAGAATCAATTTTTATGAAACTTTGTGTGTGTGTGTGTGTGTGTCATTTTTTAATTTGTTTTTAATGGCTGGACTTTAAATGAGATTCATACATGATTAGCTACAAGACTGTGTGGGCGGGCTCAGTGCTTTATAAAGCAGAGCTCAAAGGGGCGAGAATCCATTTCTCTTTGAACTCTCACTGGTCAAGTTTGAAAAGTAACCCTGTCATTATTATGGCGGGAGCAGGTTCAGCCCGCCAGACCTCACTGAGGATTGGTGACACTGTCCTGTTTCAAGTAAGCTCTGGTAGAGAAAGCAGAGAAAAGACTGGATATATTTATTCCGAGCTCTCAAGGTAAGGCTATACTGACACTAGTAATGTTCATTATCTTTCTTTAATCAGTTCACCCTTCAACTTTATGACAGTTTATCCAGTTAATCAAGGCTCAGAACTAGAGCCTGACTTTCCTAACATTGCCTGTAAGTCCTTCAACTTTGTAGAAGTCGTAACAATTGTTGATGCATACCAGCTTTGTTGAGTTTTTAATTTTGGATGCTTTCTTTGTTGCAGTTGCTACTTTCAAAGTGATGGTGCCTAACAAATACAAAGCCAAGCAAAGACTGCAGAAGCTAATGGAAGAGTAAGAAAGAAAGAGATAATGTTGGAAATGCTGTGCCTCTCTATTGCTTTTGTTATAATTGCTGTTGGTTGCCTCAAGGTGACAATCAAATTACCAGTATTGCATGGAGACAAAAAATGCATTAAACTGTTTTTAAAAACTTGTTATTGCATTAGTTTTTGGGATGAATACCTTTTGGCTCAGAGTCAAAGTAAACTGCAACAATGCAAAACATGGAATGATGTTTTAGCAGGTTTAATTATAGAGTTATGAGGAAATGAGTGTGCTACTGTTATTTCTTGCTTTTGATAATGCGCTATGTTTATTATGTGTCACAGGATTTGTTATGATAATTATGTTATCTTCATTTTCAGGAAAAGAAAGAAACAAGCAAGTGCTGCCCCTGATTCCCCCACTGGCTCAATGAAGTAAGACACATAATAATTATAATAATAATAATTTAATTATTCATCTTTACATTAGGAATCGATCAGAGAGCCAATACACTCGACTGTTACACCAGGCAAAGGTATGCTGTGAGGCTTTGTCTTTATTGCATGTTGCACATTCACCAATACAAGAGTTAATCTATTAGCTGCTGTCTTTAGGAACAAGCCGAAGAGGAAGAAATGGAAAATGCACAAGAGCAGGCAAGACGTGCTGGAACTAAAGTGGTTTACGGTGACCTGATACAAGTAATTCTTCTTTGTTGTCTACTTTCATCTTTCCCTTTTTGTGCTTTTTCTCTCTCTCCACTTTACCATTTCTCACCTTGCATTTGATTTTCTATTTATTTTCTTGGACAGTTGCAACATGTTGCTTCTGGTAAGTTTGTCAACGTCAGGTCAGAGGCTTCGAAAACTGAAAGCAACAATCTATTGGTAGGTGGATGCATATCTGTCAGCCACTCAATTTGTGTTGCAACAGCTGACTTGGTACCAAAATGTACATTTTTGATGTTTTTATAGGTCAATCTTAGTGAGGAGAACTCTGATGGGTGCAGTTTTGTGATATTACCAAGGTATAAAGTGCGGTCAGAAGGAGATGAGGTAATTTTGTGATTATTATTTATTTATTTTGTGATTTTTGTGATTATTAGTAGTAACATTGCATGTTAATGCATGACAAAGCATGTATTAATTGTTTTAGCTGGTTATATTCTAACCGGTTGCCCATCTTGTGTGAGCTATTCCAACATGAGTATCAAGAACTGAGTCCCAACAACAATGTCCTGCTTTAATGCTCTCTCTCTCTCTCTCTCTCTCTCTCTCTCTCTCTCTCTCTCTCTCTCTCTCTCTCTCTCTCTCTCTCTCTCTCTCTCTCTCTCTCTCTCTCTCTCTCTCTCTCTCATCCTTAGATTCGTTTTTCTGACCAAATGAAGTTGGAGAGCTTTAAGACAAAAGGACAGTTTTTGAGCTGTAGCTTTGGCCAGCGTACCTTGTATGCTGCAGGATTCTATACACATCCAAACTTGTTAGTTATTTTCAATTCATTCATGTATCTCTTTCTTTATTGTTGTAATCATCTCTTTTCTACTTTATGCAGTTATGAGTTGAATCTCTCAGCAACAGAATCAGCTCTGACTCTCATCCCTCATTCTTGTCCTTCAGTGAATAAGCATCCTGATAATGCGCTCAGAGTAAGAGTACAATCCATACAATAGTTATGAGCTTATTCATGGGATATTCTATTGCGCACTCTCTATCAATGACTATCATATTGTAGTTGTGTAAATTATAATTGATTTTTTGTCAATGCTATACCATTTGGTTGGAAAATTTGATAACCCAAAAGTGTGGTGATGATTAAGTTTTGAGCACTTAAACTCTTAAATTTTGTCAAATTTGCCTGGTCAAAATTTTTATTCCACCTCAATTTTAAACAATATCTACAGTGTTATGTTATGGTAGAGTTAAATTGTTTATTATTTTGTTCTTGAATTCCTGCTATATATTGTGTATGTTCTTGCTGGACATAGGCTGGAGGTGTTGTTAGATTGTTTCACAGAGAAGACGAGTGTTACATTGTTGCTGAAGGCTCATTTGCTAATGATGCCACTCCTACTGAGAATGGTTAGCTAATAGAGAGAGATAGGGAGGTTATGAGCTTTATGTGTTTGAATACTTTTTGGTTGTGCCTCCCATAGTTCACTGCAGACAAAGGAGAGTTGATCAAAGGAAGCATGGCAACCCTTCAACTTCTGCTAACACCTACTGGCAGATAGAAAAGGAGGAAGACCCAAGGACTGGTAAGAGATTATAGTTTCAATATTTACACTTTTAGTAATTATTATTATCATTGTTATCAGGTGAGGTTCTCTATTGGGAGGAAAGGTGTAGACTAAAGCATCTTCCAACACGTCTGTATTTAGCTGTCTGCAAAGACGAAAGAGGGAACTATGAAGTAATTTTTTTACAATTAATATTCATTTGATTGAGTTGTTCTACTCTTCTTTCTCATTTTAGGTAACTCTCAAGCGGAGGAAGTTTGATGCGACAGATCTTGACACTCTCTTTAGTTTCCATGCCCTCATTGAGGTGCTTGTAATCATGAATGACAATTATAATAATTATCATTATTTTCATTAGGAAGGCATTGAGGTCCTCCTTGAATCTTATGCAAGGATTAAACATCTTGTCAGTGGAAGATGGCTGCACTTAGTTGATGAAAGTTAGAGAAACACACACCTGTCATACCTCTCTCTTTCACTCTATTCCTCTATTAGAGTATACAAGAAAAAACTTTGATCCGACTGCCGTAGGACTAGCTGGTCTTCAATGGGACTTTGCTGAGCTTTTTCAGGTGTTAAGAAATATTATGAAACATTTTTATTTTGTGTATGTTGTGTGTAGCTCACGACTAGCAAAAATGAAGAAGATTACGATGCATTTACGCTACAGGAGGTTGGGAATGGCTTAAGTCATAGTGAAAGTTTAAGTTTATTTGTTTGCTTTAGGTTCCATTTGATTTGCTTAGAAGGTTCAATTATGTTGCTGGTATATCACCTGTATTGACATCACACATAAAATTTGTAAGCATAAATTACTTCACACTCATTTATCAATCTCTTTTTTTTTGCTCAATTTTTTATAACTAATGCTACTTGCAAACCATTTTATTTTTCTACTACTTAATTTCCCATTGTTAATAATGTCTCTTCTTTGTCTTTGGCATTGTTCTTTCCATGTGTCTCTTTTCAATTCTTCTCTCCTACAGCTTCAGTCTGGCAATGGTGCTGCGATACCTCAGAAGCAAGCTAGTCGTGTGAAGCAGACAATTGCCGAGTTAAAGGACTCCATACTAACACTCTCTGACAGAGATACAAAAAATAATCAGAAACTGTTGAGAAATATCCAGGTTAGAGAAAGAGTGAGAAAGAAAGAAAGAGTGAAGAAAGCAAGAAGAAGGCCTGCACATTTGCAAGTTTTTGTGCTTTCTACCTAGCTACTTCCTCCATTAATTAGGTTGTAGAACAACTAACAGAAATCTTGAAAGTGTCTCAATCAATGAAGTTGATACCGTCACTGTGAGATCTCAATGATTCCCTGATACATGATTGATTGTCTTATATAGGCACCACAGTGATGTGTGTCGTGAGTGTTATAACGTCATTCAAAAGTTTTTAGAAGGTGACAGTCGAAAGAATGAAAACTATCTTGCACGTTACCTAGAGTTTTTCCAAACACAGGTAAACTACATATATAATTATTTACCCACACCAGGGTTTCCCCCCACAAAGCATGCTAAGTGAGCTAAACAGCATGAGCTTCATAAGCTGACAAGCACTACAATACAGTAGAACAACTTTAAAATTTTGTAAAAAATCCAAATTTGGTTCAAATTGATTGGAATCAGCTCCAAGTTGATACACAGCTTAAAGACATGTATATGTATCAGGAAAAATCTTTTATATATCTCTATCTTTATTTTAGGTTCAAAAAGGCCTTGATGCAGAGGAGGTTCTGGTAGAGATTGTACAAGACAATCTTAAAATTGTAACAAGGATGGCCGAGACCAGAATGACTGCAATGATTGATCAATTCATAGCAACAAAAGTATTCTCCATTATAGAGTATACACTCCTTTAAAACCTGTCTCTTTAGGACGCAAGGTTTCTTGATTTCTTGAGTTCTCTGTGCGTCTGTTCTGGTCGTCCTATCCCATCTACACAGGGTAATATAACAGTTATTCTATTAATAATTTTATTTAGTTATTGATGTGTAGATCGCTTGCTTACTGAGCTTGTCATTCGCTATGGAAGGGTAAATGAAATTAATGACAAAAATGATTATACTTTTATTTATTTTAGGAGTTGCTGTACACAACCAATTTAAAGAAGAAAGGTGAAAAGAATGAAGAAGTAGCAGTCTATTACCGACCAAAGGATTCATCTCATGCTAGAGATATTCGATCTTTAAAGCCGAACTCTACCGATCCAGCCATTGTTGTAAGTATGACCTACAGACGTACAATGTAAACTCTTTAGGGGTACACTACCTGTCCTCAATACAGAAGTGTTTGTACCGCAATATTCACAACTTGTGTAACCGTGGCACATTTTCACTTTGTATATTTTTTACGTCTATAATAATGTTTTGTGTTTTCATTCTTTCCTTTTCTGTTGTTAGGATGATTATGAACTATTGAAAGGACAGTTGCACATGTTTGGTAAACTCTGCAAGGTAAAAATATGCCAATTACAGTATCAAAAGACATGCATTAGTATAATAGTAGAGGTACTATGTATTTTTAATAGTATTCACCAGTACTAGTATGCACATGTACATATGTCTGTGCTTTATTATCTTTTCAGGGGAACAACAAGAGGACATTGGACTTTCTAGTCATACCAAGGAACAGAGATGGGTATGTTAGTTTTGACCAGGTGTTCCACTGTGCTCAGAATACTAGCATTGACCCTGAGCTACGTAAATGCTATGTTGAACTGATCTTGGTCATGTTTGTTGATGTCGATGATAACAGGCCTTTCCTGGACCAACTCTGCTACTCATTTGTAAGTGTTACTATTAATAGAATGAATGTCACTATTAATAGAATGAGTGTTACTAATAATAGAATGCTATGATGTACATTAATATTTTGTGATTCTTTAGAAATATGAAGATTTGTCTCCTGACCCATATGGTGACACTGGTGATGATGAAGACACTGCACTGACTGGTGTAGCTAATTTACATTTCAAGTTTCTGAAGCTGTGGTTTGTGAAAGTCATTACAGACTACGAAGTAATGATTCATTACACTTTAATGTAATAGCTATAGTGTAGCATCAAAACAGTCCAATGATTTATGTACTGTACTTACAATAATGATAGTATTTAGTTTGAAAGTTACAATTGTACATATTAAATATCAGGATACTTACTACCCTAGCTGACTGCAGGATTAAAAGTAAAAACCAAAACTGATTTAAAAAGATGCAAAAGTGGCAGAAAATAACATATCATTATTATTAGTAGCAGTAATAATGTATTAGATCACAATGTATTATGTATGTGTGTTATTGTTGTCAACATTATATAGCACCTATGCTGTAATGAAGAAAATATTGAAAAGAATGAGCTCTTTGCTGAGATACTTAACGTCCTTGGTAACCTGGTTCGTAATGGGTACTATGACTCTGAGGAGGACATTGATGAATTAATGAAACCATTAGTTGATGTTCTAGATGGAACTACTGACAAACTGAATGAGGGACAAAATGAGAGTAGTTACAATGGTAAATTTTTATTGATACTTATACTTCCAAAATGAGTAATTGTAGTTACTTCAACTTTTCTACATAGCATAAGGATATCAATATGTATCTGAAAATGTAATAAAAATTTTGGGTGATTTCAGAGCCTTTTTTGAAAAAAACCATGGGCTATATATAGCCTTGGGTATTTTTCCAAAATTGGCCTGTTTTTATAAATGGCCATAACTTGAAAATTTGAGCTCAGAATCGACTCAAACTTTCTACATAGCATAAGGACATCAATGTGTATCAAAAAATATAATAAAAATTTGGGGTGATTTTGGAGCCATTTTTTGGAAAAAACCATGGGCTATAGCCTTGGGTATTTTTCCAAAATTGGCTTGTTTTTAAAAATGGCCATAACTTTAAAATTTGAGCTCGGAATCAACTCAAACTTTCTATATAGTATAAGGACGTCAATATGTATCAGAAAATGTAATAAAAATTTGGGGTGTTTTCGGAGCCATTTTTTAGAAAAAAATTATGGGCTATAGCTTTGGGGTATTTTTTAAAAATTGGCCCATTCTATTTAAATGGCCATAACTTGAAAATTTGAGCTCGCAATCGACTCAAACTTTCTACATAGCATAAGGACATCAATGTGTATCAAAAAATGTAATAAAAATTTGGGATGATTTTAGAGCCATTTTTTGAAAAAACCATGGGCTATAGCCTTGGGTATTTTTCTAAAATTGGCCAGTTTTTAAAAAATGACCATAACTTGAAAATTTGAGCTCAGAATTGACTCAAACTTTCTACACAGCATAAGGACATCGATGTGTATTAGAAAATATATCATTTTATAGATAAAATTAGAAAAGAGGACACAAAAGTGAACAGAGCTGTCTTCTATGTAAAGAGAAAGTAAAGATATGATAGACAATGATATACATGTACATGTTAATTCTACTTTATCACAGGGCTCTAGAGGTCATGGAGCTGTTTTTTAGATTCAAGTTTTACGTCAAACTCCAGGTATAGACGAATATCTCTCGTCTTTTGTATGAGTTTTTCTCTTTTCCTCCTTTGTTCGCTTTTTCTAGAAATTTTTGAATGATTTTAAAATGCTGGAAGGAAGTGGTGGGAGGATGTTAGTTGGTAGGAAAGAGACAAGGGATGGGCCACCTCACGATTTGAGACAACTTAAAGTTGGTATCGATCCAGCTAGATGCCACGAATGGCTCCAGTCGTCAGAAATGACAAAGTATGACCAATAAATCAATCGTTGTAGTTTCATCAATTGCAATTTTCCTTTAACATGCATGTAGATCTACATGTACGTGTAAGCTATTGATAATGCATGTGAATTTTGAAAACTGCATGACTTTAACTTGATTGTTTTTTATTGAAATAATTAGTTGAAATTTAAGAAAGAGATTAGTATTATCTACTCTTAATATTATTATAGGAAAGTCCGGCTTAGACTTGGTTCCCTGTGTGAAGGAGCCATTAAAGGTTCTTTCCACGATGGCCACATCCCCAAATTGGAGTCAGTGCTACTAGATCTGTCAGAGTATGATTGCGATGAGCTGGTGACTGCTTCGCTTGATCTCTTAACACAAATGTACTTCTTTGAAGAGCAATTGTTCCAAAAGGCACAGCAGGTAGATTAAAACACAGTGTACAAAATTATATGAAATGTGTTTAAATAAAAGTTTTAAAATTGTCACTAGCAAGAATACAGTAAAACCCTGCATACTCATTTAAGAGTGGCATCTAATATATTTTTTATTCCTTTTTCCTCTTTATTTGTCTCATAGTCACAGCTCCTAATCTGTCAAGAAAGCATTGCCCACTATGATATTGTTAATGAACTCCTTCCTGAGTTGAGGCATCTCCTCCTCATTGATCCTGATCAAAAAGATCAAGACAGGATCAAGGTCATACTCACTGAACTCTCAAATCTTTTGATTATTTCTGATTACAATGATGAGCCGAATAGGAGCAACCAAATAATGCTGGATAACTTCGGTAAATAAGAGAGAGAGAGAGAGAGATAAAATTTATTCTGATATAAATGCACAATTGTGGTTGTTTAGTTGAAGCTCAAGACTTGCTTTAGTTACATTTTTGTGAATCATGATTTATGAATATTGTTTTTATGTTTCTATAGGAATTCTTGATGATATTTTAAGCTATATTCTTTCAAAAGGCTCAGAAGGATCTGAAGGCAAGCCACTAAAAATTTTTAATTGCACATTATATTTGATGTGATTGCCCATTGTATTTTTTATGAATATAGCTACTGTCCAGCAAGAAGTGTTTCAAAAGTGTTTCCACCTGTTGCGTCGAATGACTGCTGAGTATAAGAACGTCAGTTTAAATGATTCACTTTTTGATGGTCAATAATTATTAGGTACAAGAAAGATTATTCAATAGAATTGAGGACCTTTTATCTGTCAAGATACCTGAAGCTCTGGCTGATCTTGCTGACCTACTGACTGAAGTCAGCCCCACCCACCTCTCTCTTTATCATCTTTATACCTACAACCATTCCTTCTTTCTTCTTGTCACCTTTATTTCTTTCTACATGTACCTACTTATTTTCAGTAATAGATCTTGCCACATTTCATTATGTTTCTTTTTCAGATGTTTACTGGTGGCGCTGAGCTGGCTTTAAGAGTCATGGAGTCTCATGTTGACAGGATATTTGAGATTATCGTCGACTGTCAGAATGGTACAGTACAAGCCCATTTCATGATAACACTGGAAGCTATGGCTAAAGTAAATTACATTGAGCTTTACTTGTACGTACTACATTTAATGTTTTTGTGGCCTTGCTCCTTTGGCACACTTTGTGGGAAACCCTGAATACATATGTACATGTACATGTACATGTACATATGTATGCATGTATTTAAATAAAGGATTTATTCCTTGTGTACAGATTGAAGAACTTGATATTAACATAAAGAGCACGCAGGGTATGATAGTAAAGAACTTCTGTCGCTATCGTAACAAGTTCTGCCACGAGGTTCTTGGTGAGGGAGACAAATTTGCTGAAGACAGGCTTAAAATACTAAAGAGGGTAATTATACATGAGAGGAAAGACGAAATTATTAGTTTTTTTTGCTTTTGTAGCAAGAAGAGACACCTCAGCTCCAGCTCTTGCTCAGTGTCATTGATCTGTTGGCTGCTTGTGCTGAAGGAAAGCATCTCTTTATAGAGTCAGTCTGTCAGAACATTCTCTCAATTGATGAACTGATTAAGTAAGGAGAGATTGAGCAAAATGCACTATGGAATGAACGATACTTTTTGTGTATAGGATCGTCAGTGAGCCTTTGTCTCCTTTGCGCAAGAAACCTTTTGTGAGGTTCTTGATTAGCGTCTACATGAGCTCTGACAGAGACCAGGAGGACAGGAGTGGCAGTGGAGTCACTCTTTCACATGGAGGGTATATCAATTATAATTATCAATTAAACTAGTTTGTATTCTTTCTCCTTTTTCTAGTGTTATATGGACTTATCTTGATCATTTGGCCGAGCTGCTTAAAGACACAGCTGGAGCAATCCACATGATCAATTTTGAAGAGAGCAAAGCCGGAGGACGCCGCCAGCATCTCAAAACTAGAAAAGGAATTCGTCCATCCTCTCAATTTTTTCTACCTCCATTAAAGAAAGTCATTCCAGGCGTAACAGGTATGATATAAATTTTCTGTACTTCACAATAATTTTATTCATTTTTATAGATAGTAAAGGTGTGTTAGTACCAGGTCTGCTGGACTATTTGATAGAAGGAGTCATACCATTCCTTCACATCTACTACTGCTCCTACTTCAGTCCTGCATCAGTCAACAACGAGCAACAGAGAGACATGGAGTATGAGACATCTATCAGAATAGCTCAAAACATGATTGTAAGTCTATAATAATTATGCACCTTTCTTACATTGTGTGGCTCTACTCTCAGACTCTCAGGAAAGAGCTTCTCAAGGTTTCTCCTTCAGAGCACCACGTTCAGATGTTTCGTGAGATAATCCTCTCCCTCCATTGTCATGAAAGGATTGCCCGAGAGGCTAACATTGATGCAAAGGTAGAAAGCATGTCAGTTGTCAGCATCAGACAACAAGTAGACTCAAAACGAAAATCATACAGCAGACAAAAATCTGTCAGAATAGGACCAGTCCAATCTATTAGCTTAAGAGAACAATTGATTCTCGAGGAAAAAGAGGTATAAAGGGAATTCGGTTTTATTGAAAGCTGTATTGCTGTACATATATGTGCATGGAAAAACCTGAGACTATAGTGGGGTACTCCAATGGAGAAGGAGTATTGATGTGGTGATCAATGGAACCAATTTAAAGGGAATGAGTATCATTGGGACACAGAGTTGTTCTTGTAGTATTGTTTTTATAATTTTTACTAAATAAGAGAATTATTATTATAAATTATTCATCTAATAGTTACTGTTACTAATATTTATGTTGATATTTTTTTACTTTTTAAAGATTATCGATTCACTGTCTGCTACACAATCTCCTGCTCTTCCCCATCGTGCTCTCATGAAGTACAAAGACCAGCAAAAACTCAACTCAACTTTTAAAACCTTTTCAAGAAACTACCAGCTGGCTTATGTTGGACTCAACACTGCCAAAGAGCAAATAAAATCTGAAATATCAGAAAGTATGGACACTAATGATCGACTCATCTTATCCTCTTTTGTTTAGAATACAGTGAGGAAGGAGAAGAATTGCCATTAGGACCAAACTTCCAATGCCTCGTGCAGCTATACATGTATGATACCTATAGGTCATTAAATCTTATTATATTTGTATGTAGTGATAGATCTGGGCCTACTTGTAAAGTTAGTGGAAAGGCGGAAATGCTTTTAAAACAATTAACGTAAGACAGAAAGAGACTTTATAAAGCTTTCACTTATGTATCAATATTAATAGTGCTTCTCAATCACGAACTGAGCAGCTGGGAGAGAGGGAGCAGATTATTCAAGATGTGCTTGATGTTAGGTGCCTACAAGTAAGTCTTGGTATCCTCCTCTTTTCATAAAATAGTCTCTCTACTTCTTTCTCTCTCTCTCTATATAGATACTTAGAGCTCTTATACATAATCAAATAATGAGGATTGATCCAGAGCTAAAAGACAGGGACCCAACCATTTACAGAAGGTACTGCATACACTATGAAGTTATGGACATCTTGCCATTTGTATATGTTCTTTATATTTTATATTATTTTTATTCCCTCACTTTTTTTAGCAAAAGCAATGAGCTAATAGTTCCTTTTCAGGATGCAGTTCAAAGTTACTGTGGAAATGCAATGCTAAAGGTGATGAACCAATAGTTGCATGTGAATATAGTGCTAAAGCTATTATTGTCTCTATATAGATCATCAGTCTTCTCTCTCATACAAATGAGAGCATTTCAAAAGAGGCCATTGCCCTGATGAAGACTATGTTATTCTCTGGTAATGAGAATGTTCAAGAGGGACTTGCACAAAGTGTAAAGGACACCAGAGAAGAGACACTCTTCATTAATTTGAAAGAAAAGCTGGAGAATGCCTCAGTGAAATACAAAGAAACGTAAGGAGAGAGAAAGAGAATGAAAAGATGAACTTCAAAGGAAAGAATAATTTCATATGCTTATTGTTTTACTGACCTTAGGCGTGACTTGCAACTTATTTTAGATGGAAGGAAAAACCTCCAGTCTTCAAATGTGAGTTTGTGATATATAAAACTTGTTGATATGCTTTTATTTTAGGCTGAGAAAAAAATGAGTCAAAGTCCTTCAGCACAAGTTGCCATTGCAATTGAGGTACATGCTTATATGTAATATGTTACTTCAATAGTTGTGTATTATTACAATTACAATGTGATTCATGGACTGATATATAGTGCAAGTTTATAATTGCATTTTCATTAATAGGAACCAGTGGTGAGGTATACACCACAACCTGATGATGATGCAACACAAATGGGTAAGTCTATTATTATGTACACTCTACCACTTTATCATTAATTCATCTTTTTTTATAGATGAAGCTTTAACTTGTATCTTTGACCAATCAGTGAGACTACATTCATGCTCTATCAACAGTTATTTAAATGTACTATTATTATATTAGGAGAAACCAGAGTTGCTTGCATATGATACAAGCTGGACTAATCTGGTATTGGAGGTCATTCGCTACATGTGTGATGGACAGAACAGGACTCTGCAACACTATCTCAGGGAGCAGCCAGACAATTTTAAGGTAATTTATAGAAAGCAAATGCTAGAACTTTAATGCAATGTATGAACTCAAATGCAAGAAAAATCTTCAAAGTTAAAAAAAATGTCCTACAACAACTTTTATGCATGTAGTTTTTTCACTACATAATTTTTTATTACAATTTTTAGACCGTCAATGTAGTAGCTGAAGTGACATCTCTTCTTCATGTCTACACATCAGATCTGACCGTTGAGAACCTTTCACAGATTGACGAAATCATTCAGGCTCTCGTGGAAATGTGTGTGGGGAATACCCCCAACCAGAGAGTTATCTTTGAGAAACAAGTGAATGAGCCTTTGAATAGGCTACTTGGCCTGTCGGTAGTAGAGGCACATCAGACCTGTGGACAGCGTGACACAGATCAAGTGAGGAGGAGAATGAAAGTGAAGAGGATTAGCGTGCTTTTTATTGTTATAGTGTCCCAAATGCAAGTATTTGGAGGATTTGGTCAAAGTAAAGGGTAGTGTTGTTCAGTTGCTTGATGCTATGCTTGAAAATACCAGCTCTCAGACGCAAGAGATAACAGAAGTTAGTAATCAAGAGTATAGCCACTTGTTTCAGTCATATAACTAATGATTTATTTAAATCAATGTTTAATAATAGTAGGGGTGTCAACCCCATTCAAAAATTTTGGATTTCACAATTATTAATGCATTGTCTCTGGTTAAAGAGTTTACACTGCCCAAGTCTCATTTTTATACTCAGTTATTTGTAAAAGCTATCATGGGTTGGACACAATGTGGTTAACATTTCTGTACTTGTGTAAACTGTTAAACTGTCAAGCCATAGGCTTATGATCTAGGAATTTTTATACACAAAACAGTATCTATAATACATTAAGCTACAATGCATATAATAATATGCTGTTTCTGATTGAAGGGCATAGGATCCACTATTGATGTGCAATCTTTGCTGGACACTATGAGTTTCTTCTGTGAGTTTGAGGAGCATCCCCTGATGTTGCTGAAAGAAATGAACGATGACTGCGAGAGAGGAATGTTTAGATCTTACCACATACTTGTTTCACTCATGGGTTCCAAAGCAATTGAAAAGATACGGAAAGGTTTGTACTGAACGTAAATCTTGCCTTTAGAGTAGAGTTTAATTCATAAGTATTATTGTTATTATTATTATTATTAAATTTTGTGTTTGAATAAATCAAAATATGCACCCACATTAAATTTTTGTAGAAAAATTCCATTTTTATTTTCCTTCAACAGATAAATTGCAAGACGATATAAAAGGTGCTTATGAAAAGTGCCATGAGAACACAAGAACAATTGAGATTCATTTCAAAGATGAAGAGACGTCTGAAACAACACTGGCCCGAGTCCATTTCCCTCATAATCCAGATGTAAGCATCTTCACCCTTGGTCTGTTATGAGCCTGTACCCATGTACTTGTATATTCATAATTAATCATTACGTTTTACTGTTTTCATTTCTCAAATTTAATGGCGTTCTCTCTATACTGTGCATTTATTTTTAAAGGATAGTCTTAGAGAGGCGGTTACTGAGTTAGTTCGTTGGAGTATTGACAGAGACTCAATGGAAGACAAGCAGAGGGCGCTGCTAGACCTGATGCCAGCACTTAAAAGAGACATCATTCATCAGGTGAGTGCATGGTTTCAAGCTGATACTCCAGCCACTATTGCATTTGTAGAGAAATTTAAATGAAAAGAAAGTTTTGAAGCCACTCCTCATGTTCCCGTGAGTATATAAACCATAATGTGTACTAACTCTGATATAATGTTCTTTATAGAATATTCCGGTATCGACTACTAATGTTCCTGACTGTCCTGCTAAACTTGTTTGTCCTGTTTGTTTACAAAGTACCAACTGAAGCAACAGGAGTGTAAGCTCACCATCAAAGCATACCTGCATTACGATATTACTGTGCATGCTTGTTATTAAATTGCTTCTTATATATCTACATAGTCACCTGCCAATGGTTCCGGAGTGGTTCATACCATACATGCTCTTTATATTGGGTGGGTTCCACCTCATCCTCTCATTGTGGGTCTTCATTGAGTATTTCATTATTAACTGGCCACACTTTAGTCTCCCTTCATTTGTCAATAAGATACAGTAAGCAAAAAACTTTAAATGATCAAATTATTTTGATCATTGCCCCCCAAGATATCAGCATTGAGTAGTTCTTACTGTATCATTTTATACTTTTTTGCAGTCATTACATTGCTAAGAAAAGGAACCCAGAGGGCACTGGTAGCCATTTAGTGACAACAACCTGCTTGGATGTTGGGATATTTGGAGTGAAAACCCTCTACATGTTTGTATTTCTCTTATCCTCAATCCTTTCCCTGGGGCTCAGCGGATACTTCTATTGCATTTGTCTCCTCTTCATAATTGCAAATAACGATATACTGAAGAGAGTGTTGAGGGCTGTGACTAAAAATGGTATATGAACAAAAGAATTTGTTTAAAAAACATTTTAAATGAATTAAATTTGCTTCTCCTTCCCTTCTCTTACCTCTTCCCTCACCTGCCTATAGGTATTTCACTGATATGGGTTGCAGTTCTTGGGATTATTGTCCTTTTTATTTATGCTGTCATTTCATTTGCTTTCCTGCATCAGTATTTTAAAATCACAGACGATGCTTCTCTTTATTGCAAGAGTCTCCTTGAGTGCATGTACTCAGTCCTAAGATATGGTCTTATTGATAACATTGGGCTGGTAAGGAAATAATTGTGTGCTCGATTATGTGATAATTTCTACATCAATGTAGTTTTCAAAGTTCAATATTTTATTGTTAATTTTTTGTCTTTTTTTATTAGTTGATTCCTTTGAATGCTACTGAAGATGGAAATGTTGAATCATTTTCAGCTCAGTTTCATATTCCACGTCTAATTTTTGATCTCTCGTTCTTCATAATTGTCATTACTATTGGACTGAACATAGTATTTGGTATCATTGTCGACACGTTTTCTGAGCTAAGAGGAGAGAGAGTGAGTTTCTGTTCAGCATCAATAAAGCAGATCTGACATTGTTTTTTGTGTAGAGCGACATTGAAAAGGATCAGAAGAGCCAGTGCTTTGTCTGTGATCTTCCAAGTCATGAGTTTGAAAGAAAAGCTAAGGTACAGTAGGTAGTATTCACTCAAAACTTTACTTGTCTTATTAATGGCCTCATTCTACAGCATGTAGAAGTTTGGGCTGACTTTGACTTTTAAGTTATGGCCACTTACAAATATCACAATTGGGACTGAAAATTTTTTATTACCTTTTTGATAACTTTCCACTCTTGCTGATACATATTGATGTCCTTATGCTATGTAGAAAGTTTGACTAAAATTTTTTGAGTTATGGGCATTTTAAAAAACCCGCCAATTTCCAGAAAAAACCCAAGGCTATAGCCCATGGTTTTTTCCAAAAAATGGCTCCGAAATCACCCCAAATTTTTATTACATTTTCTGATACATATTGATGTACTTATGCTGTGCAGAAAGTTTGAACTGATTCCGAGCTCAAATTTCAAGTTGTGGCCATTTTTAAAAAATTGCCAATTTTTGAAAAATACTCAAGGCTATAGCCCATGGTTTTTCGAAAAAATGGCTCCGAAATCACGCCAAATTTTTATTACATTTTCTGATACATATTGATGTACTTATGCTGTGCAGAAAGTTTGAACTGATTCCGAGCTCGAATTTTCAAGTTATGGCCATTTTAAAAAATTTGCCAATTTTTGAAAAATACCCAAGGCTATAGCCCATGGTTTTCCGAAAAAATGGCTCCGAAATCACCCCAAATTTTTATTACATTTTCTGATACATATTGATGTCCTTATGCTATGTAGAAACTTTGACTAAAATTTTTTGAGTTATGGGCATTTTAAAAAACCCGCCAATTTCCAGAAAAAACCCAAGGCTATAGCCCATGGTTTTTTCCAAAAAATGGCTCCGAAATCACCTCAAATTTTTATTACATTTTCTGATACATATTGATGTACTTATGCTGTGCAGAAAGTTTGAACTGATTCCGAGCTCAAATTTCAAGTTGTGGCCATTTTTAAAAAATTGCCAATTTTTGAAAAATACCCAAGGCTATAGCCCATGGTTTTTCGAAAAAATGGCTCCGAAATCACGCCAAATTTTTATTACATTTTCTGATACATATTGATGTCCTTATGCTATGTAGAAACTTTGACTAAAATTTTTTGAGTTATGGGCATTTTAAAAAACCCGCCAATTTCCAGAAAAAATCCAAGGCTATAGCCCATGGTTTTTTCCAAAAAATGGCTCTGAAATCACCCCAAATTTTTATTACATTTTCTGATACATATTGATGTCCTTATGCTATGTAGAAACTTTGACTAAAATTTTTTGAGTTATGGGCATTTTAAAAAACCTGCCAATTTCCAGAAAAAACCCAAGGCTATAGCCCATGGTTTTTTCCAAAAAATGGCTCCGAAATCACCCCAAATTTTTATTACATTTTCTGATACATATTGATGTACTTATGCTGTGCAGAAAGTTTGAACTGATTCTGAGCTCAAATTTCAAGTTGTGGCCATTTTTAAAAAATGCCAAAAATCTGAAAAATACCCAAGGCTATAGCCCATAGTTTTTCCAAAAAAATGGCCCTGAAATCATGCCAAATTTTTATTACATTTTCTGATACATATTGACGTACTTATGCTGTGTAGAAAGTTTGAACAGATTCTGAGCTCAATTTTTAAAGTTATAGCCATTTTAAAAATAGCAGCAAAAAGCAAGGGCTATCAGTCTAAAGGAATGTCAGTTATTTGCTCATTTCACAATTCTTTGGATGCCCAAACTAAACCCAAGCTACATGCAGTACATGTATTTAATTTCATTCATAATTTTAGGGTTTCAATAATCATGTAAAGCACGACCACAATATGTGGGACTATGTCTATTATTCACTGTATCTTGATAACATTGATACTGGAGATCAGAATGCCATTCAGAAATATGTCTATCAACTGGTAAGTATTAGATATTGTGTTATAAACATAATGTCCTTTCTTTAGATTGAAAAGAAACAAACTAAATTTTTTCCTCAGCAAGAAGCAATTTGTCTTGCAGTGGAGGAGAATACTACTGATGAGCTCATTGAGTCTCTGATTGAGAGGGTTGAATATGTGGTCCAGCACTTTAAGGATAAAGTGAATATTATAATCAATCAAAAGATGATGGCAGGTTTTTATTAAATATTTGTGTTTTTTTCAGGAGCAAGTCAAGAGTGTGACTGCAAAGAAACAAAAGCAGAAGAATTGGGAAGAGAAATTCTTAGGAAAGACTCCTTCCTTTTATGATGATTCACAGTAACATTGCAACTGGAAAATAATGCAAAAAAACCTTTTTACCCTTTTTATTGCTGAACTTTAGTTTAAATGTACCTTTTTTTAGCTGGAACTTTAAAGAAAATAATTTTAGCATTTTTACTTTTATTAATCCCCTTATCTACTCTTGTTAACAGTGAGAGTCATCTAAAGGATTATACCCTACACAATTAAATATGATGCAGTTATTATAATAAAGTGATTGCAAAAAATAATAAACAACAAAGGAAGGAGCAGTAATGGTATGCTACATATTAAATTTAGCATTTAGCTGCCATTCAGTGGTGTATGTGTGGGCGTGTCTGCGATTGTTATTTTGGTGCAAGGTCAAAATTAGAAAACCTTTCCTCGGAGTAAAACCCTGCCCGTATAGTCCTACCACCAAAAAACCTTCCATTAAGATCAATAACTGCTTTAATAGCCGAGTCCTTCTTTCCAAATTCTACAAATATCCTAACAGCTTCATCATCGGATGCTCCTTCTGGTATCTCGTAAATAAGACAGTTCGTCACTTCCCCGTACTTGGTACACTCCTCTATGACCTCAGGTTGGAGCTCATTGTCCACTTCGCCAGCCCCAACCATGTTCTCCAATAATATAACTTTAGTCGGGTTCTTCACTATCTCCGTCAGACTCTTGACCATCTTCCTCTCCTCCTCTTTCACTTGCTCTCTCTCGGCAGCAACATTAACAATCTTGCCACCTTTGAATGATGTTTTCTCAACTGAGAGTGCCGTACTGATACCTTGCGACTCCTTGCCTAGGCCCTGTCCCTCTTGCCAGCCATATTTCGTCATTATGTTAGACGCAACTGCAGATGTCTTAAAGTTCTTTTTAGCATAAGGATTAACCTTGGGCGCTTTTAATTTACTTAGTTCCTCAAGAGCGGAACGAACCACTTTTGTCTCGTCATCAGGTTTTTGTACAGCAGGAGGAGGAGGAGGAGGAGGGGGAGGGGCAAAGGCTGGAGGAGGGACTGCACTTCCTTTTTGTGACTTCTTTCTTCTTCTTCTTTCTTCTCTCTCTTCTTCTTCGTCGCTGTCAGAGTCTCTGGAGTATTTCTTGTAGTGTTCTGCACGACTTTCTCTTTCTCTGTTCTGTGCCTCGCGGGCTTTATCCTTTTCCGCTTTCTTTATATCGTCATAATTATTAGGAACTAAAGGATCATACTCGTCTTGAATTCCACCTACACGTACATAAAAAACCCAATTTTGATTGGAATCAGCTCAAACTTTTTACACAACATAAGAACATGTATACATATTAGAAAATATTATTAAAAATAGAGAATTCTCTCCTTTTCAATTTTGGCGAAATTTGGCCCGAAACCATGTACTATAGTACAGGGACTTTGACTAGATTTTTGAGTAACTTTTAGATACTGAACACTATGACAAAAACCTCTGAAAACCCTTCTCTCTTTCTCACCATTATACCTGCAATATCATCTTCAAACAATGAACTTTGTGTCACTGTTGTCTAAAGAAGAAACAAAGAGAGAAATGGGATATAATAAGTAAAGTCTAATAACATGACACATTCACAACACACTTACATGCGACGCATGAACAGGAGGATGCTTCCTGCCTCTAGAGGCCATTCCTCCTCTGCCAACAGTCCGGACCCTTGATGCTGCCATCTGCTGCCTCATCATGTTAGTTGCCATTAATTTCATACTAGAAGAGGACCAGGAGGAGCTAATGGATGGAGCAGGTGGAGCATGCTCTGTAACTGGAGCCAGTTTTGTTTCTGGGTTTAGACTAGTGCTGCTGTTATCAGGTAGAAATGGAGTCTTCTTGGGCTTATCTTTCTTTGAAGGCTCTTCTTCATCAGTGGGCAGAGACTGGAAAGAGGAAGACGAAAATATCTCTGGCACAGGAGCTGTCTCCACTGAGAGCCCATCATACAGTGACATTTCGTTATACTCTGAAAATGGAAAAAAATGAAAATGTGACTTCTTTAATACTGCCCCACCTATCTACCACACCTAGAATATTTATTTTATTTAATTTAAATTTCAAATTTTATTTTTAAAAGCAGCAAATTTTGCAACATAATCAAAGTAGTAAGTACAATTAAGCAGAGACAGAGTATTGCCAGTTAGATCTATGCATGGCCACCAATTCTTCAACTGATTCTTCTTCCTCTTCGTCTTCCTCCTGTTGCTGCGCTGAAGCCATTACAGCTGGAGAGAGGACAAGGAACGGAGAAGATATTGATGGATCATGATACGTATAATGAGTGTCTGTGAGAGCACGGCCACTGCCAACACTAGTCAAATCAGGATCTGATGCATAATGACCTTTATCAGACCAAGCACTGGAGCACTCCATCGACCCACCACTTTCTCCTATAGCTGGGCTTGGACAGTACCCTCTTGGTGTTGAATGTATGTGAGCATTATGAAACTTCCTCAACAACGCTCTTTGGATAATGTCCCCATGATTGCAACTCTCCTCATTAATGTTTACCCTGTGCTTAGGACGTCTTGGGGTCCCCCCAGGGGTTCTGGGAATATTGACGTGTTTGAGTACTGGTCTTTTATTCGTGTTTAGCTCAGTTATGAAATCGGTTCTTCTAAAAGGAGCAGGAGCTATTTTCACCTCCTTACGACATGAGGGAGAAGGTGGGGGAGATAGAGAGAGAGGTGGGGGAGGAGGAGGAGGGGGAGGAGGAGGAGGGGGAGGAGCTACGAACCCGCCACCATCGGTTTCCTCTTGTCCAAGTGTTCTTGCTGCTTGCCTCTTTAAAGGAAGTGGAGGTGGACTGCTAATGTGATGAAGATGCGAATAGTTAGTTAGTTGTGATTTTAAACCAGTTATAGAATTAAGTATGGCCTGGTCCTCTTTTGACACAGAGAAGGACGGTATGTCATATAAGACTTGTCTTAAATCTCTCACGAATTCCTGCTTATTTTCTTCATTTTCCTATTGTGTGTATAAAACAAATGCATCATGATAATATCTCCCTATACTTGTTCTACGGATGCTTGCAATAGACGATCTCTCTCAGTTTGCAATGCTAGCCACTCAGTAACACTGAACGTCTTCTCTGTATAAAATAAAAGTGATGCAACATTAAAATTTTAGCCTTAAAAATTATTTTTAACAGAATTATCCATGACCATGCATAAGCTAAACCAGATCTAATTTGATCTAATTAAAGCAAAATCATTCATGCATGCAAATTTTATAAGTGCACCAGTATCTTGCTCTCTCTTCTTTTCCTCATACCTCCTTCGGAGTACATAGCTTCCAGCATTTCATTTCGCCTCTTTTCTGTCTTCTTTTGTTTCTCTTTCAAAGGATCACTAGAGCTGTACCAATGGTAATCAACTGTTGCAAGTCCTGGAAAATGAAAAAAATATTCAAAGAATAGAATACAGCAGTACTTGAATAGCTAGTGTTTTCTAAACTCCCCAAAGCACTTCTACTCGAGTTTTGACTAGAGTTAGCCATTGCTGGAGTGATTCAAAATGAGCCTCCCTCCAACCTACACCACTCCACCCACTAATGGTGTTGCATTACAACAATAGTCTACACTGTATGTACTGTGTACTATTAGCGCATGATCTTCAGCCCCGTCCAGTAGGTGAGGCTTAAATAGCTAATGAATGATGTCTCGCTCTCTTTGATGTACTACAGCTGACTGGAGGTTTAGCGCTGGACTTGCTCACTCTGTAGCGATTAGACTCATAATTCGAGTAAGCCATTTCTGTCCCTTATAGTTACCCCTTGTTGCTAACCCTGTAACAGCATACATACCAATTACTCCTTTGATGATCATGCCCTGCCTGTCTTTGTCACACTTGGCGTTTGGCTATTGTTACCAAGGTCAGGGGCATATCATAAGAACTTATGTATAGAGAGGCTTTTAGTAGATTTTTATACCTTGAGGGCTTTCTGGAGCATTAATTTGCCCAGAGTAATTAACTAAACCCACACCCACAGGTACAATCAGTTTGGAAAATAAATCGAACTTAAAAAGCATCAACCATTGACACTTTTAAGTCTAGTATCGTTCCTATGGTATGCTAAGTAATGTATGATAACATTTTAATGGGTCACCATCTGCTCAATACAAACAGTTAAACATGCTTCTCTTTTGTAACATTTTGTGTGACATGTGCATTGCTTACTGCTCATCCTTTCCCCGAGTATAATGCTTAGATACTCCCAGCGATTGTGTGTTTTGACTGCAGTCTATAGAAATTGATCATAGAGAGAGGATAAGTTGACTAACAGGGCTGAGCTGTTGCTCTCTAGTGATTTAGAAGCCTTACCTGAAAATCAACTGCCTTTTTCACTTGAATGCTAATCGAAGGATAAGCAGTTTAACTATAACCATACCTTCTATTTATATAACTTTGTCAATTGAGATCACTGCTGTGTGCGTGCGTGCGTGCATGGCGTGAGTGTGTTTGGTGTTTTTGTTGTTTGCTATTGTCCCTGTAGTGGTTATGTTCACGCTTCCATTTCTTGACACAAAGGATTGTTATAATCCACTGTTGTACACAATTGCTACTATCAGATTTCAGTTTTAAAGTGACATGATAGTAGCTGACAGATGCAGCTTTCCCTTCAACCCACTCCTGTGGGGGACTACCTATTATGATATCAGCCTAATATACCACTCTAATAATATTCATAACTAGAAGACAATACTTGTTACTATGCTTGGTATACTCAGTTGTCTTTTGCATGTAGGAGCACATTCACAGGATCCACACATACATAGCAGAGATGAGTGGAGAAGAAGTGTCACTAAAAGATTCGAATGCAGAAAAGGAATCACCTCAACCACACACTCCACCTATTGTTGCTACAGTCCCCACCATCTCTAAACCATCCAGTGATGAAGAGGGACCTATTATGTATGTGTCTCAGCCAAACCAATGGCCGATAAATAGTAGCAACGAGAAAGTGAATCCTGCATTAGCTAGTCCTCTTACCTCTCGTAGGATTCCTAATCGTTCTACAATACCCGCTATTGATATTATTGGCAACAATCACGATACTATTAATGATGACGACGATGTTTTTGCTACCAACAAAACGACCGAACACCAAGAAGACAAAAAGCTAGTCGATTGGGTGACTAATGTATTTGTTCCAGCATGTAAGAACCTATTGGATCAATGCTCAGAAAAGCCTGTCATTATCACAAAAGTCCAGACGTATCTCAGACTCTTAAACAACACGATTATGTTCTTTTGCAATGAACACCAGCAGTCTTCAGTGGTGTCTCCTTCAAGAAGTATGTCAGGTAAAGGAAGTGGTTGTAGTTGTGCTATCTTTAGTGTTATCTCAGTTATGTTATGGTATAAGCTGTAATGTGTGTGTTCAGTCTATCTGTCTTGTCTTTGGTTATTTATGTTGTTTTCCTTGCGTGGGTAGAGCTATTTTTCTTCATTTTTTTATTTTTCATTAATCGACGTTGATAATTTGATATATGCATGTACTATTGTGTAGCAATTTGTACAATGGAGTACATTTTTAACATTGTTAGTTTTCTATATGATAAATGTTCCACTATCAATATTGTAATATAATAATGGTAGCATACAGTATACATGTATATATCTTTTAAGTATGTGCTTATGTGTATGTACCTATAAATATAAATACATGATATGAATGTATTGTGTAATGTGGCTGAGTGTGTAAGATTGATTAATATAGAAGTGTATGTGTGTGCATTTATAACATGTTTATTGACATGATTGTCTGTCTCTGTGTGTGTAAACTGATGTATGACTATATTTATTGTGACTGATAGTTCACTAGTAACTAGTACTCTATCAGTACAGCAGTGCTCTGGTGTCATTCACATTGCCTTTAATTAGATGCACAGTGCGTGATGTTATGTTGATATGTGTGGCTTCTGTTGTGAGGACAGGTTGAAATAAAGGGCAATTTATTTTGCTGATATGGCTACTTTTACTTTATTGATTATTATTTTCTCAGCTCAGTTTAGTCACTTAGTTTACTAATAATTTTCTGAATTATGATTATTTTAATGATAAATATTTTTAAAAGACTAATTATTCTAAAAACTGTCTATACTGAGTATAATGTATATTCCTATTACGTTATTGATAGGTTTATTAGACTCGGGCTCTCGATCCCGTGATACCACTCCAGCTCCTGTCGATACAACAAGACTCCATATGTCCCCGCCCTCTCAACCAGCTCTCACTAAACAGGAGATAGAGTCCAGTGTCGCTATAAAGGTCCTTCGTTCGGTCTCAAGTTCTCTTCTTCCTCCGTTACTCAATCAGTCCAAGGAGGAGTTCTCAGAGTCTCTTCATCGCGAGATTGTTGTGGCTATACAAAAAATATCGTGGAAAGTTGAGGCCTGCATTTCTTATACTCACCCTGACCTCGATCTCAATATTCACAAGATTATATTCGATGATGCTCAAATTGGACTAGTTGGTGGAATGATGGTAGCTCCTCCTCCAGAGGAACACAAGCTTCAAAACTCACCGGCCCACGTCTCAAGGCTAAGTACTAAGAATGTGACTACTCCTTCTCCGCTACGTTTTGTCCAAAGTTATCCTGAACAGGTCGTGAGTTCTACACTGTCTTCTCCAACGCCTAGCGATGATGAGTATTTCCGTCCTAAAGCAACACGAAGAACAACTGTGTCTATATCAAAGCATCAAGTCCAAAGTCTCGGTCTCAATATTGTCGACGTGACGTCATTGGATAAGACTTCACCGCAATCACGTAGCAATACTATTGGTATCAGTACAGCTGCTAGACTAGTACAAGATGATGGCGTGATGGGTCTTGAGGCAATACGAGAGAAAGTTCTACGTAAGCTAGCCAAAGAGTTCCCGCAGCTTAAGACTGAGGCAGAGAGCATTGGAATGAGAGATGAGTCTTCTTTGTCGCTGGCGCCACCTTTCCCTCACCTTTTTAACGACAGGCGGAGCACAAGTACTCCTCTAACACTTTCACCTGCTCAATCCACTGGCAGCGTCACTAAGGACAGCAGTCCGGAGTTTGTTACGAGTCCTTCTACCCCGGGTATCTCAAATCTCAAGGAACGCACTAAAAGTTTAGAGTTTGATTCTGTTGCGGAGATAATGTCTCCAACCACACCCACTTCCTCTACCTCTCCCTTTCACCAAAGTTCGTCCGAGACCCAGCTAAGAGGAGGTACTAGCACCCTGCCTTACAAGAGGAGAGGGACTTTGATGAAGATCATGAAGAAAGGAAGGAAAGTGAAGAGTTTTGGTAAAGCAGATACAAAGATAAAGACACGAGCGGCCATTCATCATCGCTTAAAGTCTGGCTCTGAGTTTTTTTCAGGAGAGGATGAGTTCAAATCGGAATCCATCGAATTATATTCAAGAGGAGCTATCCCCACGGAACCTCCTTGCAGAGGTGATTAAAAGTTACTTTTCTTGTAATTGATTGTTATTTTTCTCTCTCTCTTTCCCTTTGCTGTTGTTGCAGATTCTTTTTATCTAAATATCGAAGTGCAGAGTAAAGCAACTGTAACTTCACCGAGACGAAGGAAATTCTCCGTTTCTAGCAGTAAAGGTACGTGACACATGCAGCGTATAATAATTTAACATCTAAGTAATTGATTTATTTAAAAGAGATCTGCCTGGGTGATGTACGTGTATTTTATTTATAGAACCCAAATCAATATTCTCCATGACATAAATATATCATTGTTATGTTGTATAAACTTAACTTAGTATAAGTTTATAGGATTACTAAAAATTACATAACAAAAAGTGTAGCTTTGTTATTTTTGAGTTTGTTATGTTATTCACTTGACAATATTGCAGTGTATGTGTGTGTGCATGTATATATTATTTGCATATCTGGACACATGATATTGTACTGGTATTTTGAGCCCATATTTGGTAGTGTGACCTCTAAACTAATCCAGCTGTGATTACTTTGAGTAGTGAACGAATACTCAGCAGCTGTTTTTTGGTTTCTTGGATTGATCTGATGAGTAAATGTATCTACAGATAGACACTCACCCACACATAGTGCTTGAACACCTGTTGGAGTACTATACTGACTCTTCTTCTCTTATGTCATCTCACCTTTCCTTTCTATTTTATCTTCTTCTTTTCTCTACAGCCAGTCGACCACTTCTATCAATGGACATAAACATTAACACCAATTTCCCTGAAGTAAATTATTATTCTATGTGGGGAGTGTAGGGCTTAATTGTTGAAACTTTGGCATTTAACAGAAATTTTGTAAAAATTAGCACCTAATTTTGACTGATTTTATAAAATTTTAGTCCTCAAAAATCACCCAGTGTATTTTTTGATACATTTCTTCTCTTTATATAGTTTGATCTTCAAGACTATGTTATCACCAGATCTTTGAAAGATGTAACTACACTCTATGACATATTTGCTGTCACAACAGTTGCTGGTAATGGCCGTCTAGCATTTCTCTTTACTTTGTTTTGCTTTCTTTATTGTAGCTAGTAATCTTCCAGGCAGACCAGATAAGAAGGGCAAGGAATGGAGGCAACAGTCTGAAGCTTTCTTAATGTATGTCGCCCAGTCACAGGAACTTAGAAATATTCCAGAATTTATGGAATTCATTAAACCAGGAGATATGACTGGTTAGCTGCTTAACTTTATTATTAAAGTGCTTTCATTTGCATATATGGTGCCATTATTATAGTGTTAGTTTTTCTGATCAGTGAAATTCAATATGAAAATACCCAAGGCTATATAGCCCATGGTTTTTTCCAAAAAATGGCTCCAAAAACACCCAAAATTTTTATTACATTTTCTGATACATATTAATGTCTTTATGCTATGTAGGAAGTTTGAGCTGATTCTGAGCTCAATTTTTTGAGTTACGGCCATTTTAAAAAAGTTTCAAGACTGTAGTCTGTAGGTTTGAGCTATGCTCCAGAAAACCTGATAATCATCTTATGATTTTATTAATGAATTATGCAATTGATTTTTATTTTGCTACTCCTCCTTCCTCTGTCTCTCTCTCTGTCTCTCTCCTTGTAGTTGTCTTGTCCAACTCATTTAAGAAAGACAATGAGGTAGCCATCATACTATAATAGGCAGTGTTTATCTTAATTGCTGTAACTTGTAACCAGCCTTGTCCGTTGTCTGAACTTTGTATAAAACACACACTGCACTCACTTGCTCTTTCATTTTTTCTTATTTGTATTTCTCTTCCATTTCAGTTGGAGCTGCTGATGACTTTCTTCACTCCAACTGTGTATTCAACAGGTGATGCAGGCACCCATCATCATGTAGAGCTATTGAAGAATGTAGTCTCAACTAGTAAGTACAGTATGTTCAATCATCAGTAATGGCTATACATTTACATGTATATGTGCATTTAATGATATTAAATTTTACAAATGGGTTACTCTCAAAATAATTTTTAAAAATTTGATTTATTATTTTTTTGCATTGTGGTTTATTCATGCATAAACATTTTTACTAATTTTTAAATCTGCTTAACTTGTGGAGCTCACAAAATTCAGTTTCCACAAACTGTGTCTTCCATAACTCAAAATTGTTGTATCTTATTTCACCAGCTCCTACTACCCCAACGTCTCGTGTGCGTTGGAACTACCCCAGTCTAAGTAATGGCAGGGGATCAGTGATGATTGAAAGACAGGAAGGGGAAGAAGAAACAACATTTGTCATTAGAGAAGGTAACATTGTTATGGTGTAGATACATGTATCTTTTAGCTTAACTCTTTTTTCTCTTTTTCTTTTCCATTTTTTCTCCTTTTTCTCTGCTCTCTTTTTCTTCCTTTCCCCAATCTCTTTTTCATTCGTACCTTTCCCTTTCTTCTCCAGGTGATAAAGATGCTTTGATTGTTAGCGAGACTCAGAATGGGGTCCTAATCATAGCAGGGACTTTTGAGAAACTGGTGGAGCAGCTAGCATGCGAAGAAAAACCAGGTTTGTGTGTCAAATCATTATAATACTGCTAAAAACGTTACTTATATTTTAATTTATTCTCTATTCTATGCATTAATGATTGTATAAATGTAGCTAGTTGACACTAATCTAACGAGTTTTGGCATTGTTGAAATGATGTTCCTGGCTTGTCAAATATTAATTCAATCCATATTTGACTATACTGTATATTTGGTAGTGTTGATCTCTTTGTTTGGATGTTTTGATTTGTAGTACCATATTTAGCTTTATGCATTATATGATTGTGAATTATTACAATAACTTTTACAGAGGTACTGTACATTGTAATTGTGTGTGTGTATATATGTATAAACCATTGGTTAAATTTATATTCATACAGTTTACTTATTTGCATTTTTTATAATGATATTCATAGTATTAATATGCCCTGTTATGATGATATTGTGATAGTTATTTTTGTTCAATTCAGATCCTCATTACGTCAATACTTTTTTGTTGGGTTATCGTCACTTTGCTACGGCAGTTGATCTCATAACACTGTTAATCAAAAGATATCCTTCTCAAATCACTTGTTGTATATTGTTATTATTATTATTTTATTGTTATTTTCTTTAACTATATCAATATTACATTTCAAATGACAGTAGCACCTGATGCTTCAGAGGAGGAAGTGGCTTATGCTGAGAAATGGAGATATGTCATTCAATTGAGGTGAGCAACAAAACGATTATAATAATTAATATAATATATTTGGTAATTTTTTACTATTATAGAGTACTGGATATATTGACATTTTGGATCAAGATTTGTTTCCCAGACTTTCTTAATTACTCAGATGCTGTAAGACAGAATATAGCAGTTTTGAATTGTGCATAGTTGTAAATATTTATTATATTTTTTAATGCAAAGTAAATGCATTTGTGATTTATTAGTTATTATTTTTAGATGGAAAAGTTAAGGGATTTCATCGATCATCTTCAAAACTCTGACGACAGTAATTTCACTTCAGCAGCTGCAACACTTTCGTCCATGATCACAGATAAAGTGAGTTTATTTTCATTCATACAAGTTTGTTTAGAATCATAGTCTCCATTACTATCTTTGCTATCTTTAATCCGATTATATCATCAGTTTAAAAGTGATGCACATGTACATGTATACCTGATTGTTATCTTTTGTATAATCAATACTTAAACAATTAAATACTTTAAATTTGTTTATTTCATCTAGTTATCTTTCTGTCTATCTTTTTGTTCCTTCTCTCTTCATTTCTTCTTTTCTTTTTTTTTGATGTATGTAAAGACTGAAATGTTTCATGGAAAGAAGTCGACGCAGCATGACAAGTTATCTGTCTCTCCTCCTCTCTCTCAGTCTCCAGTGACATCCCCCTATCACTCTCATTCTGGTTCTTCAACTTCATCCTCTCAAGATGTCAATTCATTTACTGCAATACAAATAGCAAGACAGGTTCGACAATCCATACTACATAGTATTGAGTTTACACAGAGCAAATATTTTTTCTTTACTTCTGTATTTGACCTTTGAAAAAAAGTGGGGATTTTTATGCAGTCTGTTTTACCCATATATGTATGTAATGCAAGGAATTTAATTCCATTTTTGAGTTAATTTTTACTACATTTTAAATTTTAAAACTATAGCTGACACTGATGGAGTTGGAGTATTTAAAAGCCATTGATGTTTTTGAGATAGCTGTGTATGTATGGGAGTCTGGAGAAGGTTTGTATTTTATTTGTTAATTATTGTTGTATTTATTCTGTACTTAATTTTTCATGCTGTTTATTAGATTCAAGACAGTTTCGTAAAAATCTTGATGCTTACATTGCAAGATTTAATAAAGTATAAATGTGTTTCTTTATCAATGAATTGTGTTGTTGTGTACGAGTTTGTATTTATGAAGATAAAAAAAACATTAAACTTGTTTAAATAATGAATGATGATGACTGTGTTACTTAGTAGTGCAGCATTCACAATAATGTCACTAAGTTTCATTAATTGTATTATTACCAGGTCAGCTATTGGGTTGCTTCCGAGATACTGTCAGTCTCTGATGAAAAATCAAGAGCTTTGCTAATTGAAAAATTCATTGAAGTTGCAAAGGTACAAGTTATACTTGGAGCAATTAAATTAATTTATTTATCATTAGTATTCTTCTGACTTTTATATTTATTTTTTACTGTTATTGTAAAGGTCACCTTTAATAAACCTTGCTAACCTCACGTATTTGCATTTTGTAATAATTTTCACTGCATGAATTTATTATTATAATAATTGATGCATAACATTAGATTTGTCTTTTCTTTTAAACTGTAGCATTGTCAAGAATTAAAGAATATTAATACAACAGTGTCACTTGTCACTGGATTGTCTCTATCATCAATCAGAAGATTGAACAAGACGTGGAAGGTGATTTAAAATTATTACTACTAAAATAACAGCACTTTAAAAATAATAATCTGTCTTTCCTCTCTATTAGCTTGTAAATGAAAAGTTTGTTAAATCATTCACAAAACTAAAGCTACTTGTCAATCCTGCTAATAATCATCACGACTATCGTAAAGCCATTAACACAATATTAAGGACAAGGAGAGACTGTTGCTGCATTCCTTACTTTGGTAAGGCCAATATAGTAACAATGTGCTTGATCATTTATTTGGTTCATTCAGTACATAAAGTAGACAGTTGAAATAATGTGTGAATCAACAATCAGTGATGGAATGACCTTACATAATAGCTCTAGCCATAGATAATAGAGTAAATGGTTTTACTTAATGAGTCACCGTTTCATTTACTCTATTATCTATGCTCTAGCATGTTTTATGTTAGAAATTGTTGTAATAGTATAATTATCAGTTAATTGTATCATTTACTGCACCAGGTGTGTTTATGCGTGACGTTACTCTCTGCAATTATGGAAACCCAAAGAAATTAAAGAATGGACTTTTTAATTTTTCTAAATTAAGGATACTGGTACAAATGGTAAGTATTATAACAGCTATTTCCTCAAAGGCACAGGATGGCATTAACCTACACACTTATCTTTTTTCTCTCTCTCTCTTATCTTTTTTTATGCCAACATTTAGTTTGATGAACTTCATCAATATCAACGTTCAAAGTATTACCATCCTTCGGATGATAGGACTCAAGCTTTTTGTAGTAAATTATGGTCACTTGATGATCACGAGTAAGCAATTGTAATCAAATTTGAGCAAATATTCACATTGATTTTTTTGTCATTCTTTCTTTCATTGTTCCTTCTCAGTCTGTATGAGCTGTCATTAAAATTAGAGCCAAGAGAGCAATCAATGTCTGAATCAGAGGATTAATGAAATGCACACTTTTAAATTCACAGCAAATTGTTTTGAAACTTAACTAGTATTTTTTATTTTTAATTATTATAAATATTGTGTGTGTGTGTGTGTGTGTGGATCTCTTAAATAATAAATGAAGCATTATATTGATTTTGAAGCATTATAATGAAAAAATTAAAATGAGAAAAAAAATAAATTTTTATAATATTTTCTGATGTATATACATGTATTGTGTAGAAAATTTGAGCTGAATTAAATGAAATCTAGATTTTTTATGAATTTTCAAAGTTACTTAAAATTGGACCAAAGTCCCTGTACTATAGTACATGGTCAAAATGTGCAATATTTTTTAAATTTTGCAACAAAATTCAATAAATATTATGATACATCATCATCACAACAAAATAAAGAGGAAAGGTCATATGAATATGAAGATGGATTCCTTAATCTTTGATCTTTTTTGACAGCAAAAGATGGCAAATCCATGAAAACAGGATTGTTCTTGTGTAACTGACCAACTGGTTTCTAGTAAAATTAAAAAAAAACTTGAACAAACTGATGCTTAAAATTTTGAAATGTGCCAGCATTACCAGTCAATACTTACTCCAATAATTCCAGATACAAGCTTTCTAAATTCTTCTTTTTTCCGCTTAATTTGCTTTGCTTGCATTCCTCCTTTTTTATTTGCAATGAAGTCATTAAAAGACTAAAAATACACTAAAAGCAACAAATGGCAGATAATAATGACTACTTTAACTTTATCTTGACTGCAATCCGGTAGAGATGCCAATAAATTAAACAGAGTTGGAAATACATGAGCCTATAGCATGTCAAATACAGTACATTGCAAATATGGACATTATACACAAGTTATAGTAAACTAACTGATGATTCATATATAAATAATGTTAAAGTTATAAGGGACACAGAAAGACCACCATCCTCTCCATGAGTTTGTAGCCCCTGTAATTAACCATACAAAAGCACAATTGAACTGTCATCTGTATCTTGGACTAACTAATAACAATTGCTCCATTATTTTATAAATGAATGATTCACCAAACTGAACAGGAGGAATCTGCACAACTCAAGTAATATAGCACTGACTAATTTACATTGATTTTACCTTTTCAAATATTGCAGTTGCTATATTAATGCTTTTTCTTACACAATAACCATCCAACCAAGTTAAAGGCACAAAAACTGAGAGGAGTAATATCCTACGCATCTCCTATAGCGTGTTAAAACTACATAAAACTCATAAAAGTTAAGAGCATATCACTTCATAGGTGAACAGTGACAAGGCTAAGTCTGAAATCGTATCAACCATCTTTTGTTCTTTGCTATCTTTAGCACCACTAGTGTCATCAAGCATGTCTTCATTTATGTCTTCTCCTTCCTTTACTGATACATCTTTTTTCAAGCATACACTACCTAATACATAATTTTAGTGCTGCTTATACTATGTTAAGTACTGGGCATAATACATGATCAAATTGAAATCTTATAACTAAAATTTGGAACAGAAATTTGAGCAAAAAAGCATTATGTAAAAAGTCTTAAGCAGGGATTTACTACATGTACTTTTACTTTAACTTAAGCATAATTCTGAGAATTGATAATGGGCTTTTTTAGGCAGAGAATGACTTACATTCATGGCAAAAAAATATCATAGCCAATACTGTATACATAACATACTTATCAGTTGAATATATTGCTTTGAGAGATTAACTGTTAGCTGATGCAGTAACACTTGGTCAGAAAGACTATCTCCATTTTCAGTCTCTCTATAAATGAAAAAAAAACAGACACTGAACAAGTCATTTTTAAATAAAAAATTAATATTATTCATAATAGAAGTTTAAGGCGTATATTAAATAAAAACATAAGAGGAGGAGTGGAGTATTGGCATCTCCTGCTGCACACCACTCACTCATTCACATTATCAGCTAGCTCTCGGATACTTGACCAGTTTTTCTGGAGGGACTGAGGAAGAAGATAAATGATGCACACTGATCATGTGTCATTGAACATAACTTGTCCTCACATTAAATGCAATCGAACAAAACCGAGAGAGAACAGGAGCCAATGAGAGCCTCCAGTGATCAGGGGAACAACTATTAACCATTGGAATCAGAAGATTACCTTAGCAAAAGATCAGTTAAGAAAAAAACATGTTTAATGCATTTTGTGCAACTTTAAAAATTTGTAAAAAATCTAATTTTGATCGGAATCAGCCCAAACTTTCTACATAACATAAGTGCATGTATATGGATCTAAAAATGTAATAAAAATGGACAATTCTCTCCTTGTCATTTTTGCCAAAATTTGGCCTCGGACCCTGTACTATAGTACAGGGACTTTTACTCAATTTTGGAGTAACTTTAAAAATTCGTAAAAAATCTAATTTTGATCGGAATTAGCTCAAACTTTCTACACAACATAAGTACATGTATATGCATCAAATAAAGTTATAAAAATGGAGAATTCTCTCCTTGTCATTTTTGCCAAAATTTGGCCTCGGACCCTGTACTATATAGTACAGGGACTTTTACTCAATTTTGGAGTAACTTTAAAAATTCGTAAAAAATCTAATTTTGATCGGAATCAGCTCAAACTTTCTACACAACATAAGTACATGTATATGCATCAAATAAAGTTATAAAAATGGAGAATTCTCTCCTTGTCATTTTTGCCAAAATTTGGCCTCGGACCCTGTACTATATAGTACAGGGACTTTTACTCAATTTTGGAGTAACTTTAAAAATTCGTAAAAAATCTAATTTTGATTGGAATCAGCTCAAACTTTCTACACAACATAAGTACATGTATATGCATCAAATAAAGTTATAAAAATGGAGAATTCTCTCCTTGTCATTTTTGCCAAAATTTGGGACTTTTACTTGATTTTGGAGTAACTTTAAAAATTCGTAAAAATTCCAATTTTGATCTGAATCAGCTCAAACTTTTTACACAACATAAGAACATGTATATGCATCAGAAAATGTAATAAAAATTGAGAATTCTCTACTTTTCAATTTTGGTAAAATTTGGCCAAAGTTCCTGTACTTTGGCCCAATTTTTGAGTAACACCTATCTACTAGCTAAACCACAGCAATGGCAATATTCACAACAAGAAAATCTCAATCGCTAGAATAATATAATACATTATTAACACAAAAGGATACGAATAACAACTTTTATTCTCATCTGTGCAGTTTCCTCCAAATGTCCAAAAACCATGTTCAATATTCTTTCAACTATTCCAACCTGAGATAAAGACTCAGGGCCATAGTTTATCCAAGCATAGCCGGTAGCCATTACACTATTATTATACAAATACTCAGTTGTTATTATGACTCCAGAAGAAGCAGACATTATGAACACAACAGAAGGACATTAGGCATATTATGCACATGCCTCTAATACAATGCATGCTATTATTATAAACAAACAATCACCATTGATCATAGGCCATTATAAGCTGAAGCTGAATGCGACTCAATTCATCGACTTCCCTATTACTGGAACAGTGTATTCCTTAATAGTAATCATGATATTATATATAACAGCATACATCAATAGTCTTACCTAGTATAGCATCCCGATCATACTGATGTAGTGAATGAAGACCTTGAAAATATGCTGATAGAAAACTTCTTGAACTATCGCTCCACAACTGGTGAAGGACTCTAGATGCACAATGGCAACATTGATATAATACGATATGGTAATACTTGATCAATGGAAGAACAAAGTCAATCAAAAGAGGTACAATGTGTCTATACGAGGTAGCATTTCCTTCAACATCAGGAGCTCCACATTGTCTCTGAGGAAGGAAGTTCAATTACAATAATAATAATAAAGAATCATGGAGTATATCCTTATCACTATTACAATATGTACACACATACACATGATGACTTTTATGGCCTCAAAAATAGAGTTTGAATTGACAAATTCAGGTTGCTTTATTGGAGATTTATAAATAACTGCTTGGTTAATAAATCCCATAGAAACCTCTGCCTCAGGTGTATAACTTATATGTACATACATGTACCTGAATGTGAGTTTAATGACTTACTCTAACTCTTGGAGTAGAGCTTTGAAGTACACCCATCACAGTGTGAGCAACATAGCATAGCTGACCACGTTTAACATCAAAATCTGAAGTAAGGTCTGTTATATCTTTATCAAGACCTAGATACTTGATAAATGACTCAAGTGATGACACAACACTGCAAAAACGATTATTTTAAAACACCATAATCATAATTAGTATCATATTCCTTGCCTTTTTAAACCACCATTGACTAGGGCATCAATTTCACTTAGTAAATGCGTCAAAAGTGCATCTTGTTCATCAGAGCTTCGGAAGTGATTTAACATCACAAAAACTTCAATGAACATGCACTTCTCAGAATATAAAAGCAAATCAGAGGAGACAAGAGCAATAAAGTGATCTAATAACTGCTGGGTTGCTGGCTGTGTGTGGATAATGGAAATACCAAAATGATAGGTAAAAAATATTAATTCTTACTTGTAATGACTTAGCGTACAGTTTGACAATATTAATTAGACAATACAAAGCATTCAATCTTGTTTGTTTCTGTTCGCGAGTCAAAGCAAGCTACAAGTAAGGAATATTAACAGTGTGAGAGAACATGATAGGGAAATACCCTAACTTTATTGAGTTCAGTAGAAGGGAAAGTCACGTATGTTAATATCTATATATGAAGGTAAAGATTTGGGGAAAAACGTTAAAATATAGTGCCATACTTTTTCTAAGTAACCCTGAAGCAATACTTCAGGGTTGAACTTTACAAAATGTTGTAGTCCACCATCCAATGCTTTCAGGTGAGAGAAAGCAACAGTGGGATCAGTAGGAGTAAAGGAAAGAAGCATTTGTATAATGGCTACACCAGAAGGAGCAGCTTCCTATTTATGATAATAAGGTTTAATACATAGCGTACGTCCTGTACTTTCAACAGAGTTTCATTCTGATTAAGACCGAGTACCCAACATTCTATGAAACTTATGAGTGCATCCCATTTCAAAAACGCCGGAGACATTTTTGATCCGATTCCCTCGGAGGGAGGGTCTCCTGCTACCCCTTCAAAGTCTCTCTCTGCCACTAGGAGACTAACAGCATCAACACATTCCTTTTGGAACAACAACGGATTGAACTGGACCATATCTGTCAACAAGCAATTGACAAGACTTTTGCATTCTAAAGGACAAAGAGAGCTATGCCAACAATCTTGAGAATGCTGCTCACTTGAAAAGTATATATTATACTCCTCAGGCCCATCAAAATCAATAGCAGAATAATGACTACTGATATGAAGTGGTTGAGTAGGGTCACCAACCTATGATAATAATATGATGACAAAGAAATAAATGAGACATAAATGTCCATGTACATACCTTAAACTGCTTATCTCTTAATCTGCTGACTAGCTGAGGTAGCAAGTCCAAAAAGATTGGATGTGCTTTGAAGAACTGGTGATGAACCACAGCATTCCAAAACTCGAGACAAATTGAGCTAACGAGCTAACAAGAGAATATACAAGAAGCAGTCATAAAGGCAAACTAACAAGACTTGGGTGAGAGAAGGCCAGAATCATTATGTTAAGATATTGCTGTAAGTGTTCTGGGGGAGTAAACCCAGTTGACTCCTATACAAAACAATTCCATTAAAATTACACGCAGTCTATAAAGACTAACAAACTGACAATAACTCAATCATTGACTGCTTTGGAGTACAACTCAATAGCACAACCAAAATAACATTAGTATATTTTGTGGGAATTTACTACCACAAATTAACAATGCACCACGAGAATACATATTAGGACAAAACAGTTGCAGTTTATTCAGACATTTATCAAGTTACATACATGATACATGTAGGCTTAACTCAAAGAATACAGCTATAGTGTTACCATAAATGTCCAACTTAACATACCCAAAGAGGAAGGAGTTGACAAACACCAAACTGAACCATCATGTGACATAACTTCTTAAGGAAAACATACTCTTCATTGTCAGTCATGCTTCCTTCACAGGCAGTGCTATGATAACCATTAATCATAGCAACAATACAAATACTATAGGACTATACTTAATGCATAGCTGAAGCTGGCTCAGGACATCACTGGATATAACCTGCAGTAAAAGCTCCCTGTGAACTCGTGAGGTCTTTAAAGCTCCTTTCCTTGAGAATATTCCAGTCAAACAGTCACAGAGTATAAGTCTATGCTCGTTTGATGAGAGTAAGAGAGACAGTAAGAGAAGAACAATCCGACAGTTGTTAACAGTTAGGAACTTCCAGTCGACCCAATCGGAAAATGTAGTCAATGTTGAAACGGCAACTTCAAGAAGACTAATGAAGTCTGGCTTCTAGCATTATTATTAAGAGAAAAGAAATTGTTACTAAAAATATCAAGTTATACACAAAAATTGAAGAATAATATACATTTTATTGCTCTTACCTCCAATACTGCTATTACCAAATTAAACAATGGTGTTACTATCCCAGGTTCTTTTAATGCTGCTAGCATCACTGATTTTCTTTGATTAGAAAGAGCCGAATCATACGACACCAAATCTTCTGCAAGTCGACGAAAGATTAGTAAAATCAATTCAACTTGGGTACCCTATTTGATAGAATTTTTGTATCTAACGTCTTCATCAAACTTTATAAATTTTAGTCGGTCATCAATTTATAATTAATTCAATCTAGCTTATAATAAAATCATAGTTCAACAGCCATGTGTATGTTGATACCATTAATGTTTTTAAAAGCAATGCTAATGCTGAAGCTCAATCATAGGTACAGCTACCCCATGCTTCCCTTACCTTAGCTACTACTGAGAAGACATCAGCAGAAAAATTGGACCATTCGTTTGGCCACATCTTCTTTAACAACTCAACAATTACACGAGCCATTCCTTCCTTTAAATATCCTGGTAGAGTAATATCACTTGATCCAACCTAAAGCAAAATTAATATTAAAATAATGACAATAAATTACATGAGTATGATAGTTTTTATTCACTATAATAGTATTCAAAATCACATTTTGAATACTATTATAGTGAATAAAAACTATTAACCTTATTTATGTACAGCATAAGTTCCTCTCTCAATTTCAACTGTTCATCAGTAGAAAGTGAACCCCACCTAAGCCTATGAAGTATATACATGATCAATATAATTATTATGATCAACACTATTGTCCCAAGTAAATATGATCAGTATATTATGATCAATGGCATTATCCCCAAGTAAATATGATCAGTATAATGATCAATGGCATTATCCTCAAGTAAATATGATCAGTATAATGATCAATGGCATTATCACCAAGTAAATATGATAAGTATAATGATCAATGGCATTATCCTCCAGTAAATATGATCAATAATGATCAATGGCATTATCACCAAGTAAATATGATCAATAATGATCAATGGCATTATCACCAAGTAAATATGATCAATAATGATCAATGGCATTATCACCAAGTAAATATGATCAATAATGATCAATGGCATTATCACCAAGTAAATATGATCAATAATGATCAATGGCATATAGTCCACAATGCATGTGAATATTCTAAAAATAAACACACTGACAACAATTCCCATATCATAACCTTCTCTAGACAATTAATGTACACTTCATTTATTTATATAATCATTTTTATCAGCAAGAATGGTATGCCTTGTTTTAATTATGATCAATAATAAGCTGAACAATTACTTAACACTTTGCAGTTAAATAGAAATTTACAAATTTACAGCACCAAGACTTCTCTTTGAGAATTAATGAGCACACAGGAGTGGCCATTAGATAGAGTGCCAAATTAACACAAATAGCATTCCAGTGTCATATATCAAACAGGAATTTGAGTTATGCCAGCTACCCTACACACCTCACAAAATGCTCGATGAGTTGAAGCCCTAAATGTATTCCGAGATATTCTCCATATTGCTCAGCAAGCCACAGGCCACACTGTATGCACAATGGACTCTCGTTACGAAAGTCTTCCATAACCTATTTAATGAAATAAAATATACACACTTTTTGTTAATCAGCTTTTTGCAGAGGCATTATCATTGCTATCAACGCCATGATCTCCTCAATCCTCATACATGACGTACATACACGTGTAGCTTCTATCTAGCACTGAACGATGGAGTCGTTGCATTTACCTTTTGATGCTCAGTTCTCTCTTGAGGAGATGTAAGTGGATCTAGTATACGTGTATAAGTCAAGAAAATGGACTGAGAGTGCGTGGAAACGTCCCCTCCAACAGGAGCATGAGGCCATTCATCAGCCGCCATCATTGCTGCAATCAGCTGCATAGGAGGAGCCGAAGGAGGGAACATCAACAAGGAGGAGTGCTTTCTTCCGTTCTTCACTTCTTTGACGAGCGTTTTCCCTGGGCCAGAGCATAGAAACACTCACATATCATCATCATCTCAGAGGCCTTGCATTGGTGGATATGGCAGTCAGTAACTTGAAGCTGCAGTTCGAGCGCCTCTCCACTACAGGTGACAACGAGCCCAATGCTCCCAGGTCTACAAACCCTAGCTCTACGCCTGAAAGAGCCAAGAGATATGGCAGACAAGACCCCAAACAAGATGCTAAGATGTCTCCAGGCGTCATACCAAAGAAGCAGTTGAAACAGATTGGTAAAGTCATTAGCAGTCCAAGTGAAAATAGAAAGAGTAACATAGACACTAAGAAAGGACCTGGATTGACAACAAAAACCAAGTCAATGGAGGAATCCAGTGACAAGTTGAAACCAGATCCAGCCACAGTCTCAGCACTAGCCGATGCATTTAAGAGTAGAGCAACGGCTTCGTCATCTTCACCATCTTCTTCAGCCACCTCTTCACCATTGACTCAAAGCACTGAATCTCATGCCACACCAACTGAAGAGACATCGCCATTACGAGCTAGATCTAGTTCAGCAAAGGAAAGAGAAGCAAAAGGTCGGTCTGCTCCTCTTCCTATGATTATGTCTAAGCAAAGTGAGTCTTCGCCCACCTCATCTCCAAGAGTTAAACCAAAATTAGCTCCCAAGCCAGCTTCAGTGTACAAATCTACAGAAAACATGACGAAGCCAGCTATTGCTCCTAAACCGAAAATCCTTCCAAAACCCGCCGTGGCTAAAAAACCTCCAGTCGTACCCGTCACATTTCCAGAGCCGTCTTTATCTAAGAGTACTGATAGTTCTTTATCTAAAAGTACTGAGAGTTCAGGCAGCGTTCCACCAGTCAGACAATCATCAAGTCCAGATACTATCCCAACCATTGTACCAACTGATGATGATGTTAAGTCTAATCTAGAGGACTCATCTGACAGTACGCCTATCGTAATAGTTAATTCAAGCGAAAAAGACTTTAGCAGTAGCGGAGAAGAACAGGTCATACCAACTAGTCCAACGGGACCAATACCTCCTGTATTTATCAGCGATGATGATGACACTCCTATCCATGTACAATCAGCAGCGACAACTACTACCACGGATGAAGTGGTGGGTGCTAATGCGAAGAGAGGGGCAGTTGATTCTGGGTACCAAGAAGGAATGGAAGAAATGAGAGAGAAATGGGACACTGCTAAGGTATGCTAGCTAGTACAAATTCATGTACTCCATCTTGTACATGTACTGTAGTGTACAAGTGTTCATGATACTTATAACTATTCTAATAATGTTTGTTTGACTCTGTTGGTGCTTTTTTTGCTGTGTGGCATTTATTTACTTTTGTGAGCTACAAGTATTGATTGCTATCCATGGGTAGATACGTGGCTCTTCTTGATGATCATTAGGGTGGTGGTGGCTTCCTGAATCAGCTTCTGTGTATTTAATGGTATCCAACAATTGTCAGCAATGTTAAGTGACAATAATAGTCCATTAGCCTGACATGTGTGACAGAATCGGCATTATAAGATTAGTGTGTGTATGTCTTTAGAGACAGTTATGGTGTTGTCTCACACATTGCTGGCAGTTTGTATGGTATGGGCAGGGAACACCTTGTCACACAAATATTTCTTTCTTTTTTTTGTCTCTCCCCTCTCTCTCTCTCTCTCTTTTCTTGTCTTGTTTTATTTACTTAACTCTCTTTTTGTCCCCCCCCTCTCTCTTTCTTCTTTCTCTCATTTTATATCTTACTTACTATATATTCACAATACTTTACTTATTATTTTTTTAGAGAAATAAAGCACGCGAGAAAAGAAAACAAATTGCTTTGGAGCTTTTGGAAACAGAAAAAACGTTAGAAATCATTTCAATTCTTTTCGTTTAAACTATCTTTGCTACATTTTAGATATGTTGGTCGCATAAAAATCATCGCACAAGACTTTCGTCAAGCAATACAGTCTATAAATGTCAAATCTTCGAAGCCCGTGGTCCCTGACAGCACAATTAATATTATTTTCCTTAACATTGGAGAGATATATAATCTAAATAAGCAGCTGCTGGATGATATAGAAAATAGAATGGATAACTGGTTAGACTATCAGTTAAATACACACGCACTTGCAATAGATGTGTGTAATCTATGTTTTTACTTGATACTAATCAGTTTATTCTTATCAAATCTACACTTTCAGGGCAGAAAATGAGCAGATTTGTGATGTTATTAGTTCAATCGCTCCATTTCTAAAGGTAGAATTTATAACAACGAATGCCATCTTTGTTAATTATAAACAATAATTGATGTATTTTTTAACAATGACATGTAGCTGTATTCGATGTATACTGCTGGTTTTGAAGATGCTATGAAGAAACTCACTGTAACTATGGCAAAAGAAAAGAAGCTTGATGTAGTTGTAAAAGAATTTGAAGTGAGTTTTAATGAACAAGTATTACTAAATTTTAATTTTAATGCATTTTAAGTAATAAAGAGCCTATACTGTATGTGTTTCTTGCATTATATGCACATAGATTATTAGTGTTGATGGTTAGTATGTTCAGATACATTATTTACAAAGGGTCAAGTAATCTGTCAACATAAGGTTGAAGAATGATAAATCGCTGATAGACTTGTGTCAACATCTACTAATACCTTTTAGTTATTGCTTCATTTTGTGTCAATGGCATTGCTATGGAAGTGTCTGTCCCCATTTTGTTTGTATAAAGCAACAGCTTTCATTGAATCATTCTGCTACAGAGCTCTCATGCTGTGTCGGCATGTGTTCTAATGTTGTACAATTATGCTTTGTGTGTTTTTGTTTTTTAATTTATTGGGAAATGACATTTGTTTTCGTTTTGTTGATTAGAGAAATCTTGGGACCGGTTTAGGCGTTGCTCATTACATGTTGGAGCCAATTCAAAGAATACCAAGATACAAGCTACTGCTAGAAGGTCTCTATTCCTTTCTTTATTCTGTATAATATTTTACTTTATTACTAAAACACTAAGAAAGGAGAGAGAGAGAGAGAGAGAGAGAGAGAGAGAGAGTGAAAGCATTTTCATATATTATTACCTTTCCTTTCTTCTTCCTTTTTTCTATCTTTGTTTTTTCATCTTGATTACATTTTGTAGCTTATTTAAAGAATTTACCAGATGATTCAGAAGAACGATCATCAGCAACAAGTATGTAATAACATGCAGTGTTCATCTCCATCTATCATATCCTATTGGTTTTAGTAAATATTGAATGAACTTTAAAAGCAACAAATTAATTATTGGACTAGCTTCAAGAGCAGCAATTAGTGCTGTTGAAGTCCATCCAATATTTGCTATTAGCATGATTGCAGCAAAAAGCCTATTCATTATCACTATTGATATAATATTAGTTATTCAGTTTTTTGATCATGTTCTACCCTAATTGTTTTGTCTCATTATCCTGATAAAATTCAATCAATGTGTTTTCTCATTTAATTAGTATGGCATGCACTGAGTAAATATTATCCCACTTATGTTATAGTGTCTATAGTTAATTCCCTATTACTTGCTATTAGCATTATGTGCTCTACTGTTTTGTTGTATAGAGGCTCTTGAGATTATTGGTGAAGCTGCAGATAGAACTAACAACAGGATCAAGGAATTGGTAGGTATAACTATAATACTGATAGTAGGATAATTGATACACGTGTATTTACAGTTTATAGTAGTATACACATGTATTGTATATGTAGTATTGTGACATTGTTTATACTGCCTTCCTTATACGGTATATGAACAAAGGCACAGTCTTCACAATGTTAAAGAATGTTACTCTAATTTTTTTATCAGCAATTGTGAATTATAGTGACACTGGTTGTGAGTGAGTGGTTACTGTATATGTACATAGCTCCAGTTGTAGTAGTGTCCTATCTGTCTGTGTAGCGATTGATATGTGCTTTGTGTACTGTTTGCTTTGTATCTAAAATAATTACCCACAAACTGATTATTTGGTAGATCGTATGCACCATATGCTTCACGTTTGTGATTGTTGTTTGTATTTTGAAAATAAAATATACACACACAAAGGCTAGACTGTGTGATATAGTCAGTTCCAAAATTAACTAATTCCCTTTGATCAATGAATGAGTTTAGTGGGTGGCAGTTATGCAACTTAACATGTAAAGATGGTGATAATGTTATTGTGACTTTGTATGTCTATATAAATAATTATGATATAAATATTTGTTATATGATTCCAGCTGTTCATTAGTTATGTCTTCATGATCCTTATAAGGGTTACTCTATTATCTTGTAATGTTTGTTCTCGCTTGTGAAGGCTCTTAATAGGCTGTTTACTCATTTTCATCAACTCTTCCACTGTTGTTTATTTTTATAATTTATATTAGCAATAGTTTTATAAATATTCATTATGAAACATGTGGAATAATTTTAATTTTACTAAAATTTTTTTGCATTATTCTTTTTTAAGTGTTAATGCTTTGTGTGTGTCCAATACTACTACTGTTAGTGTAGCTTCACTGCTCATTCAGTTCATAGTCTGTAGTGTGTTCATCTTATAATATGAACTGTACCCTCTCACACTCCTACACTTTACACCTACATTACTCCTATTATTAGTCCTATTAATACTGCTATTATTACTGCTATTATATTACTAATATTGCCAGTATGCAGGTACAATGTAGCTTCACTGCTTATTCAGCTCATGGTCTGTTTATGTGACTCAGTTGTGTGTTATTATATTATTATAATATGAACTGACACTCCTACACTTTACTCCACTGCATTGTTGGTATAGGTCATGAACCCTCACTTTGAATATTGGTACAATATTACATTTGATAGCATCAACTAACTGTATCTATAGTAAAATAGTTGTCATTCAATTTAACACACACACACACACATTAATTCAATAGTCATAGACTGTAGCATTTTTAGTGCAATCAATTAATAGCTTTGTACATGTTCTTATGAAAGTTTGAGCTGATTTCAGATCAAATTTAGATTTTTTATGAATTTTTAAAGTTACTCCAAAATCGGCCCAAAGTCCCTGTACTATAGTACAGGGATTTTGGTCAAATTTTGTCAAAAATGAAAAGGAGAGAATTCTCCATTTTTATAATATTTTCTGATACATATACATGTACTTATGTTGTGTAGAAAGTTTGAGCTGATTCTGATCAAATTTGGATTTTTTACAAACTTTTAAAGTTGCTCTAACAGTGCACATCATTGCTTTAAGAGAATCAATATGACATTAGACAGAGAGACAGTGTGACACCTATAAGTCCTCCTTGCCTACACAAGGTGTGGGTGAGACCAATAACTTTTCCATTATATCATAGATAGTGTGTGTATTTTATTTCACATGGGCATTTTGTTTTCCCTTGCTACATTTGCTCTGTGAATATCACCACGGTGAAGAGGAGTAAACCTAGCTCCCATAGTATATCCACACGACACAAAAATTAACGCCAAAATTGTTTGTGTTTATGATTACCGGTATGTTTGTTCACTTTATATTCACATCTATACATGTACAGTACATGTATATCATGTGCAATTTTTAAGCATAGGAGAAAGTAAGGGAAATTCTCAGTAAACAAAATGTCATCATAATTGCATTCAGTTGATGTGATCATTATAACTGAATGGCAGTGACACCATCCGGTGATATACCAGATCGTCTGTTTCTTTATTGATGATTGCTATCCGATTAATATGATAAGTAGTGAATAGGTCAGTGATGTCACCTCTTAGCCAGGATGTAAGTCTGTACTGTTAAATGGATGTTGTGCAACATTAATCAATACCTTTATATTAGTACCAACCTCTACAGCACTCTGTAACATTTTTAATTAATTTATTATGATTTTTTCAATTAATTTTTTTCATATGTATATACATGTACATCTATACTTACTTAAAATTTTAGTCTAGATTTAAAAATTTTAAATATACAGTAGTACTTTTCCAAATTAAAGAATTATAATAATTGTTGATACTAAAGGTAGTACATAGTGATAGTTTATCCTCCTTTCCTCCAGTACACGTTATATTGGTATTGAATCATATCGGTACATTGAGATTAGTGCATGTAGTTTTACTCCATCAATGTTTCATTATGAAATCATGTTATCTTGTTTCCTCCCTGCTTGACCAAGCTATATCTTTCCGAGAAGACAAAGATAGAAATGGCTTGTAAAAGATTTATTAATAATTTAGCTTTATTTGGTAGCATCCATAATATGTACGTTGTATACATCAATCTGTATTATTAATATGTCTGTACTCGTGAATATTATAATCTCATTGTCTTTATTCATATTTCACATGAAACACACGTGCTATACCTGATCATGCACAAACTGTATGTGTATAGTCACTTTGGTGTCTCAACAGCTCACAATTGATGTCTTAGTGTATTTATAAGAATGTTACAGTGGGCAATGGTCATATGTACATGTATTATGGTGTTTCTGATTCATTATTATTCATTAAATTTTTTACTGTTACTCATTCAGCCCGTGAATAAATTTATTATTGTTTTTGCTTTGTTTTCTTTCGGCGTATTTTAATTGAAATTATTATCTACTTCCTTAAATTTACATTTCCTCATTTTATTCTTTAACTTATTCATCGTCTCATCTCCTGTTTACTCTTTCCTGTCTCTCTCCCCCTCTCTCCCTTCCCCCCTCTCTCCCTCCCCCACTACTTCTCATCATAATATTGCCATTAAACATCCCATCCTACATGTAAAATTCTTTACTGGTGGATCCACATGCCAACTATCTTAGGACACGTGAAATGAAGTTTCTACTAATGATTGTTTTATTTGAGATAATCCATCCAAGCCTATTCATTGCGTACTATTGCAATAACAGCAGGTGTTTTGCACTTGTGCCGACTATGAAAGTTATTCTAAAATTTCGAAAAATGATTTATTATTATACGTATGGTTGCCTCATTATTATTAAATATAAACATGTAGCTGAGCTCCTGACTGTGATGTCACTCTGATAAATCATAATACATGTACATGTACTTGTACTCCAGTCACAGATGTAAAAATCCCCTTGTACAGGTAACTCTCTTTTAAGTGGTTTTGGAAGCTTTATAACATCATCATGAACATAAACATAATTTTAAAGTCTTCTATTATTATAACAAAGTTACAATAGCCGACATGTATATATGCATGAGTCATAGACACTTTGTTAATCAAGCACCCTCCAGCAATCCCTTCCAATCGCTCTCTTGATACAATCTTTATTAACAAATCTCATTATATGCCTCTGCTAGCTGAGTCATGGTGTTTTCATAGTCTTGGAATGTACGTGTGGAGTAAAGACGCACCCTAAAGCTCACCTAATACTTCAAGGCTGATCTAACTTAGTCAATGACATGTGACACTACCTGAATATAAATTACTCGCCATAATATAGATAGTGACATTCCTTTGTTCATCTGTAACTTACGTGTGGCAGGTCTCATTGTATGTAGTTATACATGTACTTATGTACTTGTATTCATGCACTGTAATAATAGTATCGTACATTATGACATTTGGAGCAACTTTAGAAATTCTTTAAAAATCCAATTTTGATCGGAATCAGCTCAAACTTTTACACTACGTAAGAATTTTTATATGCATCAGAAAAAATATAAAAATGAAGAATTCTCTTTTTTTTCAATTTTGGTAAAATTTGGCCCAAGGTACTTTAAATTTTGCCAAGAAATCCCCTGGCTATATATTTTTTCTATTATACTTGTGTAGACAGTTGGTCTGTGCTCTTGTGATATTTGATTATTGCGTCCTGCGTCAAAGAAATACATGCAGCATGTGGTCATCACACGTCTTGTTAAAATGTCATATCTCTCTAGTGTGACTAGCTGCTTGTTGTCTCGTGATTAATGCTCAGGAGAATGTGTCGTATAATAATTAACAGTCCTGGTCTATTCCCTGATGACTTGAAGCATAACTTTGTACGAAACGAAATCCTTATTTGTTAGCATGTGTATAATAATAATAATAATAATAATAGTATGATATATCTATTGTCTGAGTGATGTTGGTGTCTACCAATTGCTTCATTAGTTCTCCTTGCATACAGTCATATTGTATCTGTTGATATTAGCCTAAGTGGTGGTGGTACATTGTATTATGTGTGAAGGTGCCACTCTGTCTGTCAGAGAGTGTCTGATATAATCCAACATGACCACTATAAGGGTTGTCTGTCTCCACTATAAAGCAACACTAATGGGACTGGGTCAGGCACACCTGGCTTCTCAGTCCTTTAAAAGAATTATTCCCAATTAAGAGTATGCCTTTATCATTTTGTACTTTTGGTGGCGTTAAAGCAATCATTTAAGAAATTTATTATTAATTTCTTTGCTATCGAAGCCAGCTTCTCTAGTAGTACAATGTAGTTTATGCTATTTCCTTTCTTGGGAATCATACGCTCTATCTACTCTACCTACTATCCATATAATTATACAATCCACGTATGATTTTTATTAATATCACCTCTATTGCTTTTTATTTTATATTTTTAGGAAAACTCAAACGAAATCCTCGCAATAGAAAGAACCATTACAGATTATGAAGGGACTCTGCTATTGGCTCACAGAGTAAGTATATCATATTACGGTACATGTAGTTATTGTGTTTGGTGTAATCATCTTGGAATGAGAGTCCATCCCAATATGGGCTGTTGTATTAGTTGATTGTATGAATTTTATTGTTCATTGATTGCACAATCTATGTTTTGTGGTGAGTATATTCACTAGACCACACCAGCTAGGACATGTTTACATTGTATCATGTACATGTATGTAGTACATGTTCATGTGTTATATACCATATACAGTATGTCATTATGTGTGTGTGAATTTATGTCCATGTACATGTGTACATGTCATTTCGTAATATTTTGGGTGGTTGATCAAATTGTAGCTTTGTATAGTTTCCAAATTTTGCATGATCAATTATGGCACAGTGAAAGGTCAGTGGTCATACTTAGTACATGTACTTTATTGTGCTAGTATGACCTTTCAGATCATGTTTTCTGCTGAGCATATTGCCATAAATATATTTATTGCTACTTTATTGTCCTGACAATGAATATAACATCCTTTGAAATCTGCCGTGTCATTTAGAGATTCATTAAGAAAGGGATGCTCCAGAAGTCGTCAAGAAAGGCTCAAACCCCACGGATGTTTTTTTTGGTTAGAAATTTTATGCAACAAAAATACTTGTGCTTTTCCTTCTTATACTGTTATTCCACCTTTTCTCATTTGCTCACACCTATTCTTATAGTTTTTATCCTTTATTCCTCTTTATTCTTTATTCCTATTATATTATAATTCCATTGCATTTATCTTTTCCTTTCCATTTACTTCCAGTTCTCAGACATATTGTTGCACACTGAACCAACCGGCCCGTCAACATACAAATTCAAGAACGAGATGAAACTCTGTTCTGTAAGAGTAGAAATACCCAAAGTCTCTCTTGTCCCTTTCTCCTTTGAGCTACTCAGTACCAATAGATCATTCATTCTCTCTGCAAGGTATGTGTATGTACATTAAAGACGAGTTCTCATAAAATTTGTAAAGCACCTACAACACATGAAAGCTAGGTTATGCTTGAGGTATAGTTTGCCCACAAGTAGGTCTGTTGCCATGGCTATTGAAATCAATGAATGCCAGTTAGACTGGTACATAATTATCCTTAACCAGCCTAATTATACATATTCCTTATATGCATGCCTTGTTTTCATTTGACCACATGACATATGTACGTGTACATGTAGTTTTGGTCCTGAACGCTACTGTAATTGTACTATCTTTAGTTACAATTACTCATTTAGCATCACTATTATACTGGCTCTATCATTATTATGCTTGTTTAGGTCAGAAGAGGAAATGGTTGAATGGATGACCACCCTGGCAGGGGCTATTAGGAATGATAAAGAAAAGATGAAATCCTTAAAAAGAGGAGAAGTATGTCATTTTGTTGACCTGTGTGCATGTACACAGCACGTGTCATGTGTTTGCATGTACATGTAGGCCTACTGTTGTGTAGCATGTTTGAGCTGATTCCGATGAAATTGGACTTTTTACGAATTTTTTAAATTGTAGGGGGAGTGTAGTACACATGTGTGCCTTATTAGTTAGCTCCCTCCTTTAGTTGGAATGTTGGGCTTGTTCTATTGTAAAGATCAAAGTTTAATGGGCTATTCTAGTACTACAGTTAGTGATCATAACCCCAAATATCTTTTGTTGTTTACCAAGATTTTATGCTTTATCCTAACTGTCGATTGCTATATCTGGTTTCTTAAAATTGAATTCTAGTCATATCGTTGTTATCATTCAGTTTGACCCACTGATGAACTGCAATAATACTTTCTATATCTGTTGTTGTATGAAGCGAACCTGTTTATTATTTATTGACATACCAATAACAATATACAATGTACCTTTGTCATGGCTGGCAGATTATCTCATCGCAAATAGCCAAAGCACACACAGGTATTTTAATAACATTAGAGATTTCTCTCCGTCCCATTGTATCAACAATATTCCCTCAGCGATGCCTTGTATAGTAATTAATCAGTAAATGAATGACCACCTGATCACTGTAGTGTTAACCATGCACTCTCTCTTTTTATCACTACTTTCCTTGTAGCAATTGTTGACACTCGATCGGTCAGGTTTTGGTAGCTCTGCCCCCATACTGGTACCTGATCAAAGTGTCAGCATGTGTCAGATATGCTCCAAGGAGTTCACATTCACATTTAGAAGACACCATTGCCGGGCTTGTGGCAGAGTGAGTATATACAATAGTTATTTGTTACTATACATTCTTTCTCATGGCAAATTTTCTACTCCTGTTCTTTCTTGTTATTTCTAGCTCTTGTTTTTTCTTTTTATTTAATTCTCTTTCTCTTTTTTCCATTCATGTATTGTCTCCAATTTCATTATAATTATTATTTCTTATCCTCAGGTTGTGTGTGGTAACTGCTCTCCATACAAAGCTTACCTTGCTTACATGAACAAAGAAGAGCGGATCTGCTCTGTTTGTAATCATCATCAAAAGAGGCAGCACTGTGAGTTTGGCTCTGAGCCTATAAACAGAGCGTGCTTCTGTGTACAATAACGCAGACTAGCTTATAATGAAACAAAAACAGTTTGTTCATCCAAAGATACACAAACACAAAATCTACATGTGCATCTACATGTACATGTACACGTACATGTACATGTACATGTACATGTAAGAGTAGATCTACTTTTGATAATACTATTAGACCTTAATATGTGCATGCATGTTCTTTGTAGCTTATAATACGCACAGTATTTATTAACTTGTTTTATTTCATTAGCTTCTCAAGGAGGAGGAGATGAGATTGATGGTGATGTCCAATCACCTGCTGAGTTATCCCGCCCTAATATTCCATCAGTCTTAATAGTGAGTTTCACGCATCATTCATAATGCTAACATGGTCAGCAGCAGTGTTTACTC